ATGAGCAGTAACAGAGTATACTGTTTCGCCCATGATACCCCCCATGCCTTGCCATTCCTGAGGACTCAGGTGTTATTCCTCTGTACCCAATAAATTCACGCCATATCCCACCCTTCAAACGGAAACACAGCCATGCAAACACAACTGCTTCACGGTTGAAACACGAAATACTTTAATAATTAGTATGATATATGAAAAGTTTTTCTTTAAGATGCTTTCTCATACGTACGTATGCGAAAGGATCTTAAAGAAAAACTTTTTAATTCTATTGTTTATTAATGTGTACGAATATATTATGCCATTTCTTTTCACATATTTTAATAGTTCTATTAATACTCTAATAAGGTTTGCTTTCGTGTTTATTCTATATTGATATTTTTTACGTTGAAGGCGCTTTTTTGCGAAACAAAATATGAAGTTATTAAAAAAATGAAATATACTGTAAACTGTAAATAAATCTCTCTGTACAGTTGTATAATATTTCATAATATGAAAACTAATCATCAAATAAGTATTTACTTTTTAATAATATTAAAACACGATCTTTTTAAAAAATGTTTGTAAACATGAATATTAATGGCCGGTTAACTTAGTGGTATAGAATTTTCAATTTGAAAATATCATTTTTTAAAATCTCCATTGAGACTCAACCTTCTAATATAAAAAGTCACTCAGTGTACCCGTGACCTTGACCAATGGATACTTTGCACGTTACATTGACACATTTACGTAAAATTAAGCCAGTCATTACATTAATTTCCAATTTTGTATTGCACATGGCACTATCTTATCTTTTTAATTCTATTACTTAAACATTGATAAAAGTTGTTTATGACGCGTTAACCACACTATATCCACTTCAGTATCTACCTGATAGGACACCCAAACACGGGTCGTTTGTGGTAGTTACGAGTATGTACAAATAGAGCGCAAAAGCTATGTATTGGAGGCTTAAAAAGCCACTGTATACGAATAGTAAAAAGATCCATTTTGCATAACCTACTGAGTTTAATAAGCCTTTTACGCCGAGTGTATAATATAAACAGACTAGAACAGTTTCATCGTTTAGTGTTAAGGGGGTTTCCGTAGGCGTATTTAAGTGGGAAAGCGGGTAGGCCGTGCCCACCTCAGATTCCGAAAGAAACTTCAAAGGCATATCTGAGAATATATATACGTCTTATTTTAAGAGGCCGCACTCACTTTGAGAAAATACGCCAATGTTTAATACTCCTGAATGCACTTCATAATTCATCTTACAACCTACGGTATGGCTTCAGACGAGTGACCTCTAATTAAAATTTTAAGTTGAGGAACCTGCTTTCTTTAGACACTTTCCTTAGAATATCTACAGCATATGGGATCTAACGGCTGCATTACTAGCAATATATATTATTTTATTAGGTTGATCTCCATATGGTTTCTGGAAACCTGGTGAATTCACTACGACGTGATTGTCTAATTGGCGCCCCACCGTCGTACACCGATAGCGTAGGCGGGGTTACCATTCCATTTTCAAATCATTAAAACCCTCACGTTGTTACTGGTTTTAGAGGCCAGTAACATTTCCCGTAACGACTGCCTTCAGCACTTAAAAGAACTCGTTTACAGCTACCTTAATACTTAGATACGTGTGTCTTTATCTGTGGTTATCTCTATCTATTTAAGTAACGTCAACAATACGTAGTAAAAAACATTTGTATATAACATTATAATAAATAAAATTATAGTGTAATGAGACGAAATTTATGCACGTATCAATAGCAGGATAGATTTTAGTAAAATTTAGTTTAGTGGTAATATAGCAAATATTTCATAGTCTGTTTATAATAGAACTTAATAGAAACGTAAGCATATTTTGTTGATTATCACAGAAAAATTATTTAAATCGAATTATAACAAATCCAAATATTAATTCAGTTAATTTTTATTTTTACTACTATTGGTCATAAGCAGACTGTTTTTTGACCAGATCAATTATTCGTTTCTTTGCTTTATTTTATTGTAGTTATAGGGTTTTTCTTTAATACCACGAAGGTACTCTACTACTGTAGTATCTAAGGTAAACCTTGGTAGGTAGCTGAGGGTACTATGAAATGTTTTCCGAAACTTCGAGAATTTAGATTTTGATTGATTAGAATTCAGATCACACAGCCTGAACGTTCGCGGGAGAAAACTCCTATAAAACCGCACTCTACGCGACTATTTAGTTTTAAGCGTGTCAGAATGAATTCCTTCTCGCTGACCAGCGGTACGAGGATAAAATTTTGTTTAAAAATTCTTTTTGTCAGATCAACGCACCGTCATTTACTCTCTGTGTTCAGCGTAACGGTTGACTGGTAGAGAATGCCATCAGGCATTAAGTACGCCCTGTAGACATATTTTAATGTGTGCAAAAGTATAAATGAAAGATAGCTGTGATAACATAATTTCAAACAATTCCTCGGAACACGATCCGATGCTTTTACTCTGGAAAAGTCTTTATTTCTATGGAAATATACAATTATGGCCGAGCGAACGTCGTCGCGTGTTCGCGAGTAGTAATAAGATTAGAATATCTACCTAATTGAATTTTAAGTGCCACCAAATATTTGGTTTCCCCTAAATATAATGTATTTACCTACCTACTTTATATATTTAAATTGAAACCTTACAATATATAAAAAAACGTATTTCTAAAATTCCTTTAGCTATACCACAGTATATGTAATATTATTATATAATATACTATAAACATATATTTGCCGGTCCCGGCATAGCATGGGCCGCCTTTCTTTCCCATGAGTGCCGTAAAAGGCAATTAAAGGAACTTAATATTCGAGAGAAGTGCAGCAGCGTCTTAAATCATTATTAAAGCCTAACTGCAGTTGCTAGGGAGAGGGATTGTTGTAACGAGGACATCACTCCCTATTTCTAGCCTATACAGCCCCATATACCCTATCAGGTCGACCTCCACGCGGTTCCCCCTGGAAACCATCGTGATTAATTCTCGTCGGATCCGTCACAATGGGCTAACTGGCGTGAATTTACTGGGTACAGAGGAATAACACCTGAGTCCTCAGGAATGGCAACGCATGGGGGGTATCATGGGCGAAACAGTATAACTCTGTTATGTCCATGGTACTGCTCATGTCTATAGGCGACGGTTACCACTTTTCATCAGGTGGGCCGTCAGCTTGTTTGCCATTCTAAGTTGTATAAAAAAAAAAACTCATCCCTCAAACATCCCTCACTGGTGCCCCGTCAGCGTATACCGATAGCACAGATAGAGTAACCATTCCATTATCACTCACTAAAAAAAAACTGCAGTTACCAACCTGCCTGCCAAGAGGCAACTACGGGCAAAACCCTCGTTCAGAGGCAGATTTATATTCAGCAGTCCACTGCTTTAACTGTCCACAATTAACGGCTGATATGACGATGATGATGATAAATACTTATTTATAAAAGAAATTGACTGGTATTTTAAGGCCAATAGTGTAAAAGTAGTAACGTAACCAAACTGTAAGTGTTAGACGTCAATCAGATGATGGGTATTGCGTCACTAATGGTTGACGGAATATTGGCAATCAACACCACCTACTAATCCACTTTTCATGCTCTAAATTTACCGTCATCAACGCGTCATAATGGTGAAACTGATATAACACCTAACCCCTGGACATTTTAGAGTTTGGTATGATTTTAGAATTTGGCTTATATTTAAGGTTACCAGCTATACTCATTTACTGAGTTTGGTACTCTTTTTTCGCAAACTAATACTCTTTTCAAATCCTGTACTCTGAAAGTACTTATTTGTATAATTTTATACTCATTTGTATTTCTAAAACATTTTTTTAGATTATTTTATTTCAATTTTATTAATTAAATATTTAAAATTATTGTGACAGTGATTTGAATTTCAATAGAACATATCCCGTATGAAAATTTAAAAGTTTTAATAGAAATTTCCTTATGTTGTCCACTAGGCACTAATGCTGCTGTTGAAAGGGTATTTTCACTAGGGAATGATTATTGAAACAGTGAGAAGTCGCAACTTTCTGTAAAAACATTATCTGCCGTCTTGACAGTCAAGTTTAATATGCAAAATAAAAGTTGTTCGGATGTGGCTACATTATTAGACGAACATCCTCATTTAGTAAAAAAAATCCACTCCGAAGAAAAATACGTTTTTAAAAGAAAATAAAGTTTTTATTGTTTTTTCTTCTTTTTTTTCACCTATATATATATATATATACTTGTAAAGTGTACTCATTTTGAATAAAGAATTATTGGTTAGTTACTTATATTACTACATATACATACCTACCAACATATCTGTTTTTGTTATAAAGCATTATCTCTGTTTGAGGTATAATACCATGATGCTATTCATATATAGATGTACCAAATATTATCTTTTTTTTAGTGTTACTTTCTTAGTTTCAAGCTTACACCCATATGTAAACTCTTTTGTTTAATTTAGAAAAAAGAAACCGACATGCCAATACCTACTTATTCTTACAAACACATTACACTTAATTTTTTTACTTAATTTAGTTCATACACTATGTACACGATGAAATCTAAGTCATTAACAGCTTTTTAATGGTATTTTATTGTGAAATTGAACATTTTTCCAAATGAAACATAAAAACAAAAAACGAGTCAACAAAGAATACCATAAAAACAAAAAAAAAAATACCCTTTCATATTAACGCACTGTATTTAGCTGGCAAGTTAGTAACGGAGACACTTAGAAACGTTATTAATGATTGCGCTTTCATCCTGTAGTTATATACCCCCTTATTCATAAAAACGTCAAACCCACTTTGTCTATTGAACTGTCGAGAAAGAGACAATCCTTTCTTTTACATTAAATTTCCAATATGAAAGAAAGTGACAAAACATTGTAATAGTTAAAGTAGCAGGTTTTAATTTTTTTAAATAAGGAGTTTTTTTTTTATTATTATAGTATTAAATATTATTAAAGTCAAATAACACTATGTTCCTCCACGTTTCAGTACTGAGAATGATGGCCATAATGCAGGACAGGAATAGCGAGGAGGTACCGAAAGAATTCCTCGAGACCGGCAGGACGGGCCGCAGGAACGCCATGCCGGACATCCTGCACCCGCAGGGCGCCGAGGTGACAACGGCCGACCTGCCCTCGAGGCTGCAGCAGTTGGTCACCACTGGTTAGTATGCGGTTTAACTGTATTTTGTATGCAGCTCGGAATGGCAAACGGTCTATCACTATTCATAAGCATTCACAAGGACATCATCGGCAGGGAATTTACTCTTATACCCTACAGCCTAGATGGTCGCGTACAACGCGGTTTCAGAGATGTTTTTTCTCTCGAACACTCATTATGGAATGAGCCGAGGTTTTCCCAAGAGACTACAGCATAGGGTTCTTCAAAAGGAGGGTTAAGAGCTTTCTTCAGTGTCGGCAACGCGCTCGTAATATCCCTGGTATTGCAGGCGTTTATAGGCTACGGTAACCGCTTACCATGAAGTGGGCTGTATGCTTATTTGCCACTTCAGTGGTATAAACCACAACACCAGAATATTTTCAAGTCTGTTGCCAGTAATTGTTAATTAAGATTATCATAGGTAATAAGAAACTAAGCCTATAATGATTTAGTAACAATAAATTGGTATAATGATACCAATTTATTCGCAAGTGTATTATTTTCTTATGCAACTTAGAATGGCAAACAAACTGACGGCCCACCTGATGGAAAGTGGTAACCGTCGCCTATAGACATGAGCAGTACCATGGGCATAACAGTACATACACATACTGTTTCACCCATGATACCCCCCCATGCGTTGCCATTCCTGAGGACTCAGGTGTTATGCCTCTGTACCCTGTAAATTCACTGTTATATCCCACTCTTCAAACCGAAACACCCTTCAAGTCATGCAAACACAACTGCTACTATAATACATGTATAACATGTACATGCGACATCTATTTAGGTCGTCTCTGTGATTGATTTTCGTCTACAAAAAAACGCGAATTAAGTCGTAACGTCTATACTATCTACGAGTATAACTACTACTATGTAGTATATTTGTTTGTAATAGATTAATAGATAAACTCAAAAAGTACTCGACTGGTTTTAAAAATCTGCGAGTAACATAGCCTACGAGTATGTATTATTTTCAAAAATTTTGTCTACCCATACGAAGTTGGGTTGAGTCGCTAGTCTAATTATAAAATATTTGAACAACGCGAAAGTAAACTAGCTATTTCAAAAAGAATTATCAAAATCGTTTTAGAAATTACGAAGGTATTGCTTTAACATACATAAACAAAAATAACACGGCCGAATTGGAACCTGCTTTAATAAGTCGCGGATTTTAAAAGCGATTATTACAGTATACGAGTATAAATATTATGAGCTTCTAAAGATACAAGAATTTAATATCTCTTTGAAATAACTTTCCTATATTACCGTTCGTGTATATAGTCCTATACTTTGCGTAAGGCTGTGTTAATCATAGCTTACACACACACACACACACACACACGCACGCACGCACCAACGCACGCACGCACGCACGCACGCACGCACGCACTCACGCACGCACGCACGCACGCACGCACGCACGCACGCACGCACGCACGCACGCACGCTCGCTCGCACGCACGCACGCACGCACGCAACACACACACACACACACACACACACACTCGCACTCTTGTAGTACATTTTATGAGAAGTATATAATTATATATAATTGTATATACTGTTATGTGGTCCTGGTATAGAACAGACCACCCCTCTCTTTCCCGTGGGTGTCGTAAGAGACGACTATGGGAACTTAATGGTCGAGGGATGGACAGCAGCGTCCATTTAAAAACGTCACTAAAACACTAACTGTGGTTGCCAACCCGCCTGCCAAGCGTGGCAACTACTGGACAGATTAACAGTAGACAGACAATGACTGGTATCATAATCATATAATTTTATATTGTTTTTGCTGACAGTATATTGTTCTTGCTAGGAATGGGGCTGTTAGGCCTCATTAGTAACAATTCCTTTTCTCCACCAAGTGTGGGTTTTTTTTGATGGGTGAAAATGGAATGGTAACCCCGCCTGTGCTAACGGGATACGCTGGCGGAGCACCAGTGAAGGGTGATTGATGAGAATGAAAACAGGCCAGTTAGCCCATCACGATGAATTCATCAGGAATTAACCATAATAGTTTCCAGGGAGAACCGCAAGGAGTTCGACCTGATTGGGTATATTGCTAGCAATGGGATTCTCAGTCTTCATTACTAATAATCCCTTTTCCCCCAAACCAAGCGTGGGTTAGAAAACGGAAAATAAACATCGGTCGATGGTCGGATGATATAGTGCGGATTTCGAGTGTAGGAAAAACTGTAATGGAAGCGTAATATTATGAAAATGTAGGTGTACAAATAGAATTAATGAATTCCAATATTATAGGTATCTATGCCTTATTACATAGGTGTAAGGTATGTTTTGAATAGCGACGAAGCAGTGGATGAGATGAGATAGGACCGTGATAACTAGTACCACAAAAAGGAATGCATAGCCTGCCTATTGGGTAGATTGATGAAGATTTTTTTTTTAACCTCAATTTTTTCAGGGACTTTTGTCTTGCAGACATAGTAATCCTATTACTAAAAACATAATACTAGAGTAACAACCCGCCCCGGCTTCATACGCATGCAATATTTTTTTGTGTAACTTTTAAACAATATATTTTAGTAAGACTGATATTTAAGCGTGTGTGCAAGTACTTTACTTATATTCTCTAAGAGTTTAAAATAATTGGAGTATTTAGCAATTTGATGTACGTTTAGTTTCTGCTACGTCCCTCAAGTCCGCGCCCCGCTTAATATTCTCGCACGGCCAGCGGTAGCAACGATGCAATAATTTTACTTACTTATTGTTTTTATTTCGCATTATCTTCTGACCGACAGCATCAATTAACATGCTGTAAAAAGTGAACTTTATCTCCATAAAATTTCTATTTTGATTTATTTATTTGTTTTTATAAGAATTTCTAAAAGAATGCGTGCAACCTGTATCCAAATTTAATCTTTTTAAATTTATTTTACTTTTAACATAAAACCGATCTTTTTTAGCTGAGCTATTAAATTGAGATATATGGTGTCGCGGACTTTTTTGTAAAGCAATACTATCGAATTTTTGCTGACTTTAATTATATTTACTGTGATTAATTATTAAAAATATATATTTACTAAAATAAAAAGTAGCCTATAGCATTCCAGGATAATATATCTTTCTAACAGTGAAAGAATTTCCAAATTCAAAGAGATTACCCTGAACATTCAAACTCGCACACTTTTCCTCTTTATAATATTAGTATAAAAGTATAAATTACCGATAAATATCACTTGAGATATCTAGTTACCTAGATAGAAGAGTCACCCAAGACAGTGACTTACTAGATTACAGAGACTCAAGGTGACTTCAAAAGTTGCAAGTAAATAAAACATTGTAGAAACCAACAGCAAATAGATAAATAATCAATAAATAGAAAAAGAACTCGTAAACATGAGCCAATTTCATACAAATTAAAACTATTTCATAAATATGGCAGAATATAATATAAACAAGTAAATGTATCTTTTTTTTTTTTATACTACTTAAAATGGCAAACAAGCTGACGGCCCACCTGATGGAAAGTGGTAACCGTCGCCTATAGACATGAGCAGTATCATGGACATAATAGAGTATACTGTTTCGCCCATGATACCCCCCATGCGTTGCCATTCCTGAGGACTCAGGTGTTATTCCTCTGTACCCAGTAAATTCACGCCATATCCCATCCTTCAAACCGAAACACAGTTATGCAAACACAACTGCTTCACGGTTGAAACACGAATGGGACAGAGGTACCCAAGCAATCGACTTTTGTACAAAGTCTCCCTCTGGTAAAATTAAATCTTATTTAGCAGATACAATCTCACGATGTATGTGCTCATAGTTCACATATAATTTAGTTTTAATATCCGATATAATTAGACGACGTCGGCCGTTGACACTTATTTTGTGAAAACAGAACTATCTACAAGTACAAGGAAAATGATCCTTAAGTCACTTGACGTGAGATCAGATTTCAATGGCTTTAGTGTTTATGTTTTTCTACCATACAAATACTTTTCCAAGCGAGACATCGGTTTTGTTCCCCCAAACGACTTCGGTTTCAACGTCTATATGCGGGGCGAATGTTATTGTTTGCGCACTAAGACACCTACTGTTATTATAACTGTTATAAAACCTATTTACGTAGATATGTGGGTAGTTGTACCTTTGAATGATAAAGAAACTAACCGTTGTCCGTTACTTTGCCATTACGTTGCGTCATGGGTTCATTTAAATCTTTGAAAATAAATTTTAGCTCATTTTCGAAGAAACATCTGTACATACTTTATCCACCGATTTTATGTATTGTTTATCTGTCACTCAACACCAAACCTTAACAGCTTAAATCTCAAGATCAGTCAAGCGCAGCCATTATCTCGTCTTACGAGCATTCGTTTTCAAAATAGGAATATTGTGATATTATCGAGTTCATTGTTTTCATTTTCTTTATTTCGTTGTCGTTCTAGTCTTAAACGTAAATCTATCTTCCATAAGGCGGACTGATAGCTTGTTTGCTATTCCCAGTAGGTAATTAAAAAAGTAATCCTGCATGTAGACTGTACAATTGTATTCACCGCGTGACCGCATTACCCGCAAAACCTTGAGATCGAATGAAGAATCAATGACACGGGGGTCGAGACTCGGGAGAATATCAAACAGTGTAATGTAGAATAAATAAATTCCAATTTATATCTAAAGTATACCTATACATATTTATGGCCAACCTTATCTTAATCTCATGACATATCGATCAAATGTATGACGCGTAAAATTGTATATTGCACAGAAGCTATATCATTATGTTAATCATAATAAATACAAATTATTTAATATTTATAGCGTGTTGACAATTTGAGATTATATTATCGATAGTATTACGTAAAGAATTTGGGATTTTTCATAAGCTTTTACCCCATTTTTTATTTTGTCTGTGAAAGACAAAAATTAACAATCGAAATGTTCCGCTAAAAAGCAGAAACAGAGCCTGGAATTCTATAGCATTAATTAGCTAATGCCCCGTGCATTAAGTGGATAGTTTGCTCGAATTATATTTCATTTCGATAGTTTACTGATGAATGATATTCTATTGGGTTTAACTCTCTATAGCCTATATATATATATATAATACCCGAAGTCATTGTCCGAAATAATAATCAAAGTTATAGATATGTGTGTTGTTCTTACGCTTTCGAGGACTGCACAAGTTGCTGTTTTAGGCCCGTCCTATTAAATTTCTGGATAAAGGATGCTAGGAGGCGCAAAATTTTTCATTACATTCTTGTCCCCGTCGTCTTAATATCTAGGAGACGCAAAATGGTCAAAATGCTTTCTCAAAAAATGGCGATGGAGCAATTAATCAATTCTCGGCCAGCAAATTCTAAGGGGCACACAGTTTTGACCTTCCTCGCAAATACCTACTTCTGTCGTAAAAGAGAATCTGTGTAAGCGATCGATCATTAGTCGCAGTTAATGGCTGGACGTGAGCACCAGTTATAGCCATTAACCGCTAGACGCATTGTGTTTTTTAAGTTTTTTGCAAACATTTCTTTTTCGGGCTTTTGATGCCTAGGTTAAAGAAGTCATCGTGTAATTCTTTCTTCAACATTCGATGTAGCGTAGCGTAGGGGATCCTTTCTGTTCATTTACAAGATGAATACGAACGAAATCAGCTGACGTTGATCTAATACACAAGGGGCATCATCATCATATTCATAATAACGCATCTCAATGCAATATCTTTCCGATTTCGGTCTTCAATGAGTAAATACGTATTACGTGTTAACTCTTCGTGGGCTTTGTTTAATAATGTGATGTGCAGCAAAAGACTTGATTGATCAATCCTTATTAAAATGTGTTTTTATCGTATTATAATTAAGTTAGATTAGATTTTAAAATAACGACTAACTGTAAACACACTCATATCTGTAAGTTTGACTCGCGTAAGTAAATTGCGTAAGTATTGTCAGTTTGATTAATATTTATATTTGCAAAGTTATCATAAATAGATTATATTTACGCGAGTAAAATTTTTTTATGTAAAGGCAGACAATTTTTTTTCTATAGATGTTATTTTTTATTATTTAAAATTGACAGATTTAGGGTCATCATACGTACGTACGCTGGATAAGACATCGAACCTAATTGTAAACGGCGCATGAATTTATCTCGTTATCACTCCCATCTTTGTTCACAACATACTTCATACAAAATTCATGCATGTGTCTCGTGCCGTCCAAAGTGTCACAGAAGTGTAAACAAGTGTAAGCGTGACGTAACGTTGTCACGAATTTATGAAACGATACACAATGTTCAATTTGGACCATCCTTTGCAACGTCATTCCGCTGACGTATGTGATAATGATGAGATACAAGCGAATTACATTAGATTATCATCATAATCAAATATATAATAAATTCTAAAGGTATTATCATGTCACTGTTTAAAAAAGCTCTAAGTTAATAATCGCTCTTTGCCAGCAAATTCTATAGGTTTACTAAATAGTTGAAAGGCAGATAGACTAACTGCTGGGCTGCTGCTTGATGGATAACCCCTAGTTATTTTATTTCTATTATCGTATGAACTATAATAAGGAACAAAGGGGAAAAATGTAACTCCGCGTAAAAAATAAAATAATAGAAATCCCTTTCAATCTGTTATTTTACGTTTTTTCTTGAAAATGAACATGCCCAAAACAAACAACCTCAGATAAATAGGAAAAGACAAGACAATGATGAAACAATAATGAAATAAAAAAAATATTATTTATAGTCAACAGTTCACAAAGCCGAAGAGATGAAATTGGTCTATTTTAGGACGAAGTCTCCGCGGCCCACTAATACTTCGAAAATTTGAAATTTAACCAAATGTAAACAGCTTAGGCCAAGAGTGTGAAAAATAACTTCTCAGTTAAAAACAGACTGTCAATTTTTGGACAGTTTATTAACACTTTACTATCTAGTATAACTGATTTAAGTGATTTAAAGTGATGACAGCTTAGTGGGACAACGCGTAACTGCAGTCCGAGATATCCAAAATAGAATCTCAACTACCAATATAATACTATCAACAGAAACTAAACTACCATTTCAAGTTGCATAAAAAAAAACTTTAAATTTTTTAAATTAATGTTAGGATTTCACTTATTTGATTATCATTGACCTGATAGCCATCCTTCCTTTCCCGTGTGTGTCGTAAGAGGCGATTAAAAGAGCTTATAGTTGAGAAATGGGCAGCAGAGTACCTTTTAAAACATCACTGAAAGCCAAATTGCGGTTGCCAACACGCCTGCCAAGCTTGGCAACTACAGGTAAAACCCACCTTAGGGGGGAAGCTATGTTTAGCAGTGAACAGTTTGCTGAACATAGCTTCTAGCATAAGGGGGGTTTTTGCAACATTGTCACCTATTTCTTCTTTTGAAAGATACGTAAAATTGTCATGCAGTGACCCACGACAAAGGACTACTACGCAGGTCTTCTTAGCTCTCCGAGGAGGGCTTAGAAGTTGAATAGCTGCTATGACAACACAAATCGGTGAATTGCAATTATCGAATTACAATATCGTTATACGTCAGATGGCATCCGCGCGCGTGATGGATGATATAAAGATCATTTTCGTAATTTCTATAAATATCGAGCCTACTGCGCAATCACGGTTGGAATGTCGATTTTGACAGTAGATTAGAACATCAACACACGCTTTTATCTGAAGATTTTGATCTCGCAAAGTTCGATTCAATAATTCACAGTCATATAAATTACAATATACATTATAATTTTTTTGCCAATTACAGTTTATAAACTTTGGTGCCAAATTTTGCCTGCCTATAGTCCAGCTTACGCAGGCTGCTAGTAAATTCACCACTGGACTCCACACAGGCCTATAGTTTTTCAACAAATCAAACAAGTCCAAATATGGCGGATTTATCTTGTGTAGTTCGCGAATTCCTAAGGCCACCTTCCGTCTTTATGATCAAACCAGTTCAATGATACCATAACATGATATTGTCTTCGAACTTATATAAGCATGCCAAATTTCGACATAACCTGACGCTAGTAAATGGCTAAAAAATAGAATGCAAATTTTGAACGAAAAGACTTATATATGCAAGTTAAATAAAAGATTTTAATAAAAAAAAGTAGCTTACATTTCCCAGAACGCAGTGTTCTACGAATCCTCACATTAAACTTTATCCAAATCTGTTTAGCAATGCAGAACAAGCCCGAACGACTTTTTATTATTGTTTTAAGATTTTGGTTTCAAGTTAATAAATATTCACTCCTTGAACATAGAACACAGATCTTTAATTCTTTTTCTTATATGTAGTTATAACTTTGCAAAAATCTTTTCTTACCAATTACTTCGTGTATGATAAGTATGAAATGAGAAATCTAGAACTTTCAAAATTACCTCTCTTTAAAATACCACCATTCTCTGGCAAAACATTAGGACTGGTGATTTGTTGAAACATCTCAACTAATTTGCTCACCGCTACTTATTTATTAAATTGTAACAGGAAAAATATTCTGAGTTCATTCAGTAAATAGTGTATCTTTTAATAATATGTATTGGCATTTGGATTTAGACAGGATCCAGATGTTAGAAAGCAATGAACATTTCTATTATATGAGAAAATCTTAATAAATACAAGAAAGTATAATGGTGTTGTTAGTCTTAGTGTTGTTGAATTTATTTAAGAGCGTTTATATACTTTGTTTGTTTAATTCCGAATAGTCCCTAAATGCAGTCTATATATAAATTTCTTTGTTACAACATATAAGTTTAATATTTTTACTTATTACATGATCTTGCCATGTAGTTCCAGCATAGAATGGGCCATCCCTTCCTTTCCAGTGAGTGTTATAAGAGGCGACTAAGGAAACTTAATGGTCGAAGGATGGGCAGTAGCTATAAAAACATCATAAAAATCTAACTGCCTTTGCCAACCACTTGTTAAGCGTGGCAACTATTGAACCTTTTCTCCTCAATTGATAAATACCAGAACAATCTATGAGGGAGACCAATGTTCAGCAGTGGACAGTTACCGGCTGATATGATGATGGTGATGATTATATGATCATCGACTCTGACTATGTTTTATAGTAAGAACGACGATTTCGTGAATAGCAGGGCCTCTAGACAAGCGAGTCTGTGAGTTGGAATGAGTTATCCGGCGTTGCTATCTCATTCTGTCTCACTAACTCGTTAGCGATGTCGATTCCATCGACAAATTCGTTTGTCACTTGTCTAGAGGGCGAGCTCTTAATATCGAATACTTTTATCATTTTCAGATTTAGACAACCCACAGCCCGGTACATCTAAAGCAGATCTCGACGTCAAAAAGTGCGACGACGCAACCAAAAAGGACAGCTGCAGTTGAGCTGTCTCACTCACTCACGTCTTAACGGACGCAGGACTTGCCCAAAGCAAAAGTAATCTCAATCAGGTAATTGTAAGCACTGAATAATGTAGTCCCACCTTAATTTTAGGTGTGCAAATATAGTTCTTATGTTGTTAACAATAAGGTGCCCATTGGTACCGTAGAACGAACACTATGTTGCTAACACAAATAATCAGTTCCCGCAAGGTGAACGTTTACCGCCATTTGTTAATCTCATTGTACTTAAGTTGGTAATAAAATCAACAATTGACGTTGATAATCGAGTGACGTAATAATCTTTGTTAACGTCAAAGTCATAGACTTACGCCACGATAAATTATTGGTCATTTACCTTTATATTGACATAATAGGATGTATGTTAAGATTACGTCGCGTTTCGCTCTAGTTATACATTCTTCTATAAATTGTAGAAGAAATATCGTCTAATTATTCATAAAAACGTAATATCTATATGTGTGCACTTGTTTTTATAGAGAGAGAGATAGAGAGAGTCATGGATATGTATTTCGTCAGATACGTATTAAAACCCGCTCGCGTGTTTCACCACGCGTTTTATAATTTCATACAAATTTTACTATCGAGCGTGATTCCCTAACGCGGGATTTGGCAGGCCTTCTCGCTTGTAGGGTAATCACGCGTGTGAGATAACACGTGAGGGATAATCCCGCGTGGGGGGGTCAAATACTATTAATGTATTTTGTCACTTTCTTTCAAATTAAGAATTTAACTCGAAAGAAAGTGACCGCTTGGCGTTTTTATGAATAATGGCGTAATGCTAGACAATATTGGCGTTGATGTATGGTTTTTAAAACAGGGGAAAGTATTGTTCTGATTGTTAAGTGTTATAATTACGAATCGTATTTAAGACTTAAGTTTCCGCTTCAAGAACTAAAAGTTTGTTGATGCGGATCTTTTTATTTTATGTGCAATTGTGTCGAAAAGTTTTTTTTTTTTAATTTTATAAATTTTATGAGCAATTATTACAGATGTATTTAATGACACTTTTCAATCCGATTATCCATACATTGAAAAGTAATGTTAACTTTACATTTTCAAATATTTGATTGATTATTTTTTGTTTAATTTTTTGACAGGACTCAAACCTCCGTTATCCAGGCTGAGTGGAATGCCAAATTGCACATTCTAAGAAATTTACAAGATTCAGCTTGGATAGTGGAGTTTTTGGGTTCTATCTAAAGGTATAATTTTTCAGTCCAATATTTGAAACTTACGTGTCCAGTGGTAAAAATTTCTGTGTATTACAGTGCATCTATTTACCGATATAAATAAATTAGTTATGTTCCTAATAATTAGTTATAAAACACAAACATACGCTTAGTGAGTTTACACGATGTGTTTTAACATTATTTATTATTTATAGATATTTAAAATTAGTTGAAGTTTATCGAAGAGTACAATTTGATTTTATTATAATTTGAGTGAGATGTTTTTAAGTACAGTTTTTATGTACATAGTCGTAGATACCACGTAGTTGGATACAAATCGTATAATTATTTCTATATTTAGTACCAAGATAATCAAAACGTGTCATGTGTATGTTTCATGTTTGTAAGTTATCTGCAGTGACAACAGGTGGCTAAAAAAAATTATGTAAGCGATTAAGCTCTATTCAAATTAAATTTATTGCAAGAACAAACAAATAAGAAAATTGAATGCAAAATTTTAAAAAGAAATGTATTTTAATCTGTGGCAATTACATATATATACGTTAACAGCAGTTAGTAAGCATGATTTAATTTGTTGTAACTTCAAGATATTTAAATGATAATTACTTAAAATGGCAATTTAAATGAGACATTCCAAAATGACAATTTAAAAAAAAACATCATTATTAACTTATACTCGTAGTATTGTAACTATGACAGTAATTTTTTTTTTTTATTTCATACTGATCATCTACGTCAGCACTTGTAATCTCTAATGGTATTAATTAATAAAAAAAAATTGCACTTCTAATATCAAATAAAAGATGTGCCTGTACAAAATTGTAATATATCAGCGATAATAACTAGCCGAAAATGTAATAACTTAACTGGCTACTTATGGTGTAATAGCTGACTAAATAGCCAGCTATTTGACTATCAGCTATTGTGTGAAAGGCTCATTATAATCGACCCAATTGCGTCACACTTAACGCAACCTATTTAGCTGGATATTAGCTGGATGGCGTTCGAGGATGGTTATAACCAATAGCTGGCTACGACGACAATAGATAACTTAGCTGCGTATATACTTTGCATAGTCGCTATGTAGCTGGATGTTGGTATAGCAATCCATCACTACAAAATGCCATCTGAAACACAAAGGTTACCCTAATATGTGTATATATTGTTCGTATAATATCTAAATGCAGTTAGCTGCAGTGAGATTAGTAACCGAAAAGACTGCATAAGCAGCTAGCATAATTCAATTGAAATAATACACTCTATTCCAAATACAATATTCTTTGTCAGTTAATAAAATTTTATGAAATCTTCTTGATATTTAAAATGGGACCCTAATTCAACGTTATTCAGTTGAATTTCGATGTATTTCTGGGATTTTGTATTTGGAATAGGATATATAATACGTTCTCATATCTGGTCTGATATTTTTTTGTAGAGAGAGAAAAATAAAGGTGTTTACAAATTTACGACTTAAAATTGTGTTATTATAGAAAATGCTCCCTAAAAATGTAGTACAACTTATATATATAAGATTGGCAACTGGCAACATTATGCATTACCTGTCAAACACTGAAAAATAAACGATTGCATATTTGAATAAGGAGCATCTAGAGTGTACTAGAATGTTCATCATAGAACAACATTGACATAAAATCACTAATTATTATTATATTAATTCCATATTATGCTTATGAAATTTTTAAATAAAAAACTTTTAGAATAGGTTAGAAAGTCTTAATCTATGATTAAAGTTATTACTTAAATATGATTTTGTAGTTTAGTGTATGTGTCTCATTCAGAAATGTTTGATGTATAATTTTGACAGGTAATCCAGATGTTACCAGCCTTACAGATGAACATGTTAGTTTGACATAATAGAGTAACTAATTTCAATGATGTGTCAATTAAAACACGCTTTTGTTCTTTGTATATCTAAATCAATAAAATGGGTATAAATATTCATATATTTTTTTTAATTACGCTTGATTTTATAAATTTGATTAATTTTATGACTTATGTGTGTGAGATGAAACTTAAGACTTTTTATAATTATGTTACTGGCCAGCATTAAATTAATAATTTGAATTTTTCTCATGTTTTGAAATTCGAAATTAATTATCGTGAAATTCGTATGCGGCACTATTGTATGTGTGCAAACTGTAATGTAAAATGTTAAACAGACTTGGAAAATATGGTGGAGAAATATGGGTACTATCAACAATAGTACCCTTACTACCCCTAGCCCCCTCTCTTTACCTACCCATAATTACAAGTTGTGAATTAAATTGACGAGTTCTAATGTGGAGTTTAGAGGTACAAAGAACAATTATGACGTCTCTGTAAGTTTGATACGTAATATTTACGTATCATTTTCTTGATTGGTCCAAGCGACTAACAGGCTGTTTACTAAAAATCAAGTACTTTTACTAGAAGTGTTTATAAGGTATACCAGTGTTTTTACTTTGAAGCTTTTATTTGTAACACTTGTAGTATTTCATATTTACTTTGTATTTTAACTGTAGCTATTAGAGATTATACGTAATTCTCATATCACACATATCTATTATTCAGCTGAATGTTGTGCTACTTATTTGCAATACTCAGCTTCGTGCATGGCAGTCACTAGCAGATCCAAGGGTGTGGTAAGGTAAAACACCAACAGGGTGATGCAGATCCGAAAGAGGTCAAATTTTAAAACAGAGTTTTAGATCGTCTAAAATAAAGTTTATTTTTACATTTCACTTTGTCGGTCCACAAGCATTCTGCAGATCCGAAAGAGGTCAAATTTTAAAACAGAGTTTTAGATCGTCTAAAATAAAGTTTATTTTTACATTTCACTTTGTCGGTCCACAAGCATTCTGCAGATCCGAAAGAGGTCAAATTTTAAAACAGAGTTTTAGATCGTCTAAAATAAAGTTTATTTTTACATTTCACTTTGTCGGTCCACAAGCATTCTCATATAGGAAAAAAAAATGAGATGTAAAAATAAATCTTATTTTAATCATCTTAAAACTCTATTTTAAATGCGATCAAAATGTGCTCTCCTCTCCGAACACATCACACTACAAGAGTGCTATGCACGAAGTCCACGAGTTCATATCATTAAAAGTTCCTCTTCATTTAGCGATCGGCTAATTTATTTTACTGTCAAAAATTTCATACAATTTCGATACACAACTTGCCTTAATATCTTCCTAGTGTTGGAAACATCGAATTTAATTCAAATTTTTTGGGGCCTATTCGGTGTATATGTGTTGTGTCGTGTCAGTGTGTTTCTCGAATGTCACTAGTTACAAATTTTTCTATTAGATCATTCTGTCAATTCTTTATAGTCAATGTAGATACCACATGAACGATGTTTGAGATATAAGATAACTAGGATTTAAAATTGTCTTTTAAATCCTTCATTGGAGAGGTTTTCTCGCAATATTCCCCTTTAAATTGTGATGGTATTGGCCACTATAATTGTTTTGTACGTCCTCTGCACACAATGTACATAGGCTTCGTTCTCTTTGACTATCCTTCAAAAGGATAAAATTAAAAAAAAACAACTGAAATGTCATGTAACTCTTATAGGCTCAGATTTTTAAAACATACATACATTACTATTACTATAATTGTGGCTTAATTTATTATTTTCGATGTATTCTGATTTTTAATTATAATTTGATATTCGTTGGTTGACGCAAGCAACGCTCAAGTGGTAATAACTAGAGGTAATATATGTAAAAAGTAACGTACAACTAAATTGGGGAACGAACTATGTATATCGCACAAATGTATCTGGTATTTAGCTTCTCAGAATATGGGACAAACCAGAACTACAAAACAGCAAGTAACATAAATGATATCAGAATATCGTGTAACATGTTGATTCAAGCCAAACACGGAAACCTGTGCTTACTGATTTTAATGAAATTTTTTACATGTGTTTGTTCCATTTTGAAAAAGGAGGTATAATTTTTTAAATACTTGTATGTCTTTGTGAAATTTGTCTTGCACCCTGGAGTGGATATGGCCCACTCCATATCCCTTTAAAATACCGCCTAGCTTGGAAACTATTTGACTTGTCATGTCCAAACATAAAAAAATGACAACACAATAAACAAACTGAAAATGGCTTTAATTTCTCATTATATACAGAGTAATGTTCACGCCATTTAGTTTGTTCCCTATTCTGAGATATATGATTATCAATAAATTTTCTAACTACACAGTATCTGTAAACATGTGTTTACATGTGAAAATGTTAATGGCAACATGTAGGTGCAATTACAGGCGAAAGTGCCTCCTTATTATTATTAACAGGTTTATTATTCATTTTTATGATATTAAATTTGTATAAGGGCAAATTTTTCTGTTTTCATTCTATCTCTAGAATGGCAAGCTATGAGGCCATGCCTACTTATGTTGTTCCAATGAAATGAAGTATTAAATCTAGAGCGATATTTCTGTCCCACTCACATAGGGATATTTATTTTGTCCTTAACAAATGAATGTATATTATATATGTATGGCTGCGATAATTCTTTAAAAAAAAATGTGTTGACAGCCAGTAACATACAGTGGACAATAATAGTGTTGCTATTGGCTAAAAGCTTTATACATGTGTCGGTGTCCGTGGCGCGCTCTGGTGGCAGATTTGAGCCTTTACATTTTTATACGTTTATAAAACGTTTAATAAATAGTTTATGTACATATTATGTGTATAAACATTTTATATGTATAGGAAAGTCCTCTGACCAGCCAATTTTGTTTTGTGAAGTGTTTGAGATTAGAATAGTAGTTGTTCAAGGCACATATTTGGTGTCAATGCGACATTTTCTATTTTTAAAACTGAGTTTTTTTTTTTATTAAACGATGGATTTTGATTGAACGTAACGGCAAGATCTAAGATGAAATCTGCGCTTAACCAGAAGATAGTTATTCACAAACTAAATTCATAATAAATCTGAGACAGAACAGATTTAAATTTAGTCCGTATTTTAATTATGAAGATTGGTTTGTGTTTTATTTAAAATCAACCCCCTTATGCTTAGTATATTCAACGTATAGTTCTGAGATAGTCAATTTGATTTTATAAAGGGTAAGTTGAAAATTTAATAAAGCTGTGATCTCAGATCTATCATCTATTATATTGTCATATAAATGTAATGAAGTACTCCTACTCCTACTCCTACAGTTCACTTATAACAATGAAATGTATTTCATACACGTAGTTACTGTACATTACAATGGGTCCGATTCTGAGGTGATATTTTTTTAAATTTGTCTCTTGACCTAATATTTAAATTTGATAGTTTCGCAAAATAACTGTTTTATGGGTCATCGTAAATCTGAAAGAAAATTAATTCATATTCTTCGTTACAATAAAGATGTCGCTGTAATATCAAATCGAAATTTGAATTTTAGAGATTTTTAGAGATAGGTAAGAGAGAGTTAGAGAAATAACTCGCATCAGAGTCGAGCCAGTTGTCTGTTTGTTTTTGTAAAATAATAAAATATTTTGAGCCTCCATACTAAATTGACTGTTACAGGCGCTGTTTTAGTATAACAGCTCAAAGATTTTTGTTGTATTTTAATCTATGTTTCTTTGGGAAAATAATTCAGTTTCACTTGTATAACATTCCCTTAGAAGAAGGCCAATCATTTCTATTTTTTATCGAGAATAAGATGCTGCTTGTGGAGACTGGTCCGCTCATGTTTACTTGTTTATTTCGCATTGAATAGTACATACAAATAGCACTCGATACTAATTTAAGTCACAGTACCAATACAAATGTAAAATTATCTCGTACATAAATAAAAAGAGTAATTGTTGACTTTCTACTCAACAGATAACAACATTCCGTACACAGCAGTAGAATTATAAAAAATTTACGATTTAAAAGAATCGATAAAATAATTCTATTATAATAACTATTATGTCTATTCTATATAAATTTACGTGCACATATATGCCAATAACAGGTAAAGAAATGCGTCTTTATTTCATTAAGAACAAAATTATTAGTACAATAATTAATAGGATATAAATTCTCTATCGTCAATTATTATTCATTTGTGGTACAATAATTGTTTAATTATATCAATTGTTTTTTAATACAGAGGTAACTTTCACACCTTTAATATTATTAGTAAAGTTTCATTTTAATACTCTAAAATGGTGTATTGTATTTCCATATATAGATTTGCTATTGTTTATTATTACGAAGGTCATTGTTCACAGCTAGCTACGTTACTGGGATAAACACATTGCGATCGATTCTGAAAAGCCATTTCTCTAAACTTGTCTCTTTAAAAATAATCAATTTTATATAGAGCACTATCAGTATGCTTAGGACTAATATGAACTAAATTTCTAATAGATTTAAATTAAAATTATTATAAATTTAGTTTACAATAATCCATAAAATAGTCACACCTGCAATGCCTCTAAAATAGTCACACCAATAATGATGTTATAGGTGCTCATTGGCAGCGATAGTCACTTACCATCAGGTAATCCGCTTTGCCCCTTTGCACTTTGTATTAAAAAAAAAATATCGTGATTCTGTCAAGATATTAGGTTAATGGATAAATTCCAGACAAATTATATTGAAGACTAGGCAGCATGGTCTCCGACCTTAGCCTGCTCCACAACGGAACAAATGTACTAAAAAAAAAGGATAATGGATAAGTTTAGAGCAATGGATGCCTTATAAGCGAGCTCATTGTCACTAGCTATATCCCATTAAAAAGTTACCCTGTTATTACAAATACGGACTATTTATATACCAAATTTCATTTAAATACGTTGATCTGTTTTATTTAGATGCAATAACAAATATTGAAACATTCATATCTAGAATATTGGCAGGAACTCTGCTTACATTCCGAGATAGGTATAATTTTGCCGCGCCAATTTACAAACGGCTTTTAAGTTGGCATTATTTGTACATTTCTTAAACATAATTGTCCATTTATCCTATTACGTTTAATAATAATTATATATTTAACTAAACAGGTAACACATAGGTACGTAAAATTTTCAAATACGACGATTAGGAATCTAATTAGGTAGTTTTTTATTTTTTTTTTATCAAAATAAAGTAGAAACGAAAAAGCGATTTGCAATTTTATAAAATTAGTTACACTCAATTAGTCAACAGTTTTTTTTTAATTGTCGTATTAGTTCTAAATAAACGTACTTTTTAGCTTTCACATGTAAGTTAGAGGGCGAATAGTATTAACGAATTTGTATCGTTTTGTATCTAGTTTGTCGTCAAACAAACAGAAATAAACTTTTGGAAATTTTTTAACTTTTTTCATTTGTAGCCAACCCTTTTAACAGACCCAACAAGAGTTTTCGTTAAGAAGTTTATAAACTAACATTTCTATTATTATTCAGATGGTACATCACAAAGATTTTATGATCGACAATGGAATGGTAATCCTTCTCTATGGCTGACTGAAAGAGATGTTTCCTCCCATGAACACTCAGGTTGTGGAATGAGCTCCCTGTCAAGGTTTTCCCAAGAGACTACAGCATGGGGTTCTTCAAAAGGGGATAAAGGGGTTTCTTCAGGGTCGGCAACGCACGCGTAATACCTCTGGTATTGCAGGTGTTCATAGGCTATGATAACCACTTACCATCAAGTGGGCCGTATGCTTGTTTGCCACCTCAGTGGTATAAAAAAAAGAGAATGTGAGAATGTTTGTAATATATGTCCGCTATATACACATATATGTACTAATTAATAAATAAATAAAATAATCTCCCTGTGCTATCGGTAAACGCTGGCATTGAGTGTTCACAGGTCAGTTTTTTTATTAGATGAAAATTAAATAGCAACCCCATATGCGTTATCGATATGCCTTAGTGGAGCACCAGTGAGAGATGGGTGAGATTGAAAAGTTCAGTTGATCCATCGACCACACCCAACTATTTATTTTCTCAAAGAATTGCAGTTCATTTACTAAAGATAATACAAAGTTTTACAAATAGGAATATATTAGAAGTGCATTACGCTTAAGTACATTTCACAAGGTACAAAAATTAAAAAAAAAATCAACCTTTATGTGGGTCGATATTATACAATAAAAAAAAACTGCATCGAAATGTAAATGAATCATTGTTACAAACTTTTGCATTTGTTAGCTTTATAGGTTAATGACCAAAATCAGTTCAGCAATTGCAGAGTATTACAATAGTTCTTATTAAATTGAGAACTCGTAAGTATATATTGTATACGGCCGTGTGGTCCCGGCATAGTTTTGGCCACCTTTTTCTTTCCCGTAGGTGTTGTAAGAGGCAACAATGGGAGGGTGAGGAACTTAAAACATCTCTAAAGCCTAACTGCTGTTGCCAATTCGCCTGCCAAGCGTGACAACTACTGGCAAACTTCTCAAGAGAGAGGCTTATTATTTAGCAGTGGACAGATGATGATTATGAGGTATATAAACTATTCTTTATCTAAACGTTTTTGAAAGCCCTCCTTTTTAAGTGGGTTGGAAACTTTTAAACAAAGTATGAACATTTCTTGGAGCCTAAATTGAAAAGATTCGTTAATTTCTTATATGGCAACTTATAGATTTGTTTACAACTTCGCCTGGCTTAAAATTTTTGCAAACGGCAGTAATGCGATAATGGTAACACTCGTAATTGTCACTACAAATATATTAGCCAGTGTTGTTAACTAGTTTAAAAAACAGTTATTAGCTCTTGATTATATGACTAGATAGATATCAATAGCGTAGAAACCTTTAATCCATTAGGACTTTGACGACGTGATATCAGCAGTTACTGTTCGCTGCAGAATATAGGCCTTCGCCATAAATGCGATTTTGCCAGTAGTTGCTACGTTTGGCAGGCAGGTTGGAAACCGCAGTTAGGTAATAACCTATTGGTAATATGATGTTTTAAGAAGGACGCTGCTGACCAGTCCTCGACTACTAAGTTCCCTTAGTCATGTCTTATGACATCCGCGGGAAAAGAATGGGAGGTCCATTACTTTATACTATTATTATTATTTTGTAAAATTAGATTCAAATATATTGATTACTATTTTGCTGTATTCAGTTTTTATAGCACTAATAAGTTTTTATGCTACTGTATTAAGTATAGTTATTTTACTTTTTTTTATAACATAAAAAGCTTTTATATTTTTTATTGTCTAGCTAAATTAAATTTGAACAAAAATGCATTAAAGATGGTAGTTTAAAATTCGGTGATAATTGAAGTTTTAACAATTTTTATTCTAAAAAAAACTGTATTAGGTTAAAGTTTTGTAGTTGACTTTAATCAATCTATTAGTGATGAATTATTCTTCACGATCAAAGATTTCGTTCACAACTTTAAAAAGTTTAATTTACGTGTTATCCGTGTCATAATACAATAGAGTACATTTATCAGCTGCGCTATAATCTTATTGGATATAAAACTATATACGAATACCAGCTATTGTGTTGAGGCTATTTATTTGTTATATTTTTAATAACGGCTATATTCTGTTTGTGACCAATAGCTATTACCTTAATAACATCACTAATTGTGTCAGTTTGATGAGTGATGTATCATATACGGATGTAGAGAAAGTAAATTACAAATTATCCGTGGTTTTCAATTTTACTTTGTGAAATGAATGATTCGGTGTTGTGAGAAATGCTATTATTGTCTCTAAGAAAATGTGTACATTGTCAAAATACAGATCCTATAGTAGTAAAATGTTTAAAGACCTTATCGACTGACACCTCTAGTATTTAATATCTATTATTCGTGTAATTCTATGTGTGTTTTCTTATTTTAACGGAAAAAATGCCAAGGGGAGAGAATAGACCGAGTACGCTACTGTCCCGAGAGGAAAACGATCAAGTCTTCAGCCTCATCGGACCAAAATGCCAGGTTTGTGTAACGCTCTATACCTTGTCTACCACACATGATTCAGCCACCTCTAGATTACATATCTCATAGTATTTGTGATAATATCACGATAAAAGCCCAAATTTTGTGATCCCGATAATCGTTTTCGCATTCATATTGTATAAATAGAACAATTATAATTGAATGCACAATCTAATTAGTATTGTTAATAAATTCATAAATTAGCCCATTTATCGAAGTTACTTAATAGCGCTGTTTCCATTGCATTTTATATGAATGTTTGTACAATGAAATCATACTGTACGGATCAGGTGCATAATTTCACTGCCATTTACTTTTATGGGGTGAAAGTTGCAATTAGTTTTATAGTGAAGTAGGTACTGAGGCGGTGCACTGTTTCGAAGACAGTAGAAAATACTATCTCAGTATTGTTATAATCTTTTAATCTTATCTCTTTAAGTTATTGGTGTTTTTCACTATATATATTTATCAAATGTAAAGTTATATCAATATTTACCTTTTATCTTCTATTGAAATATTTTTCTATATATATATATATTTATATTTTTCTTATTTTCGTTTTTTTTTTACACAATAACAATTTATACATCTGGGGGGAATGGGATTGTTAGTAATGGAGACTGAGAATCCCATTGCTAGCAATATACCCAACCAGGTTGACTTCCTCGCGGTTCTCCCTGGAAACTATCATGGTTAATTCCTGATGAATTCATCATGATGGGCTAACTGGCCTGTTTTCATTCTCATCTATCACCCTTCCATGGTGCTCCGCCAGTGTATTCCGTTAGCGCAGGCAGGGTCACCATATCATTTTCACCCATCAAAAAAAATTATATATCTTGGTTATTTTTACCTCCACTTTATGTATTATGTATAGGCTTAATTAATATCAATACTGGTTTGATATCTATACAATGGGTTCCTCTGGATATTGATGGTGGAAGAAAAGGGCATCACTCATTTAGATTTTTTTTTAATGGGTGATAATGGAATGGTAACTCCACTCGCCCTATCAGTATACACCTGCGGGGCACCAGTGAAGGATGATAGGTAAGGATGAATCAGGTCAGTTAGCCCATCGTGACAAATTCAACAAGAATTGTTCATGATGGTTTCCAGGGGGAACCATGTAGTGGTCGACTTAATAGGGTATATTGCTAGCAATGGGGCTATCAAACTCTATTGCTAACAATCCCTTTCCCCCCTCATTTTGATATTACCCATGCCAGTAAGATATTTATATTAATTTAAATCAGGTTCTTAATTTCAATATTATATATTGGATTACTAATATTATTGGGCCAATATATAGTTTCAGTTTGAAGGGTGGGATATGGCGTGAAATTACTAGGTTCAGAGGAATAACACTCAGGAATGGCAACGCATGGGGGGGTATTATGGGCGAAACAGTATACTCTGTTATGTCCATGGTACTGCTCATGTCTATAGGAGACGGTTACCACTTTCCATCAGGTGGACCGTCAGTTTGTTTGCCATTCTAAGTTGTATAAAAAAATATATATATAGACAATTGGCTAATGGACCTTCTTTCATCGTTATTTATCATCCAGCACCCGCACAGGCAGGGTTACCATTTCAGTATCACCCATTAAAAAAAAACCCTTCATACTGAAACACAGCCATACAAACACACTTGCTTCACGGTAGAAACACAAATGGGACAGAGGAGCCCAAACAATTGACTTTTGTACAGTCTCCCTCTGGTCTCTGTTTCCATTCATTGTGAATAAAAAATAATTGTTCACCCCTTTAGTCAATTTCTCATTTTTGTACTTAACTGCCAGTAACTCCTAAGCAATGTGGTTAAAATTTTGTATTATCTATACTTATAATAAATTTGTAGAGAGATTAATTCTGTACATAAAATATATTTCCAAAATAACTATCAGGGGGTGATTAGTGATCGATACTGATGTCAAATGTGCAATCAGTAAAATTTTTGTCTTTCTATCTGTCTGTATATTCCTTATAGAAACAAAAACTACTTGACGGATTTTAATTACAATTGGTACAATTATTCTTCATACTCCTGGCTAGGTTATAGTATACTTTTCATCACGCTACGATCAATAGGAGCAGAGCAGTGGAGGGAAATGTTGGGAAAACGGGAGAAATTACTCCATTTTTCTTCTTCTGTCGCGTGTGCAGCCTTAATGGCCACTTTTTAAAATGTAAAAATGTCCACCCATGTGAAGCCGGAACAGGCCGCTAGTTATAAATATAATGAAATAATTATATGTGAATATACCATGATTTGTTATTATTAATTTATGATAATAATAACTTATAAATAATAATATTCAGTAATTATCACTTTATAATTATATTGTTTATGATGTTATAATGTATAATTGATGAATATTTGTTCAATTTTAAAATCATATTGAGAGTTGTTTCTTTTGAATTGCTCATTCAAAAATATACTGTTATTAAAAATATAAAAATAACATGTAAAAAGTACAAAAGGTAGAATCCTTTTGTACTTTTTAAGTAATTTTCAGTATTGGATACTTGATTACAATTTATTTGTTTAATTCTGCTATCATTAATATGTGTGCTACTGCCAACATTTGAGGATCAACTACTTTGCCACACCTCACTAAAGTTTGGTATAAATACTCTTAGACATTTTCTCTCTAGACAGTTTCAGACCATCGGTTTTGAAAACAATATTTATTATATTAGCCTGAACATAGGCCCTATAAGAGGGAGTTTTGCAAATGGTTGCCACTCTTCGTAGGCAGATTGGCAACCACAGTTTTTGGTGATGTTTTAAGAGGAATGCTATTTATCTAGAGGAATGGTGCATATCCCTTGATCATTAAGTTTCCTGGGTGACTCACTGTATACTGGGACCACATGATAAAAAAAGGAATAATATTACAACAAAAATTATTTATATACCTAATAGGTATTTGTTACTATTTTTGATTACAGTAATAAAATGAGGTAAACCAACATAATATTTCCTTATTTTTCTTCTAATATCATCCTACCCTTATCCGAATTATATATATATATATATATATATATATATATATATATTTAGAATATATATAGAATTTGGATATAATAATTGGATATACATAAGCTTGCTGGGTGACAACCTTTATTTGTGGCTATATTTTTGTAGACAACCCTATGTTAATTTATAGAAAAAAAAAAATAACACAATTACTGCACCATGTTCGGGCCTATTCCTTAAGGCAGTCTATGGGAGAGGCATACATTCAGCAGTGGACAGTTAATGCCTGATATGATAATAATGATGACAGTATTATCATCTAAAACAAAAGTTTAAATGTTGACAAGCCTTATTTGCACCAATTTTTTTTTATTAAATATGTAACTATATGTTACTGTCTATAGAAAAGAATAAACTTTCGTTTGTTTATCTACTAATTCAAGTATTTTTTAAATCTTATATCTACAGAAGTCAGCAGTGGAACACTAAATATATATATATATACACATATACATGGATAGCGCAGACGACATTACTATTCCATTATCATCAAATAAAAAGAAACCGGGCTAATTAATTTATAATTAGGTACCATTCAATAGTATTTTGGTGACATTAAATAAGCTGACAATACATATAATAGAATTATAAATAAACAATATTATGTATGTATATTAGTCATCACTCAACGATGGTATCTATCACATTTGAATGCACAAACCAGCGGTGTTGACTCAGCTGTTAAATAAAGGCAACGTAAATAGAATGTCTATTCAGGCTTAAAAATGATGGTGGTGCTTCACCACTGGACATAAAGGTCATTCATATAAGGATCATATAAAAAAAACCCCTGTGCCGAGATGCCCAATGTATCTAATGCGTAATAGAGCGAAAAATACCCACACAGTTGGGTGGATTCCAGTCGGGGGAATATTATTTTTGTTAATGTCTTTTTATGAAAACTGGAATGGCGAAATGTTCATTACCCACATGATAGAAACTGGTAACGGTTTTTTTTATGGATGAAAACCCTGTCTGTACGGGGGGAAAGGGATTGTTAGTAATGGAGACTGAGAATCCCATTGCTAGCAATATACCCAACCAAATCGACCTTCACGTGGTTCCCCTTGGAAACTATCATGGTTAATTCCTGATGAATTCATCATGATGGGCTAACTGGCCTATTTTCATCCTCATCGATCACCCTTCACTGGTGCTCCGCCAGCGTATCCCGTTAGCGCAGGCGGGGTTACCATACCATTTTCACCCATCAAAAAAAAAAAAAAACACTGTCTGTACTATCGATATACTACGCTGGTGGGACATCAAAGAGAGATTATCGGTGAGGATGAAAACAGATCAATTGATTCGTCGTAATGAATTTTTGGCGTCTGTAAATAAATATTGTACATATTCATCTCATATCCACTTGTCAACATCATTACTTTCTTTTCCATTAAGTAGATTAATTAAATTGTACATAGATATTTCACCTCTTTCTATCTTTCGGACTGGCCGTACAGACATGACAGCGACGTTTACTTCTTACATTCATTTCTGCTGTCATTCTCTCCATCTCGATCGCTCGTCTCTTACACTTCTAATTTCCGTTTTTATATAGTATTTTCTACGTATTCCTTTGTATATAATATTTACCTTCTGTATATATGTGAATAGATAAAGTTAGTTGTTATACTTATTTCTTTCGCACAACTACAAATTCAACAAGAATTAATCACGATTGTTTCCAGGAGGAACCACAGCCACCTGATGGAGTATATTGCTAGCAATAGGGCAACTAGACCCGTTATTAATAATATCTTCCTCCCTGTCCGACACGCAGAGTTTTAATTCTAGTGCCTAGTAATTTCGCTGCCGAATTTTCCTGCTGTATGCATGTTACTGTAGTCATATAATGTAGTTAGTCAAGTATCGTTTATTTATATAGTTTTGAAAAGCCTCAATGCGAGCCAATAACATCCTATTTGTAGATTGATTACTTATTAGTAATTAAAGTTTAATATACCTACCGTTTTTTTTGATGGATGAAAATGGTATGGTACAATAACCCCACCTGCGCTAACGGAATACGCTGGCGGAGCACCAGTGAAGGGTGATAGATGAGAATGAAAACAGGCCAGTTAGCCTATCATGATGAATTCATCAGGAATTAAACATGATAGTTTCCAGGGAGAACCGCGAGAAGGTCGACCTCGTTGGGTATATTGCTAGCAATAGGGTTCTCAGTCTCCATTACTAACAATCCCTTTCCCCCCTATATACCTACTGTTAGGATTATTTTTAATGTTATAATCAGACGATAGATTTTGAAGTTATGTGTTAGTTCATGAAATGCTGTTTAGCTATTTTTAATCGTCGAAAGTACAGGCAAAGGAATCTATTATGTCCTAGTACCTACCAAAGTTATATTATTTAGAAATTTCGCTCTAACTATTTAATTATTCATAACCTATAGTGACCCATTGCTATGCAAATAACTCAATTGCTTCCACTTCCTCCCGTCGTCCGTACAAGCGTATCCGATTTTCTGGAAGTAATAAAGTTTATCACTCCTAACTGATCGGCTAAGGCGTTTAGATTTGAAAGGAGGCAAGTTACAAGGCTTTCTTTATCGATGATGATAATGATGGAATGATAGCTGCGCTATTGATATACACTGACAAGGCACCAGTGAGGGATGATAGGTGAGGATGAAAGCAGGCCAGTTAACCCATCGTGACAAATTCCACAAGAATTAACCAAGGTGGTTTATTGTTAGCAATAAGAGATAATAAATACCTCTTTCCCTCCAGATATAAGGCTTCCTTTTTTGAAGGGTGAAAAAAGAATGGAGTTATAATACCTGCGGTATACGCTGGCGGGTACCAGTAAGGGATGATAAGTATGAAGGCAGTTCAGTCGGCCTATCGTGAAGAATTCGACAAGAGTCAACCATGATGGCTTCCAAAAAGAACCACGTGGAGGTCGACCTGATGGGATATATTGCCAGCAATGGGGCTGTTAAAACCCATTACTAACAATCCCTTTTCCCCCCAAATATAGGGCTAGGCTTATGACAAAAATAACCTTTTAATGAGGTACTCCTAGGCAGTGCCCGTCGCCTCCTCTGGTGACGAAAATTGGTCATTAGTGATCCGCGCTGTTCACTCCAACTTTGAATTTGTAATCCTGTACTAATCCTATTGCGCTGGAGGAGGGGGGGAGGAAGGGATCGTTAGTAATGGGGATTAGCAACTCTATTACTAGCAATATACCCACCCTATCAGGTCGACCTCCTCGCGGTTCCCCCTGAAAACCATCATGATTGATTCATTTGCACAATGGGATAACTGGCCTGCTTCATTTTCATTTATCATCTCTCACTGGTGCCCATCCAGCGTATACCGATAGCGCAGGCGGAGTCATCATTCCATTATCATCCATTAAAAAAAATCCTTTTACGCCTCACTTAAGCATCCCTTTTGGACTTTAAACGCCCCCGTTAAGTCTTCATATTAAAGTACCCTATGCCCCGCTCCATCGGACCCCTGTTTTAAATCGTTCACTGCTTAATTTTGAACTATCTATCGCTTGGCATACGTGTTATGCTTACGTAATTCCACTTTATCACTTTTATTTTATTTAAATAAAATTGTTATAATATTACGTAAAAATCGCTTTTAAATATATATTTTAGTTTTTAATAAATTAATTCGTATACTTGTTATTTAATGTAGGAAACTAGCAAAATAGCTCTAATATAACTTATGTGTTACCTAACACACTCGCATAAGTCGTAACATAAACGTTATACACATATTTAAGTGTCTATTGTAAATACATTCGCGTTCATACAATTTTAAAGTATGTATTATAAAAATTGTGTTCCACAGATAAAAAAAAAACAAATTTCCATTATAGCAAAACTAGTCAATTTATTTCAAATTTAAATAAAAAAAAAATTAATGAATGGATTTTGATATAAAATTCTGTGAGACTAATCTGTCAATATATGCTTAGGCACCTCTGTCCTATTCGTGTTTCTACCGTGAAGCAGTTGTGTTTGCATGGCTGTGTTTCGGTTTGAAGGGTGCGATATGGCGTGAATTTACAGGGTACAGAGGAATAACACCAGAGTCCTCAGGAATGGCAATGCATGGGGGGTATCATGGGCGAAACAGTATACTCTGTTATGTCCATGGTACTGCTCATGTCTATAGGCGACGGTTACCACTCTCCATCAGGTGGGCCGACAGGTAATTTACCATTCTAATAGCATAAAAAATAATATCCATATAGATAAAAAAAAAAACTGACTTCAATTGTGCCAAAACCGATAATTTTGATTTAATAACCAAATCGATTTTTAGTAACATTTCTATGGGATCAATCTGCGAGGATGTCCTTTCAGATAAAAAAAAAAGAATTTTTCGTAATCGATTTAGAACTGACAGAGTTGTGAGGTTAACAAACATCAATAAATGTTACCGAATTCAGAATCTCTTTCTTTTTGAAGTCGGTTGAAGGTAATAAAAATCTACTTGGGAATAACCATGATACAGATTTAACGTTTCGCTGTACATTTAATCGCATGACTACCGAATTGATAACCCCTTCTTTTCGGGGGGAAAGGGATTGTTAGTAATGGAGACTGAGACTCCCATTGCTAGCAATATACCCAACCAAATCGATCTTCACGCGGTTCCCCTTGGAAACTATCATGGTTAATTCCTGATGAATTCATTATGATGGGCTAATCGTTAGCGCAGGCGGAGTTACCATTCCATTTTCACCCATAAAAAAAAAAACTTTTTGTCGTCGGTTGGAAATAATAAAAACCTACTTAGGCATGAACGTGATACAGATCTAACGTTTCACTGTACTTTTAATCGCATGATTTCCTGGTAAAAGTGTACTTTCTTTGGTTACATCACTTGGGTATACGTGTTTCGTATATTTATTTAAACGTCGCGCACAAAATGAAGATGGATACATCTAAATATTCGATACACGATCTATATGCACAGGATTACGTATCATGTAAAATAAAACTTACTATTTAATAATAATGAATTTTTGTAAAAATAATAATAAATTTATTGCCATTTTTTTTATACAACTTAGAATGGCAAACAAGCTGACGGCCCACCTGATGTAAAGTGGTAACCGTCGCCTATAGACATGAGCAGTGCCATGGACATAACAGAGTATACTGTTGTGCTATTCCTCTGGTGTTATTCCTCTGTACCCAGTAAATTCACGCCATATCCCACCCTTCTAACCGAAATACAGCCATGCAAACACAACTACTTCACGGTTGAAACACGAATGGGACAGAGGTACCCAAGCAATCGACTTTTGTACAAAGTCTCCCTCCTTTACAAATATGGTACAGAAATTATAATATACATATTAATAAATAATATTATAATATACATATTAATAATATACATATTAATAAATGGCAATAGGCACAAACTAAGTTATTAATGTTACATTGCAATTATGACGATATAATACAGCGGAACAGCTTGTTTTTTTTAATGGGTAATAATGGAATGGTAATCCCGCCTGCGTTAACGGTATACTCTGTCGGGGCACCAGTGAGGGTATATAGCGCAGACAGGTTTTCTTTTTATTGTGAAAATGGAATGGTAACCCCGCCTACGCTGTCGGTATACGCTGGCGGAGTACCAGTGATAGATGATAGGTGAAGATGAAGCCAGGTCAGTTAGCCCATCGTGAAGAATTCATAAAGGATTAAACACAATGGTTTCTAGAGGGAACCGCGTGGAGGTCGACCTGAAAGGGTGTGTTGTTAGCAATGGGCTGTAAGAACCCATTACTAACAATCCCTTTCCCCCCTGGCAATGCATTAGGATTTCTATAACCCTAATGCATTGCATACAAACCTAATGAGAATGAAAACAGGCCAGTTAGCCCATCATAATGAATTCATTAGGAATCAATCATGAAAGTTTCCAGGGGGAACCACGTGGAGGTCGCTCTGGTTGGGTATATTGCAGCAATGAGATTCTTAGTTTCCGTTAATAACAATCCCTTTCTCCTCTACACGCAGGCGGGGTTACCATTCCATTTTAACCCATTAAAAAAAGAACATAGGACACTTTTTAAATTGAATGTATTCAAGCAAAGCCTCGTGATATAGCTAGTCTCTAATATGTCTCATATCGTTACAGAGTCTGGCAACAGCAGTAGTCCAATTGTTCACCACCGAGGGACCGGCACACTCGGAATGGAAGAAGAAAGATACGGGCGTACTGTGTTTAATCAAGGACAACGGCAAACGCTCATACTTTTTTCGCATATACTGCCTATGTCGGAAGGCGATGATATGGGAGCACGAGGTGTACCTCCAGATAGAGTACAAGAGTCCCAGACCATATTTGCACACGTTTGAGGCAGAGGTGAGTGTGAATTACCTGTATTTTTCAACCGTTTTTATGAGCATTCATAACTTGACGCGTGAAGCTTGTGGCGTTTTCAAAAACATTTGAAATTTTTCAATATTTCGGACTTATTATTTAGAAAGGGCTCTGACTACGAACTAAATCGTCAATCACGCAATAGTATACTCATTAAGCTGTCACTGAAATTTGAATCTTGACTGCAAAAAAAGTATTTGAACAATTTCAAAGCAAAATTTTTTATTTATTTATTCATTAAAAATAACTACAACATTATAACAGCAAAAGCTAAATCAATGTTATAAATCTAGTGTGCTAACATACAAAGTTATAATAAATGTATTTAACCCGACTCTAGATATTTCTGAGCCGCTTCTAATATCTTTGGCAGGCTACTACTAAATATATCAATTAAGTTTATAATATTATTTAATAACCGTACTGCGTGAGTTAAGGGAGCGTGCTGAAGTAGGTTAGTTATTATATAGGTGCAAAGTTTTTAGAGTTAAATTCTTATGTAACGTTAAGTGACATTTTTTTTATTATTATATCAGCCGTTTACTATCCATTACTGAACGAAGGCCTTCCCCATAAGGAGACCTTTGCCAGTAGTTGCCAAGCTTGGCAGGCGGGTTGACAATTGTAGTTAGGCTTTATGAAGGAGGCTGCTGCTCATCTCTCGACCGTAAAATTTCCTAAATTTCGTCTTACGACACCCACAGGAAAGAAAGGGGTGACCCATTCTATACCGTGACTACACGGCGAAGTGACATTATACAGGGTGAAATCAAATTTGTAAGCAATTAAATTGTCAGCAGAATGCTGACTGAGTATTCAGCTAGTGATGAAACTGAACATTTTTACCAATGAAAAATGTATCGCAAAATGACAGAAAATTCTCCCAGACTAACTTGATAGATGAATTCTGTTTATATCAACTCGTTTGTTTGTGTGTTTTTTGCGGTTATGGCAAACAAGTTGACGGCCCACCTGATGGAAAGTGGGGTCCCACTTTCATCTATAGACATGAATAGTACCATGGACATAACAGAGTATACTGTACCTCTCATGCCTTGTTATTCCCGTGGACTAAGGTGTTATGCCTCTGTACCCTCTGGTGAAATGTTAATTAAATTAGTTACAAACTTTTTTTGCTCTATTGTACTTTTTTTTTATTTTATATTTACATCTGGATTCAGTAGTTTAAATACTAAACAATGTTATACTTATTTTTGAGGGTATGTAACAATATTTTTCTATAAATAAATCAAATATGAAAATTTTAAAGCATCTCGTGTAAATGTGTTTATCTTAGAACAGAAAAGACTGTTCTATTCTATGGGCGTGATGATGGAATAAATTTAGTTAGTTATAAATTATAATTTACATCACCGTTTTCAGGATTACATGACCGCATTCAATTTCGCCAACGAAGATGAAGCAAACATCCTTAAGAAGGTACTTATAGAAAAAATCGAACTTCGAAAACAAAGAAGACAAGGTATGAATCTTATTAATATAAGGATATTACTCACACTGTAATTGATTTACTATTTTTCATGTATTTATTATTTTTAAAACTTATGTACATTTAAATTTTATATATATATATATATATATATATATATATATATATATATATATATATTTGTTGGTAAGCGTGTTGAGTCTCCCATCCGAGAAATAGGTATTGGCGACCCGCACGCATGCTAAAGGTAAAGGAGTTAAGGGGCCGCCTGAAAATCAGCGCTAACACATGGATCAATAAGTCCCGAGACTAACAATGAAAACAACATTTTTTTGCAAAATTTTTTTTTTATTCATCAACATAATCACCTTTTAGGGTGATACAATCGTTCCAACGCTTTTCCAATTTTTCAATACCATGTTTATAAAAAAAATTGTCTTTCGCTTCAAAATAAGCTTCAGTTTCAGCGATGACCTCCTCATTTGAGCCAAATATTTTTCCCTGGAGCATTTTTTTAAGATCAACAAAGAGCCAGTAGTCACTGGGGGCTAAATCTGGCGAGTATGGGGGGTGGGGAAGCAGATCAAAGCCCAATTCGTTCAATTTTGCCATTGTTTTCATCGACTTGTGGCAGGGTGCATTGTCTTGGTGAAAAAGGATTTTTTTTCTCTGCATGTGCGGTCGTTTTTTTGCTATTTCCTCCTTCAAACGCACCAGCAAGTCAATATAATAATCACTGTTAATCGATTTACCTTTTTCGAGGTAGTCAATGAAAATCACGCCATGCGTATCCCAAAAAACTGACGCCATGACTTTGCCAGCTGACTGCTGCGTTTTCGGACGCTTCGGACGGCTTTCGCCAGCTGTACGCCACTCAGATGACTGCCGCTTCGACTCTGGAGTGTAGTGATGTATCCATGTTTCGTCCATGGTCACGTAACGACGTAAGAAATCTTTTTTGTTGCGAGTAAATAGCGATAAACAGCTTTCTGAATCATCGACTCGTTGCTGTTTTTGTTCCATCGAAAGCAATCGCGGCACCCACTTGGAAAATACCTTTTTCATGCTCAATTTTTCATGGAGGATAGTAAATACACTTCCATATGATATCTGTGTCATCTCAGCAATCTCATGGAGCTTCACTTTACGATCTTTCATTATAATTTTTGTCACTTCACTCACATTTTCCAGTGTAACGGCTTCCACAGGTCTACCCGAGCGTTCCGCGTCATTTGTGTCGGTACGACCACGTTTAAACTCAGCAAACCACCGACAAATCGTTGCTTTTGATGGACAAGAGTCCGGGTAACATTTTTCAATCCATTGTTTCGCTTGCACGGTGTTTTTACCCATTAAAAAACAATGTTTTATCAGAACACGAAACTCGTTTTTTTCCATTTTTTAAACAAACTACGAAACGACTTTACTCCAACCTCGATAACTCAGCTGTTTCTGGTCCGATCAACTTAAAATTTCGACACATTTCAAGCAAAGGTTAGTACTCTAGAAAGACCTGGTTACTGGTTTACTACGAGCGCCATCTCTGGGTTAGTCTCGGGACTTATTGATCCATGTGTTATATAGGTACATCTCGCTGGAGCTGTACATATATAGCAACAGCTGAGGCGGCTCCTATTACCAGCAACATTAATTGTTCTTTTTTTTTTATTTTTGTTGTTTTAATATTTATTTTCTTAATAATGGTAATAAAGGTCATCTATCTATCTATCTATCTATATATATATATATATATATATCGGTTTTAAGTCCTTCGAGCTGTGTAACCCCACCCCATTCTTCAGCTATGTTTACATATAAGGACTTAAAACCGATGAAAAACAAAGGTTCTTGAGTGGCGATTCCGTACGCGCAAACTCAATGTAGAACGATGCGTCACTGATGGAGTGAAAACCTCAAATGCATTGCAGGGAGTCAGTGGATGCAAGTGGTTCTGGACCGTTCCTTATGACAGTCTATGGGACAGACACCTATACATGTATATAGATCGCTTTTAGCGATAAAGCTGCCCATTGTTTTCTCACTGTGATTATTTCTTTTAATTGTTTATTGTTTGTAAGTATCTATCTATCTATATACGGGGAATTTTATAAATTTACTATGACGCTATGACGCAAAGCACCGTACGCCCCCTAGAGGAAACATCGGAAAGAAGTCGAAACAATTGTCGGAAACGACAAACGTAGTGAGATAAGAAAATTCCCAGTATACATGTATACATATGTATTCTGGGAATAGACAGTGAAATTATTATTAATTTTTCACTCCAATTCCCACGGTCAGAGCTTAGGAAATAGTTAATTAAGCTGTACCTTCATCTCATCTCATTGTAATGAGTATTCGAGTATTCTGGCACTTCCCTGTGGTTGACTGGGAGAGAATGCTCTTAGCATTAAGTCCGCCACGTACACATATATTGTACTAATGAATAAATAAATAAATAAATGATATCTGTATGAGAGAGATATTAAAGAGAAATAATTTGCTGGGTTTTCGTTTTGTCCAAACTGTTTTTTCTACCCTGTATAAATAGATAATTGCACCCGTGCAAAGCCTAATTGTTGTGTAATTTATAGCATTGTTGTTCTTCCACAGAACGCCGCCAGAGGTCGATGTTGGCGGCGCGCGCCAACAACACGTCGTCGCAGAACACGGCGCCGCGGCACAACGGCCTGCCGCACCAGCCCGCGCCCTCGCCTGCGCCCGCGCCCGCTGCGCCCGCGCTCGCGCCCGTACCACTGCCGCCCAAGTCGGCGGCGCTCACCTGTATGTATTTTTCTAATCTATACATATAATAAAACTGTAAAGGTCAAATGAAACGCTAAAAACCGAGTCAGAGGGATGTTAGAAGTGAAATAGAACACATACTAATTATTTTTTCTCAAACATGCTTGGAAATGTGAGCATTATTTTGACAGTCTTCTTCGAGATAAATCAAAATTGCCGTACTGGTCAGATACATGCGGGCAGCGGACGGCAAAAGTTGTATGAAAATCCATATCTGTCGTGTTTTGCGGCCGGATAAATAACTATGTAAACTCTGTCCTGTAATATAAAAATGGAATGACTTTTTACTTCGAAACATGGCTACCAAGAAGGTAACTAATAAAAGGTTTTATTTAAATTTCGAACTGGCTTGCAAATAGAAAGCTGTTTATTGAAAAAAAAAAAACAAAGTGCGTGAAAAATTGTTATTGTACGTTATTCGTCATTTAACTTAAAAAGTAAAATTGTGTTTTCGATTTCCGCGCATTGTTTGAGAAAAGTACAATACAAGCCTTGGCCACAACTTGGCATTGATAGACTCAGGCATGTGTACCGCGGCTACGCCTCGGCCCACATTAGCACATTCGTCCATCAATGCCTCAGTTGCTGGCCGCTGCAGTAATTTACTATTATTATATCATTTCAGCTGGGTACACACTGAAAGCTACAAATAAAAAACCGAAGAATAGAAAACTCACAAAAGCTGATATTGGTGCGCCGAAAGATTTCAAACACGTATCGCACGTGGGCTGGGATGCAAAAACAGGTTGGTTGACTGAATGAATGGTTACATTTAGGCCTGTAGGATTTTTCTTGGATGACAATGGAATGGTAACCCCGCAAAAGAGTTTACATTTTGGGGTAAACTTAAAACTAAGAAAGAAACACTAAAAAAAAGGTATTTATTTCTACCGTGAAGCAGTTCTGTTTGCATGGCTGTATTTCGGTTTGAAGGGTGGGATATGGCGTGAATTTACAGGGTACAGAGGAATAACACCTGAGTCCTCAGGAATGGCAACGCATTGGGGGGTATCATGGGCGAAACAGTATGTGTGTGTACTGTTATGTCCATGGTACTGCTCATGTCTATGGAGGACGGTTACCACTTTCCATCAGATGGGCCGTCAGCTTGTTTGCCATTCTAAGTTGTATAAAAAAAGGTAATAATTGACACATCTATATATGAATGGCATCATGGTATTATAGCTCAAACAGAGATATTATTGCTTCACTACAAGAACATATATATTGGTAGGTGTGTATATGTAGTAATATAAGCGAGTTATACCTAACTGTAAGATGTCCAGAGGTTTTTTAATGGATAAAAATCAAATGGTAACCCAGCCTACGCTGGCAGGGCACCAGTGATGGATAGTAGGTGAGATGAAAAGGCAGGTCAGTTAGTCAGTCGTGATGTATACATCAAGAACTCAATACGATTGTTTCAAGGGCGGACCACGTGGGGGTCGACCTAACAGGGTCTATAGAAAGTCACAAGACAGGGTTTAGTGTATAGAAAATGTTATACGGCTGTATAACATTTTCTATACACTAACCCGCTATGAATTGACAATTTTATCACTCCTATATAACTTTGTACAGGTTTTGACGTGTCGGAGTCACTACCAGAAGAGGAGATGCGGTCGTTCCTGTCGCTGGCCGGCGTGTCGGACGTGCAACTGCAGGACCACGCCACCAGGCAGTTCATATACGACTTCATACAAACGCACGGCGGCTACGACGCCGTCAAGGAGGAGATGCACGACACCAAGAAACCCAACAAAGGTACACTCTAGTAATGCGATGTAGTCCCGATATAGAATGGACTATTCCTTCCTTTCCCGTGGGTGTTGTAAGAGGCGACTAAGGAAATTTTATGATAAAGACATGGGCAGCAACATCACCAAAGCCTAACTGTGGTTGCCAATCCACCTGCCAAGCATGGCAACTACTGAAAAAACCCCCTTTTGGAGAAGGCTTATGTTCAGCAGTAAATTCAGCAGCCCACGCCGGCAGCGGGACTTGCCGCCGGCGCCGCACCGGCGTATGTACCACCTTACAAGCACTTTATTCAAATACCCGCATTTTAATAAAAAAAAAAAATAGAATGAAACTACGTCTTATATATTACAATGTCCTATTAATATTACAATAATAGCCGTGTAAATCCCGGCATAGAATAGGCTACCTCTTCTTTTCTCATGGGTGTCGTAAGAGGAGACTAAGGGCGACGGTTACCACTTTCCATCAGGTGAGCCGTCAACTTATTTGCCATTCTAAGTTGTATAAAAAAAAAATTGTGATTCACAGCAGCGGCCGCGGAAGTACCTCCGCTTCCGGCGCGGGGTCCGCCGCCGCCGCCACATCCACGTATGTACCACTTTATTATATATGCACTTTGAGCAAATACCCGCATTTTCATAAAAAAAAAAAATTAAAATAGAATATTAAACTTTGTCTTATTTTTTTTTTTTTTTTTATTTATTCATTAAAAATAATTACAACATTATAATAACAAAAGCCAAATCAATGTTATAAATCTAGTGTGCTAACATACAAAGTTATAATAAATGTATTTAACCCGACTCTGGATATTTCTGAGACGCTTCCAATATCTTTGGCAGGCTACTACTAAATATATCAATGATGCTTATATTTTTAAATTATCGTACTGCGTGATTATAATTATGTATTACAATATCCTATGAATATTACAAGTAACAGCCGTGTAAGTCCCGACATAGGTTAGACCAACCCGTTTTTTTTCCGTAGGTGTCGTAAGAGGCGACTGAAGGAATTTATTGGTAGAAGAATGGGCAGCAGCGTCCCTCTTAAAGCATCACTAAATGTCTAACTGCGGTTGCCAGTCCGCCTGCCAAGTGTGGCAACTACTGGCAACCCCCTTCTGGGGAAAGCTTATGTCCAGCAATGGACAATTAACGGCTGATTATTGATTAATATTACAAATGCTATAGTTTGTAAAGCTTTCGCCCAAAAACTTTGAACGTATGTGTAGTATGTGTAGCTACTGGTTTAACTTAAGTCTTATTAGATGTCTGAGTCAGGCTCGCGCTCAGTCACAGCCGCTCATGATTAAGGATCACGAATTGATTCTGAAACTAGTCGAGTTTTCACGATCTAATTACACGTAAGTTAAACCGGTAATTATTATAATAAAATATAATGTGATTACGAAACTTTTAACAATAAATAGTAAATAAGTGTTTGTGTACGATGTACGATTGTATGTGGCAGCGTCCCGCGCCCCTCCCCCGCCGCCGGCGCGAGCAGTTCCCCCGCCGCCGCCGCCCGCTGCGCCCGCGCCGCCCAGGAACCCGCCGCCGCCGAGACCAATGCAGCGTTAGTATACCATATATTTCTATTATACTTTATTACACGCAAATAATATTAGTTCCATACAAAAAACAAGTCTGTTGTTTAATAAGTTTAAAAAAAATGTGTCATTATAGTTAGACACATATTTTACAGTACTGAAAGTAGTATGAATCTGTGTGTTCAAGCTTTATTTTTACGCTTATGTTGGCAATGTAACTCACGTACCACCTCATGGGATAATGGCCGTCGCCTTTAGATACGGACAGCATCGAAATCATAGAGCATAATGTGATGATTGAGAACTATGAGTTTATATGCCTCCCATACACTATAATTTTATTGCTATTATTGCTATTGCTTTCGCACGTTTGGCGCGAAATATAATTAATTAATTTTAAAAATGGAACTGTTCAGCTCCGGCGTCAGCACCGCCGTCGGTGCCTCCCCCTCCCCCGCCGCCGGTGGGCGTGGCGCCGCCGCCGCCGCCTGCACCGCCTGCACCCCCGCCGCCGCCGCCCGCGCCAGTCGCGCCGCCGCCGCCACCGCCGCCGGCCGACATCGCACCATCGGTCCCGGGAGACGCTCGTGCCGCCCTTATGGAGAGCATACGTAGTGGCAACAAGAATTTGAAGGTAAGACTTTTGTTATTATATTTTGTATAAAGTAATTATAATATTATTGCAGTGAAAAACAAATTAATATTATAAACCTATTGTGTTTACATACAAAATTATAATAAACGTACTTAACCCGACTCCAGATATTTCTAAGCCGCTTCTAAAATCTTTGGTGGGCTACTACTAAAAAGATCAATGATCCTTATAACATCTTTACGGTGCGAGTTAAGCTTAGAAAAAAGAATTGGTCCATTCTATGTCGAAACCATAATGCTGTGTGATCCCGGAATAGATATTTCATAATGTACTGAATTCAGAAATTGCCTTCGAGGACAATTAATTACTACTACAGCGATGAATAATCAGTTGGAGATCGTTGATTGGACAGCTACTGCTTCCTTCCGATCCTAGAGTGTTTCACTCCTTAAAATTAAAGACTCACTTTCTGATAGAATTGATCTAATCTTTGACTGAGTATGATATATCAATTATAATTTATGTTGGCTTTACTCTCGTTTTTAAATCCAAAAATGACCGACTCGTTTCTATCTCGATGTTATAAAGAAGCCAATATTAATAATTACAATACAGTAATCACTTACATTCAACATTGATTCGTCAAGTTTTAATTCACTATAAAAGGTCGTTAGTACTCATCCGGCTCGAAGGATCATTTGTTGAAACGTGAGAAGCTATTCACAAATCACTTATACCTCCCCCCCCCCCCCCAGAAATACCAAATTGAAGATAGAAATATAACTACTAAGATATTATAAAAATAATTGTTATTTATGTAAACTTAAGCAGTTTTGAGTAGTAATAGGACAAGTGGTGATTACTAGCACCGAATATCTTTTCTCAATTGTTTATTTTTGAAAAAAATAATGGAATTATATTTGAATTTATATTCGCTCAGATAATTTTTAATGAATTGTATACGTCTTGTCTTCCAGCATGTCGAGGTCAATTCCAAATCGGATGACAGCAGGAGTAATCTACTGAGCGAGATTAGACAAGGAATTGAGCTTCGTTCCGTAAGTAACAAATTTCTACCTATACTATTTATACTCGATGTCTTCGCACGTTTTTTTTTTTTTTTTAATAAAATACATGCCCATAACGTTACAGGCAAATTTATATAAAGTTATATAAAAATAAAGTGATATTTCTATATAGCTTTTTTTAATGGGTGAAAATGAAATAGTGATCCCGCCTGCCCTATCGGTATACACTGGCGGGGTATCAGTGAGAGGTGATTAGTGAGGATGAAAAGGCAGGTCAGTTAGCCTATCGTGACGAATTCACAAAAATGGTTTCCAGGGGAAATCGCATGCAGGTCAATTTGATAGGGTATATTGCTAGCAATGGAGCTGTTAAATCGCATTGCTAACAATTCCTTTCCCCCCCAAACTTCATATATTTATAAGCAAATTTATAGAAAGTTTGACAGTGATATTTCAACAGCTAGATTAATATTACTAATAAGTTAATACGTTATATATTGTTAGAATTGGTACAGCACATTGTCATATTTGAAATAACGTCATGTCAACGTCTATTCATTTTTTTTTTTGTTCTCTTGTTATTTCGCTGTCTTACTTTTGTACATACTAATAAATCTATTTTACACATTTGCTGAGCTTAGATGTTATTTTTACGTAGGAAAACCCTCACATATATGCATTATAGTAATGTACCTTATATATTATAGTAATTTACTTGCATATAGTAGTAATAAAATACTACCATATACTTATATAAATAGATGCAAACTAATACATATATAAACTTATATAAAGACAAATATACTAATATGTACTAGGTACTGTCTTTTTTTGCATCATTCTTTAAGTGATTCAATAAAGAGTAAATACATAAATAAATAAGGATGGGATATGGCAGTGAATTCACAGTGTACAGAGGAATAACACCTGATGAATGAATAAATGCTCTCAGGAATGGCAACGCTTGGGGGGGGGGGGGGGTATCATGGGCGAAACATTACACTCTGTTATGTCCATGGTACTGTTCATGTGTATAGGCGACGGTTACCACTTTCCGTCAGGGGGCCGTCAGCTTGTTTGCCATTCTAAGTTGTATAAAAAAAAAATATGAAAATTGCAATTTAAAAAAAGAATAATAATAACACCTCTCACTAAATATAAATAATCATAGTAGTGTGTTCACTGCGTGTGTGTGCATTATTTATGTAATCAACACACCGGTGCTGGCTTGTATTGACATATCGTGGGTCAACGTGTGGAGGACTGATGAAGCCAATTCCAGTCGTCAGGGGGGCCGTCAGCTTGTTTGCCGTTCTAAGTAGCATACAAATAGTGAGAGCGGTAGTGTAGTGAGCGTGCGTGTGTGTGCGCGTGCGCAGGTGTCGCGGCCGGCGCGGGCGGAGGTGCGCGCGGGCGGCGCGGGCGGCGCGGGCGGCGCGGGCGGCGCGGACGGGCTGGCGGGCGCCCTGGCGCGCGCGCTGGCCGTGCGCTCGGGCGCCATCCACTCCGACTCGGACTCGCACTCCGCCTCCGAGCCCGAGTCCAGCGACGGCGAGTGGGACTACTGAGCGCCCTGGCGCGCGCGCTGGCCGTGCGCTCGGGCGCCATCCACTCCGACTCGGACTCGCACTCCGCCTCCGAGCCCGAGTCCAGCGACGGCGAGTGGGACTACTGAGCGCCCTGGCGCGCGCGCTGGCCGTGCGCTCGGGCGCCATCCACTCCGACTCGGACTCGCACTCCGCCTCCGAGCCCGAGTCCAGCGACGGCGAGTGGGACTACTGAGCGCCCTGGCGCGCGCGCTGGCCGTGCGCTCGGGCGCCATCCACTCCGACTCGGACTCGCACTCCGCCTCCGAGCCCGAGTCCAGCGACGGCGAGTGGGACTACTGAGCGCCCTGGCGCGCGCGCTGGCCGTGCGCTCGGGCGCCATCCACTCCGACTCGGACTCGCACTCCGCCTCCGAGCCCGAGTCCAGCGACGGCGAGTGGGACTACTGAGCGCCCTGGCGCGCGCGCTGGCCGTGCGCTCGGGCGCCATCCACTCCGACTCGGACTCGCACTCCGCCTCCGAGCCCGAGTCCAGCGACGGCGAGTGGGACTACTGAGCGCCCTGGCGCGCGCGCTGGCCGTGCGCTCGGGCGCCATCCACTCCGACTCGGACTCGCACTCCGCCTCCGAGCCCGAGTCCAGCGACGGCGAGTGGGACTACTGAGCGCCCGCGCCGCTACCCCGCATCCTATCGCTGGCGTACACGCAAAACTAACCAACTCAATTGTTTGCATTTTTCACTTGGTAACGATTTACTGTTTTTTTTTTTTTCTTTTTCTTTGTGTGTTTTTGTTGACGATTATCTATAACAAAAAGAAATAACAGACACCAACTGTATATATTTTAAAATAATGATCAATGAATAATATTAAATATTTTTTCACTGGGTACAGAGGAATAACACCTGAGTCCTCAGGGATGGCAACGCATGGGGGGTATCATGGGTGAAACAGTGTACTCTGTTATGTCCATGGTACTGCCCATGTCTATAGGCGACGGTTACCCCTCTCCATCAGGTGGGCCGTCAGCTTGTTTGCCATTCGAAGTTGTATAAAAAAAAGGTACATGGGTTAAAAAAAGTCAATTGCTTCTAATACATGTCCAGCTGCTATTTTGAAATTCGACATTTGCTTGTCGTTTTTCAACACATGCTGCTTTGGGAAAAATGTTCAATGTCACCGATAGAAACTCCTTTGAAAAGATGCTAATGATTTATTTGTCATAAAACTTAAAGTTGATTGTGATACGAATGAATTCTATATTTGAATAACGCGACAGGTTTTACTTACGGAATTTGTACGAATGTGTCAATAGTGCCATATCTTTCACCTAATTTGATGTAAAATTTTGCTAAAACTTTATGACGTAAAAAAATACTTGACTAGAAAAAGTGGAAGTCAAGAGTACGTTGCGACATCTATTTAAATGCATGTCTATGATTACAATTTATAACTACACATTCATCCATGATGGTCTAACACACGTATATTCATAATATGTACGAACAAGCAGATTTAATGTAATCGAATCTTGTAAAGCAATATTTTAATTAACATATAAATACAATTTATATAGTAGAAATTTATAACACACTACCTCCTACCAGAGGGAGACTGTACAAAAGTCGATTGCTTGGGTACCTCTGTCCCATTCGTGTTTCAACCGTGAAGCAGTTGTGTTTGCATGGCTGTGTTTCGGTTTGAAGGGTGGGATATGGCGTGAATTTACTGGATACAGAGGAATAACACCTGAGTCCTCAGGAATGACAACGCATGGGGGTATCATGGACGAAACAGTATACTCTGTTATGTCCATGGTACTGCTCATGTGTATAGGCGACGGTTACCACTTTCTATCAGGCGGGCCGTCAGCTTGTTTGCCATTCTAAGTTGTATAAAAAAAAAATTAGAAAATTGCAATTTAAAAAAAGAATATTATATCTCCTACTAAATATAAACATTCATAGTAGTGTGTTCACTGCGTGTGTGTGCATTATTTATGTAATCAACACACCGGTGCTGGCTTGTATTGACATATCGTGGGTCAACGTGTGGAGGACTGATGAAGCCACTTCCAGTCGTTATCTTATAATCTAATGCGAATAGTCTATAGACATTTAGAATCTTTCTATCTTATTACAAAATACAGACTGAATATAAAAGCTCTGAAATAAACCACAGAGTAAAACAATTGTTATTGCAACACAAAGTTTATCACTAAACCATAGACCATCTATGGTTTCAAGATAGACCTCCAAAGTACGCAGTTTTACTGCGGTTTAAGACCAAATATTTCGTGTTCACATAAAATTGGACTTCTACTGATTTAGATATGCATGCGCATGCGTCTGCACTAGCGTTATATTATATGACATGTAATATACGTCTAGATTGTTCTCGAACATTTCGAAACTACAAAATTGGAAATAAATGTGTATTATCCAATATAATTGAAGACTTTGGAATTTAATCAAGTCTGTTTATAATATCGATTCGTTTACAATAGGAGGCATTTTACGTAGACGGAAAACTTCTGTAAAGGTATTAAGAGCAAAAGCCTAGTTGCAACTTTTTTTTTTTCTTATAAGGGCTAGTCAAAATGACCACACCCCACCTGATGGTGAGCAGGTAATGTGGTCCAAATGTAAAAATTTGTCTTGTATATAACAAGACAATAGTACACCTTGTATTAACTAAACAATCTTTTCTTTTTTTTTTTTTAATATATTTAGTGTGAGCTGAGTAACATTTCCCCTGCCTTAAAAAATTTTACAACTGTTTTTTAGTTTCAATTGTGCCGATTCTGATGCCCTCTATTGTAAATTGGTGTTTAATGTAAACAGTTTGTTATTTTAATAATATTACCTTGTCCAATGGCGACAATTAACGAAAGTCGATACGTATAGGATAACTAAAGAACCCATATGTGCCTATAAAGCTAATGTATTCATATTGTGATCGATTAACTGTACATTGTGGTGTACTAAACAAAAATCTCTTAGTTATGAAAGACAGAATGTGGTGAAGTCATAAAAGAGCAATAAGATAATGACATATAATTTGGCTTTAGCAGAGAAAAATAATGCGTTTATTATAATATAAATGAAAAAAAAAATGCTTCTGTTGTCTGTGGGCTGTAGTATGGTGCAGGTGACACTTGGCATTTGATTGTAAAAGAACTAACTATATAGGGATTTTTAGAGTCTAAGTCAGTTAAATAACTAATTATTACCTTCTTACAATTAAACGGTTTAGTGAATCTGTAAGTAAATTTTTTATCTATGGTGTTGTTGTCCAGTCACCAGTATAATATTATAATGCAAAGATTATAATCACTATAATCAACATGACAGATGAAACTTGATATAAAAATCTACTGCTCAAAATTTAAAGCTCACATTTATCTAATTATTTATTATGTATATTGTTATAGAAAAGTTATATAATTACTAGTATTGATGAAGACTACAAATCGGTAAGTGCATTTTGTCATCAAAATTGTGTTCGAAATTTAATTCGTATAAAAATTGGCGGGAAAAATGACACTTCTTTATTAAGGAAATATGGAAAATGTAAACGAGAATAACATGTTTTAGAGATAGAAAGCCATAGATAAAATTTTCAACTCTAAAGATTTTATTCCATATAAAAACGAAGCTCGATATTTTGTATTAATTACAAAAAATACAACAAATTTTAAACTTTTGTCTTTTTTTATTTTCAAAAATAATTCATAAAGATAACGGATTTAAAATTTTGAACACATTTTAAACAATAAATGAATAATACGATTATTAATAATTTATTTAAAACGTATTTACATACAAATAAGAAATTCGAAAAACCAGAAAGTTAATAAGTCTGATAAAAATTACGTCTAACAAAATCTACTATTAAGTATGTCTGTAAAATTATCTGTAAATACCATTTACACAAAAAACAAGGACATACCAAGATAGCTTTGATTAAATCTCTTCAATGTTAAAATTTGTATTTAAAAATAATTTATTATTAAAAATACTCGACAAATACAAAAAAATATACTAATGTATCTAATTAAATTATCAAGGAAATGACGTCACAACACAAGTAGGACTATTTCATTACTATCTATAAAAATCACTGCTACTTACTAAGATAGATGAAAAATTACAAAATGTCAAATCCATAAAAAAAAAAACTAAAGTTATAGACGATCTTAATTGGAATTTACGTGAAAAGATACTCGCGCCGGAATAGTAAAAATGAAAACTACAAATAATGTAAATCAATAAATAACCACTAATAAATTCGTATTAGTATATTTTGACGTTATTTTCTCAAATTAAAAATTTAGCTCAAAAGTTTCGAGTTCCATAACAAAACTAGGTTTATTAAATGTTTATCTTTATATATTGACAAACGTTATAAGTATAATGGTTTAGTGGTCAGTATTTTTTTTTTTATTTTACATGCAATATGGCAACTGTATCTGTTGTTTTTATTTTACAAGTAAGCAGTACTTTGTATGGACTTTCAACATATTCTTATATTGCTGATTCGCTTTATTATCTTAAAAGTAATATAAAATAATTTGTGGAAATAAAAATAAACGTTTATAATAAAAAATAAAATTATTTACAACATTTAAATTTATTAATTGACACTTCTATTAGATGTGTACTTTTTATCCCTTAATAATTTTTTTTTAAATGCCTTCAATTGAGATGTACTATCAAAACATTAGGCTGTATGGTTTTATACCTCCGCTTTATCCGTTATTAGTAAATTCTTACTACTAATACACTATAATCATACAATATAATTACTAAAGACGAGGCAGAATGGCCTATGGTCGTAGCCTGTCCAAAAGGATAAATTATTAAAAAAAATTATTCAATATAAAAAAAATGTTTAAACCTAAATTTTAAAGAATCATATATTTTATTATTATATCCACCTATAAGCATATTTTTTCTATTATCTTTTAAGAATTCTAAATTGTGTTTTGAACGAAAGTACAGATTGATGTTATAAGGACAGATTAATTATTGTTTATTTAATTTATTAGATGGCGGAAATTGATTTTTTAATTTATAAAAATCAAGTCAGATATCGAATGGTAGATATCAGATTTAGTTAACCTCTGACCTGACAATAATTTATTTCTGTCTTATGAAAATTCCAATTCGTTCCACCGTAAATGGCAGAATTTGATACAGAATTTTAATAAATTCTATGACATATGGTTGTGTGGAAGTAATAATTGTGAAAATTTATATTCTAGAACGGTGTTGGACAAAAATGGTAGATAAAATTCATAAATTAAATAATTTATGATACAACTTATAAACAATAATGTTAATAAAGCATATCTAATGGTAGTGTACAGTACAGACCAAAAAACCTGTCAACTCTAAAAAGTATAATAATGAATAGAATATTCGAATTGTATCTTATGTTACAGAGGTTATGATTATACTTATTCAGTTTCGCGCGTAAATGTCGCGGGAAAAAACAAGTAAAACCATAGATTGTGCTGTATGTTTTTTTTAATACATATTGCACGAATCACGTGTGTTACCACAGTGTAAGGAACAACCAGTGGTCCAGCGCCTTTAGTACATCTCAAAACGCACTAATCTGCTTTAACTTGTCTGTTAGGCGTATAGTAGGAAAGAGTTCTTCAGACTGTGCTCAATATAAAATAGTAAATTTAATAATTGCAAGTCTTTGAACTTTTCCTCTTTAGACAAATTTGTACTAAATCATACATATTAAGTTCCAGACACTGCTCAACTATTTCTCGCCAACACCGTTCGAGTATTTAGCTATTAAGATGAGTGATTGGTGTGCCAAGTGTTAGCGCTAGTGTTCAGTGCCTATTGGGATAAGGTGTTGATGGGATTAACTAGTCAAATTAATGCTACAATTAGAAGGCGTATGAATAAAATTTTGCGCGCGTTATCTGACGACGTTCTTAAAGCATTGCCCCCTTACTTAAAATCGCGCCGGTTATGGCAATATTCATAATATCATAGTGTAAAAAACAACCAGTGGTCCAACGGCTTGCATGTTCCAAACAATTACATGATTATTTGGGACGCATTGACGTTTAGACGTGTCTATTGGACAACTGGTTAGAAATTTTTTTTTTTCACTGCTAATACTTATAATAAATTTGAAAGCTAGTATGAAATACATTTAGGTGTTAACGTTTAAACAGGTTTTAGTAAAATCTGATACAAAATAGCATATCCAGTATTAACACATTTACGCGGGTAAACAGGATTTATATATTAATTGATTAATGCCTGACTAAACTAGCGTTTAGAAGTAACGGGGGTAATGAAATATTTCATCCGTAACTTTTTGCAGTTCTCTATGGTTTGTTGTTTTACTTCTATTACTATATAGTCTTGTATGTTGATTGCATATTAATTTAATTGCACATATTTTTATATGGTAATTAAAAAAAAAACAGTGTTCTCAGGGAACTGCAAAATATTATAAGGTTATTTATAACTAATATCCATTCTAACGCATCAATTCAAGTACATATAGTCAACAAAATAAAATTTGTAAACAGTAAAAACTTGGTTGTTAATTCAGGGCCCGATTTAGGAGGCGCCAGCCAGGCAAACTAATGGTAAAATGTGTTAAAACGTTAAACCAGCAACAAATATTCAGTTTGCCGTACTGGGCAACATGCAATATAGGCAATGGGCAATAGCAACGTGCCCGCTAGTATGCATGTATGCATAGACAATTATATTTTATTGGATTTATACGTTGGAATGGCACCGATAGTTTTTTAATTAAAAATGACCATAAATGTATTTATTTAGACTTGTGTTTGTTATTAAATGTTGTAAAATCTACGCATTGCTGAAATATCAGAAATAATTATTAAATTGTGAATAATAATTCCTTAGACTTTACAACTTTTAAGAGAAATGTTTCAAGCGACCACCTCGTTTATGTGAAATTAGGAGTCACTGTTAAGGCTCACTTTATTTAAATATATTTGACTTTTTTCTTTTATTATAAGTAATACGTGATTTGTCGACTCTATTGTATTGAATGCTTACATATTAATGACTGTATATGTGTATATAATATTATTATAGTTATTGAAAGTTATTTCATAATCGTATCTAATGTAACAAATATTATAATTTTAAATTATGACTTTCATTGTGATTTCGTATAAATGTGGTGAAGCCCGGTTTAATATGGAGTCTAATTCATGATAAGATAGTGACGCAACAAGTGACGATGTCACAACAAAAACTTTACTACTTATTAATTAAACTTTAAAGTAGAAAAATTTTTTTTTATAAATTATTAAATTTACAGACGCCATATTTGTTTTATACGATCGTCTTGACTCTTGTATGTGTAAGCTTACATTAAAGTATATTTATTAAATCCATTCAATCGCCCAACTTTTTCAGTTTGTGCCTGAGTGCTATGAACAAAAATATTAATTCAAGTTATGCAACTGTCGTGTCATGAATTAGACCTAATTTATTTAATACAAAAATAATTTCAATTCGATGTCACACATAGCACGTTTAATTACAAAACTAATTTAGCACTTACCCTACAATATTATTTGAAGCACGTGGTTTAAATAATTTGGCCGTTGAAAATCGATCAGTCATAAAAAAAAATAGTAAAATATGAACATCTATATGTTTAAATTAATTTTGTGAAGTACATTTTCAAAAATGGAATAAGATCAACAAACGTTCGAGACGGCCAAAGATTTAACGCAGATCACAAATGCGTGCTAATAAATATCGCTTTAGCTCTGTTAAATATATATTAATATAGGGCATGTAATTATTCTTAGCATATAACTTGTATATTGTAAAAAGGCGAAAAGCTATTTTTATAATTTATGTTTTTTATTGTTATCGTCTCAATGTACCATACATGCCAAATGTTGACTAACTAAATCATGTTATTACCACCTGTAACACTACGTTGGCTAAATAAATATTATAAAACACTATAGTTTTTTTTTTTTCAGAAATGATTTCCTAATTTTTGATTGGTGAAATCGAAATTATTACACACATGCATACGCGCACACATTTACACACTATTCATAGACTTAGTATGATGTAGTATTATGTCCATGGTTCTGTTTATGGCTGTAGGGGAAGGTTAGAACTTTCCATCAAATAAACCGTCAGTATGCCATTGTAAGTTGCATAAAAAAAATAGTGTCCTTGTTTTATTACTAAAACGGAATTTTTCGTCTAAAGAAACAGCATGATTTAAAAAAAAATTATACTAGACTTAGGACATGCTAATTGTTTTTGGCATAATCAGCTGGCAGATACTCATATCAAGTAATATAAGTATTTTTTTATTTATTTTACAATAAATTTTCGAAAGCTAATTCAAAATAAAACGATTTATAGTAGTCATAATTTATTTTCTATTTTCAACAACTTACATCGTTACAAAAAAAAGTAAATCTATCAATAAAAGAAAGATTAAAGTTCGAAATAAAATAAATTTCTAGCAACATTATGTATCACAAGCAAAAAATTTTTATCCTTCAATAAAATCGAAAGTAACAAGTTCTTAGCGTCCTACCACATATTAGGTACATAAGAGATTTATACAAGCTATCCATACGCTTTGGCAAAATCTAATCGCTCTTGATCACACTGTAGGAGCAGTGACAAAAGGTACCTATTCTGTGATAACTAAACGTCGTAATAAAAAAACATTTACAAAATTATCTATTTCTTAAAAAAGAATTATCAAGTATTATTTTAGACTTGCACAGACGAGGGCTTGTTGTGCATAGTGGATAAAATTATATTTTGCCGGAATCTTGTCACCGACTCGCTTGCGAATTGTCCCGGGTCTGTGCAAGCTATTTAGCTAGACATGCCAATAATGCTGTCCGCTCCAACAATGCATCGACTTGTAAGGGTATAACAGACGAGTGGTCCCTTGCCAACGGCTAATAACAAACGAAATAGAATTGCCTCTGACAAAGTACTACTCGTCTGTATAAGCCCTAACATGACCCAACTCACCTTATCCAATCTTTTATAAAATGTGACCAGACCACACTACCTAATTAAAAATTACATTATTTTAATTTTATAATACATACATTAGCATCAATACTAAGGAGTCATTTGTCTAAAAATATTTCAATAGCTAAAATTCCAGTTTGATATCACATAATCATAATATTTATTTTAACGACCAATATGAACCCGTTTCTAATAGACTTAGAATTATTATAATTTTAGTATACGATGGTCCATTAAAAAAAAATTCGCAAAAATATCGAATTAAAATAGGCAAGTGAAATGACACCTAAGAATCGACCCCATTGTAAAATAGTTATAAATTTATTCCCTCCTGTACATGTAATGAGGGGATAAAATGTATAACGAATGTTACACAAACATGTATATACAATGTCTTCTCGTTATTTTCAATTAAAATTCAGTATTCTAAACTTATATAAATTTATATTCTGGATTGCCCACGTTCCAACAGTCTTTACTTTCTTTAATACCTAGTAAAATATAAATGGTAACCCATCTTTTTATGAGTAAATGAAGTTTGTAAATTTATTGATAGCAATTATTTGAGGCAGTGGTGAAGTTACCAACTAAAAATTGAAGTTGATTACATAAAATATAAAAATTCAGTCCTATGCATGCTAGATTGCCACATCCAATAGATATGTATACACGTCTTTTATACATACATCTATCAAATACTTTATCCACATTTTTAGACCATGCTTACCCCTGATTCGTATATTAATTTGCATATTCAAAAGTCCACAAATTTTATTCCAAACCGAAATAAGTTTTTTCGTTACGAGACAGGACGGGCATCTGGAGCTTTTGAATTCCCACCTTTATTTTATTATGTATCATTTACAAACGCAAATGTTCATGTTTCGAATAGTAGAAGCAAAGGAAAGTAGCAACATAGTGATTTGGTGTGACGACCAAGTTTTGAGAATTCCATATTTTTTCTAAATACTCATGTTTCTAAACGCAGTAGATTTTCACAGTCAGCATTGCAGCATATATGCCTAACGGATCTCCAGTCCTATTTGTACTTATATAAGTTTTCAAATTTCAGTTTGATTCCGGATTATCTCTCGTGTTCACAGATCTTTAAGACTTTATCAGGTAATGCTTCTATCATGAACATATCTAGACTGCCATCATACATCCATCAAATTTATAAATATTTATCTAAGCATTATACACGTTCAATATTTCAGCACTAATAAAGAGCTTGGCAAAATCGATAAGAAAATGAATCGTCTAATGGGCGCCTTATATATTTTACATTGGTGATGAGACAGATCTAGTGTCAGTTAGGCGCCGCAGTGAGCTGGCAGTAGAAATAATGCTGCCTGTATCGAATTCTTAATAGAAAACAATTGATAAAAATGCATATAAATAAAGATAAGATTTATTCACTTTTAATTATAAATCAGAGTACATTCATATTTCACGTCATTTATTGGAACTAATAACGGTTTATGGCATAATAACATATGTTACACATATGGCAGCCCATTAGCTGGTATAATTCCTTGTTTATATTAAAACTTAATTATTATATACAGATTCATGCATTTACGTTTCAGGAAACGAACTATTTATTACACACATTATATAATTTCGTTATTTATTGGACTAAATTAATTATTCACATAATTTTGTTTTTATTAAAATACGAACAAATGCACGCTAGCAGTGGCTAGCAAAGGGAACATCGTAAGTTTATACACCTATTCATAAGTAAAAGTGCCAGATCATTATCTATCATGATTTATAAAATTTTCATTGGAATTAACTTCAAATTTGAAGATCAAATATTTCCGCTTTAAAACATTCAAATGTAATATTAAGAGAGGAATCAACGAAGAGGCGTCAAAGTTTAACAATTTCGTGAGCACGCCTCTGTCGTCCATAAAAACCCTGGCCTCCTCTTATATCCAGCATTCATAATCACATTTACTCATTACACTATGCTTTCATAATTTTTATACAACAAATAATACAGACAAGACCTAAAACAATAATTTTAATGCTTACTTTCTACAGTACACCATAGTCATAAATCAATATAAAATATCTACTATAAATATTAATTTGTTGCCTATCTCGTCTTACTACATCATTACTGACTTATTAATAATTTAAAGTCTTTACACGTATAAATATACACCACATTTTCATTGATCAATCAATAACTTACAATTAATCATCATCGATTGTAATGACAGGGACACTCACATCCACATCCATAGAGTCATCATCTGTTAAATTAACTATTTCACAATCATTGTCTTCTTTTTTCTGATACAGTGAAAGAACGTCCGATATTATGGGCGACTGTACCATATCATGCAATATTCTCTCGTCTTGGCTCTCCTCGTCTTGAGATTCGGTGAAAAATTTAACATTCTTATGTTCCTGCTCATCATCAATCGGTTCGCTCTGTTGAGAGTGTTGGGACTTATTCTCTTCAAAAGGCTCGTCCTCTCCTTCTTCTTCGTCATCATTGTACCCGTAATACTTCTCATCGTCCTTCTCATCTTTTGGAATGTAAGAATTGATGAGCGCGACGAGATCCTCATCGCAAGTGAACACTTTCGACGGATCGGCGTCCTCTTTGCCGCATTCGTGTTGTGAGAACAGTTTATATGAAGTAAAGTACTTATTGCAACCGTGACACTGGTTCTGCAGGTGTGCGCGGTAGTGGTTGTGTAGGTTCGGAAAGTCATCGCCACACACGACGCATCGTTCCGCCTTCACTACTGCTCGATAATGCATTTTCTTCAAGGACTTGTGTTCATTTTTCATGTGTTTAATAAATACACCGTACTTGACGAACTTTTCGCCACACTTTCTACACTTTATGGGTTTCTTGTTGTACTTTCGACTTCTGTGCGAGAACGCGTGGATGTTGAACGCTTCCATTGTCTTGAACTTCAACGTGCAGAACCGACAAGAGATGGCGCCGGATACTTGGTGTATCTGATTGTGGAGTCGCTTGCTATTCTTCCTTGTAACAGGTTTAAAGCAGAACCTGCACTCTTCGTATTTCGGTTGGAACGTACCGTCGACGATTTCCACACCATCATCGTCGCTTTCGATGGCGCACAAATGATTATCATAGTCTATCCTCGAGTAGAAGTATTCACCGCACTTTTTGCACCTGTTCTCCTCGTGGTAAGTTAGATGTTTGTGTAAATTGTAAAATATCTTGTTGCAAATGGGACATTTCTCTTCTATTGACTCCTTGGGCATGACTATCCATTCCTTATTGTCGCCGTGCTCATCCCGCATATGGTATATCATTTCTCGGAAGGCCACGAATGTCTCGTCACAGTGTTCACACTTGGTCGGATTGTCCACGTTCAGTTGCGAGTAATGGTAGTTCTTATGCTTCCGATATAGAGTCATTGTATTGAACTTTCTCTTACAGTAAAGGCAACCGTAGTAGCCAATTGTGCGGTGGTACAGTTTGTGTGTGGTTAACGCGTCTTCATTTTCGAATACGCGGAAGCAGTAGTCACACACTATGTCTTTTCTGCCCGAAGATGCTTCCTTGTTCACTTTAATATTGTGTTGTGTTCGCAAGTGACAATCCAATTTCACTTGTAAATGGAACGCCTTATAGCAAACATGACATTTCACTTTCTTTGGATAGATCTCACTATCCCCTATCAATTTTTTCTTATCGCAACTAAATGATAAGTGACCTTCTAGGAATCGAAGTGTGCTGAAATATTCAAAACAGTAATTGCATCTTAAGGAGTTATGGTAGTCGATATGCCGCTCAAAGTTTCCTTTACTGGCCAATATTTTAAAGCAAATAGAACATTGGAATTCTTTCAGTGGTCCATCCAGGGTTTGCTCCTTGCGGTCGGCGATCCAAGTTTCGTTGATACCGTGGGCGTCCCTCAAATGATGATGGAGACCGTACCCTTTAATAAATGTCTCCTCACAATGAGGACACTGCAGTGGATTGTCCAAATGTTTTTCACACAAGTGTCCCTTGATGTGAATTCGATGGTTTTTCAAGGATATAGTTTTCTTACCACAGAATTTACACTTAAAGAACTCTGGTTTCCGTAAATGAGCTTCCTCGTGATGTTGCAGTCTTCTTTCATCCATGAATACCTTTGCGCATAGTTTGCAAGAATAATAAATGGGCGGTGGTGCATCAGGGTCCTCTTTAATCATCTTGCTCTCTGGATGAGTTCGCCTCAGGTGGCGAATAAGCTTCACCAAGTCTGGGTAGTAACGAGCGCAAATAGGACATTTCACTTTGTCTTTCCTAAGTTTTTCTATTCTCTTCTTGTGCGATTGATGGTCGAAGTTGTGACCTTTTACGTGCCTTTTAAAGTACTCCTCGTCTATGTAGCCTTTACCGCAAATTTGACATTTGTACGGTCCATTCTCATCTTCATAGTGACTTCTGATGTGTAGTTCCAATCGCCTTTTATTTGTGAAGACTAATTGACAAACATAGCACTCGTGACGAGCACCAAAGAGCGAAGTTTTCGATTTGTGCCATATGATGTGATGTTTTAGGGAAGTTTCAGAGTCGCAAACTTTCTTGCAAAGATGGCATGTGTGTGTACCATCAAAAATAGTTCTATCGAGATTATTTGGTACTACATCACCTACAATAGTGTTCTGGACGCTCTCACCTCGTTTGTAATGGATGGCCATGTGTGATAGATACACCTTCCTATACTGGAACACCCTCTTGCATATGGAACACTGATAGTCTTTGTTCTTGAACCGCGTTTGCTTGTGGAAGTTCATGTGCGCTTGCGCGGCACGTAGATGCTTGCTCTTGCGATTACAGATGGAGCACGTGAGGAACTTGGGATCCAGATTTGTGTCTCGGTAATGTTCACGCATGTGCAGTTTGTAGTGACATTGGAAGCGGAATTTCTGAAATCAAATTATTATTTAATTTATTAATGTGGAAGTATTTTTCTGTATAAAGAAAAACCAACTGATTATCACCACTGTTTATTCTAAAGAAATATTTTGTAGTAGGCCTTTTTATAGTGTATATGAGCATTATGTTTGTATTTGTATTTGTTTAGTTCTGCTACCATTAGTATGTGTGCGGCTGCCAATATTCATGGATTGACTCCTACTAGGCTATTAATATACGTAAGCCACTAAATTATAATACTAAATTTGCATGCCTTTACATAAGGCGAAATGTGTAGATCAATAATATTTAAGACCATTATTACCGCATTTCGAGCTAATAAATAAATTATTATTATAGATAGATACTTAACAAAACTGACATCGACCATAAAATATGAAGAGATTTGTTGAAATCGCCATGAAAATGAGTATTAACCGATTTCCGCATAGTGAAAGCTGCAGGAAACAGACAGCCATTTCCCACAATATGTCAGAATATCACGTCTTTAACGAAATATGTAATGGCAAGCTTTTATATAGTTTAGAAACTTACCTCCTTACAAACAAAACATTCTATCATTTTCTCTATATTGTTCCCAACATTGGTATGCCAGTTGATGTGTCTCTTCAATGATATGAGCGTGCCCATCACCTTCCCGCATATCGTGCATGTGAACCCACTCATATTGACCAGGGGTCCGGCCGCCTGTTCGCCATTTGTAACTGGAACCTCTCCAAAGCCGTTGTGACTCTGGAGCGTGTCCAGGGGTTCCGTTTTAGTCACAACGACTTCGCAAAAATCCGCCAGATCCGACCCACCCTCTAGCCTCGGGAGCTTCTGTGACTGTTTAGGCTGCTGTTTCAACCTGTGTATTAGTTTTATGTGATTCGCTAGTGCACTGCAACTCTTGAACTTCTCCGCACACTCGACCACTCCACACGTGTACATATTTCTTGGCTTGATGTTTACAGTTATGTGCTTCTGGTTGTGCTCGTTGATTGCGCTCACTTTCATCTCGATGTCGCATATCAAGCAACGGACCATGCAGTCCTTTAAGGTGATCTTCGCTCGCTTTGTGCCCGAACTCATATTATGCTTGGTACGCTTGTGTTGCAGTAACAAGCGTCTATACGAGAACTGCTTCTCGCAGATATCACACGTATTATCCTCGGCTTCATCATGACTAGACTCTGACTCTGAATTCTCAGCTCGCGGCAGTTGTAGCTGTGACTCGGACAAAAGGCTTGTTGATGCTGACTTATCTGGCGGCTCCACTTTTATATCTATCTCTCCAGTTGAGTGTTTTAATTCGTGGGTTTCGAGAGCTTTTTTGTATTTAAACGACTTGTCACATTGTGAGCAATTCAGTGTTCCTTTTGGTCCATATGTGTTGCTGTACGATGAATTGACAGATATCGAGTCAATTGGTGTACTTGCTCTGAAACAAAATATTTATTATTAGTTTTAATCATTCTGCTTTGCTCCTATTTATTTGATTATTTAAACTTTCATCATCATCATTTCAGCCATTATCCATCCACTGCTGGACATAAGCTTCCCCCATAGACTGCCATAAAGAACAGTCCTGAGCCACCTGCATCCACTGACTCCCTGCAATGCATTTCAGGTCGTCACTCCATTTTAGTTCTACATATTCTGTTTATAACCCATACGCGGTAGCCACTCAAGAACCTTTGCTTCCCCATCGGTTGTCGGTTCATCGAGCTATGTGACCAGCCCATTGCCACTTCAGCTTGCTTATCTTTGAGCTATGACGGTTATTTTGGTTCTTTTACGGATATACTCATTTTTTATTTATATGGAAAGTGGTAACCGTCGCCTATAGACATGAGCAGTACCATGGACATAACAGAGTATACTGTTTCGCCCATGATAACCCCTATGCATTGCCATTCCTGAGGACTCAGGTGTTATTCCTCTGTACCCAGTAAATTCACGCCATATCCCACCCTTCAAACCGAAACACAGCCATGCAAACAACTGCTTTACGGTACAAAGTCTCCCTCTAGTAAAATTCTATCACGCAAAGAAACTCCAAGCATAGCCCACTCCATAGCCCGCTGAGTGACTTGAAGTTTTTTAATAGAAGATTGTATATAGGCAATCATGCAGAACCATGTTTCGGTTCCACAAATCATCACTGGCAGCACACATGCAATAGTGGGATTTCACAGAGGTTTTAAGCTACTGAAAGTTTGAGCGCACCAAAGAAACGCAGGTAGTGAGTTCCACAGGCGAACTGCCTGGACAGCAAAGATTTTAACTTGTGACTAAAAAGTGAGGACTCTATTAATTATAATCTTGACGACAACTGTGTTATAGTTTGTTAGATCTCACCTTGAGTCATCATCCACAGCAGCATTGTTATCCATATTGGACATGTGACTTGCTAAATGTGTAATAAGCAACTCTTGGCTCGCTAATCTCTTACTACACATGCGACATTCAAAAAACTCTGCCTTAGGCGTTGAAGTCGATTCATCCATTGGTTCATCCAATAGCCGTTCTCCAAAGTGCATGCTTTTCATATGAAGAATATATACATTGATTTTTGATAACACTTTATGGCATATGGGGCAACTGTAACTTTCTAAACTTCTCTTTTGTGGACATTTCAAAAAATGCTCACTGTGCCCATAGTAATCTTGAAAGGGCTTCTGACAAAATAAACAAGGAACAGTGGTTAGTCCGTTTTCTTTCTCTTCTTTTGGCTCGGCGCGATCCCTTTTGAGTACAGCGGCGTGGACCACGCGCATGTGTTTGCGTAAATTGTCTATAGTTTTAAATTTCGTCGTGCATATTTCACAGTCGAGCCTCCGTGCCTGTAACATGTCGATCGGTTGTAACGACACTAACAGTTCTTTCTGCGGTGACTTGTCTAATTTCTCCATTAGTATCTTGTGGGGACTAGTCTCACATGTCTCTAAATGCCGCTTCAGCATAATCTTCAATTTGAATGTTTTCCCACACTTTTCACAATTCAATTTACTATCCGAGTCCATAGCGTCCTCCAAAACCTTCTTCTTTGGGATGTTGACTACTGCATTTTCACCGAGAGATGCTTTTCCACCGGAATGTGTTTTCATATGTGCAGAGCGACTTTTAACCGATTTAAATGACCTGTCACATTTTTCACACTTGTAGTCTGTCCTTAACAAGGGCTCATCAGAGTCAGTTTCGGCCGAGAACTGCGAGGCACTGTAATCGAAATCTGAATCGGTATTCTCTGAATTGAGCCTAGCTCTTTTCTGCGATTTCCTGAGTTCTTCGACCCGTTTGGTGCTACTGGGTCTGTCGTGCGACCGACTTGTGACCGAAACATTGTCGATACTGCCGTGACTTCGCTTGCGATTGGGCGTTGTTTTGCTATCGGTTGATGAAGACGGTTTGACTTGGCCAGAGTGTTCGGTGTGTCCAGAAAATGCAGAGTCACTGCTTTGTCTGTTGGTCGATGGAGGGGTGTCACTGAAACCTGTAAAGAAAACCATTGATTACGATATTCAGAAAGATAAATTCCTTAACTATTATTTGAAACATTTTTATTAGTAACGGACGCTATTAGTCCCATTTTTTTAATGCATGATAATAGAATGGCAATTCCGCCTGTGCGATGATTAATAAGATATGTAATTTTTTTTTTTAATGGATGATAATGAAATGGTATTCCCGCCCGCGCTATCGGTATACACTGACGGGGCGTGAGAGATGACCAGTAAAGATGAAGCCCGGTCGTTTACTTGGGTACTGTCCATTCGTGTACCTACCCTGAAGCAATCATCATCATCAAGTGGACCATCAGCTTGTTTGCAATTCTTAGAAGAATAAAAAATTACACTAATAACAAAGACTATACTCTAGGGCAGTGATTCTCAATATTTTTTTTGTTGCGGCACATATTTAACGATTTCAAAATTTGGCGGCACACAAAGAAAAAGATAAAAATTATTTACTTACTACAACACACTGCATAAATAGTTTACGACAAAAATTTTTAATATTTGCAAAATTTGACGGCACACTTTTAAAATTTGGCGGCACACAAAAGTGCCGCGGCACAGTGGTTGAGAATCACTGTTCTAGGGTGTTATTTATATGTATAAACGTATTTTATAACGTATAACTGTCATTTTCCATTCTATTCCATGTCAGCTTGTTTGCGATTTCAATACTAGCATAAAACAAGACAATAGGCGTAATACCGGGCGGTGGGACATAGTTCCGTCGTAGTTCTTGATCTGATCTTTCGCACTGTTGTTTGAATATATAGGCGCTGCTTAACTTCTGGATACATTCAGAACAAATCTTGTCTGGTAACCCATCGCCTTCGAACACCTGAAATTGTTATGTGTACGTTAAATTGTTTTTTTAGCACTTAACAATATTATTGTTGGTAAGAAAAATATTTGTGTGCATGTATTGTGTGACTAAAAAGTAAAATATTCAATTGATCAATACATATATAAGTTTTGAATGATTTTGAAGCATACATATAATATAATCGTAAGTAGTCCCTGTCTGTACATGGAAAATATATAACCCTTTCAGACCCAAGATTTTTTTTTCTTTCAGATTAAATATATTTTCGTGTTTTGGAGCCAAGCCATCTTGCCGGCACGCACGAGACTACTGCACCACCTAACCGCTAAAATGATTTCTTATTGGCTGGTTTAGAATCTCACTATCATGTTATTTCAGCTTCGTGCGTAAAAATAAATTGAAAAACAATTATACGCTTGATGAATGCAATGAACCCAAAATAATGATTATAGAATTTTTGTCTGTTTGTCTGTACATTTGTACATGCTAGTCTCAGAAACAGCTTAACCGATTTGAATGGTTTGCTCCATTTAACATTTAGTGTTTATTTTATTTCTATCACATATAAAATGCTAATAAATAACAGAGTTCAATTGGCTGAAACTTTATGAAGGTACATAATAGGTACGTAATTATCATTTAAATATATAACACATAAGACCTGATTCATTAAGAGTTCCAATGAGAATGATATACGGGGACTATATATAAATACATATAACTCCAAAACCTATAGTAATTACTCATGAAACTGAAATGTATCACTGTCAATTAAAAAAATAGAAAACCCTAATATATGAACAACCATAGAGAAAATTATAAAAATCAGCCACTTAAAAATTTAACGATATGAAACTATCTTATACATAATAAAGCTAGGAAACTTAAAAATAATGAAGAGATTAAAATCTTGAAAACAGAAAAGAAATACAACAGGTTGATAAGCTTAACCGAAATATCTACTGACAAGAAAGACACATACAAATATTAAAACAAAGGAAAGAGCAAATGTTTTACATAAAAAAAGTAACAAAATAAATAACTAAAGAACTAAGATTAGTACTGAATATGAAAATAAATCTAAAAACAAGATATTATATAAAACAATAGCAAACAGAAAAAGAGCAACAAAATCTACAAATAGAGTCTGTATAACTATTGGAAAATATTTTATCTAAAAATTAAAGATGAAACTAGTATTTTAATGAAGCAAACACGACTTTTTTGGAATTTACTAAGTCTATAGATATATAATAATAAATGTCATAAGCTTAAGACAGTAGAAGAAGAACATCTATAATTCTTAACAGAAACACTGAAAATCAATTGAATTATAAAAAAAGAAAATTAGAAAATAACATTAATTGCAAAATCATTTTGAAATAGACAAAAAGTCAATAAAAAAACCATCTGCCAAATGACTATTATAATCAAGAATAACCAATCCATGTGGTAATAAATGTTACTAAGAAGTTTAAAGAAAACATGCAATCCATATGACAAGGCAAGCAGCAGAGAACTTCAAATTAAATAAACTAACTAGTCAATAACCAAAATTAACTGCCACTAACTTTTACACAAAACTACAAAAAATGTTATTCTAAATTCAAAGTTAACTGCAGATGAATAAAGAAGAGTATTTGTAGTCGATCTTGATAAGATAATTGAAAAAGTAATCGAGTTACAAAAAAGAGAAAATGTCAAAAGTCAGAAAGAAATTTTAGACAATGAAATGCAATCATGACAAAAATGTTAATTAAACCTTTTTTATTCTAGTTGACAAGAAAAGTAATGCTATATTAAATCCTATTATACTAGTGCAAATTAATAGACAATTTGTAGATGAAATAAATACACATATTTTTCAACAAAATATATCAAACATAATAGCTATAGACAATATTTTGAATAAATTTTCATAGAGTTGAAAAAAATTTGGGCTTTCAAAGAATTTATAAAGACAAGCATCTAAAGAAGAACACATAGATGTATGGGAGTTAAATACAAGTGGTGAAACAATTAGATTAACAAATTACAATTTTAACAATCAACTATAGAAAAGGCAGGAATATACGAGGTCTGTCCGGAAAGTTCGTATAAAAGTGTTCTGGAATGCGAGAAAGAGGAGTGGGGAGGCCAGGTAAGCGCAGGACCCCTTCCTTATGTCCCTAACAATGCTTCAGTTCTGGTCTGACCGCCGTGCGGTGCGAACTGGCTTGTCACGCCATCTGTGAAGTTACCTCTTAACGAAACCCCGTCGGCATGGAGCCCGCTTCCGTTGAAGAGCAGCGCGTCGTAATCAAGTTTCTCTCGAAACTCGGCAAGAATGGCCGTGAAAGTTTTGCCGATCTAATTCGATAAGACATCCGGGGAACCACGAACAAAAAAATCAAGAAAATCCCGCTCAAATGTCAAGACAATGTTGATTGTTTTTTTCGATGTTCGGGGGATTGTCCATCAAGAATTCGTCCCTCCAGGCCAGACAGTTGATGGAAAATTCTACGTCGATGTGCTCAGACGCCTCAAAGCTCGTGTGGCACGAGTTCGTCCAGAATTGGCGCGAGAGGGGCGTTGGATTCTTCACCACGACAATGCCCCTGCCCACACCTCTCTTGTTGTCCGTGAGTTTTTGAGTAAAAATTCCATTACGGTGACCGAACACCCCCCCTTTTCGCCGGATTTGGCCCCGTGTGACTTCTTCTTGTTCCCAAAAACCAAATTGGTACTTCGGGGGCGGCAGTTGGGGGACATAAATGAGATAAAAAAAGCTACGACAGGGCAGCTGAGAAACCTACAACCAGAGGACTTTCAAGGAGCCTTCTCACAGTGGAAACGGCGTTGGCACAAGTGCATTATGTCACAGGGGGAGTACTTTGAAGGGGATAAAATTGATTTACCTGAATAATTGTAAAATAAAATTTTTAAAAAACTTTTATACGTACTTTCCGGACAAACCTCGTAGAATAAATTTTAAATCATAGAAATATGAAAAAGCAAATTCACAATAAAAATGCAAAAACTGGTAACAAACTGGACATCTGATGTAAAGATCTGTAATGTAAAACAAAATAGAAGGATAGTGATAGAAGAAATAGACAATGATAGAGAAGTTAAGAATTATAATATAATACATGGACAGTTAAAGTTAAGGAAACCAATAAACAACATACAGACAATGAAAGCTAAAAATAAGCAGTAATGAAAGCAAAATACATAATATAAAATCTTGTACTAAATGCAGATCTAACCAAATAATATAATTATAAATAATAAGCAAAAGCAAAATAACATGCAATGATTTTAAAATAAAGTAGGTTAATTACTAATTAAGAAAGTGTTTATGACAATATCATGTTTAAAGATTGCTAATTAAAAATAAAGTCAATACATAAATAGAATTTTGGAAATAACAAACTGAATAAATGATTTCATTTGCAAGTAAGGTAAGAAATAAAAAAAATATAGAAATATTAATATATTGCTTATATATTGCTCAGCAAAAAAACCCTAAATATATTAATAGTTATATACTTATGCTAACATACAATAAATATGGAGTAGTATTGTGTTCAGGTCACTAATAAGTGGTGCAAGGTGAGTGAGCTTTAATTTTAATCACATATTGAGCAGATTCTGAGAAATAAGAGTATATTTCATGGTCAAAGTTCATTTCAATAACAATGGCGAATATGTATGTACACAGAGATTTTCACTACACGCTTTAGAAGACATTATCAATTTGATAGAAATTGATGTATCGTATTCACTGATAAATGGACGAGATTCAACATTTAATTACGAAATAAATGACATTAATAATGTTTAAAATACGAATCAAACAAAGAACAAATATAATGTTAAATCAAACGTAGTCGAAGCTTATGTAGCATGTCTGGTTTCAAATGACGACACGACATTTAAATATTAAGCATATTTTGAGGTAAACTGTACTCACTTTAATCCGCGCACATTCCATCACCATCTCGGCCAACTGAACAGCATTGTCGACGGTGAAGATGGAGTAGAAATCCCCAAGCTTCAGACAAAGTCTGCACTTTCCCAATTTGAGGGCCATATTGATTTGCTCTCAAAAACTTCATATCATTTTATCATCACATCTGCCAACAATATGAAAATGTAAGGATATTTTTTCTCAACACTCGATAGTTAAATTGTGCAAGGAATTTCGCTTATTATATCTAAATCACTGTATTGATTACAACATCAGGAAATTTATAAAATCTACCTTCTTCACCGGCATTATTACCACTCAAACTTGGAGAGCATAGGGAAAAGAGAAATGTGAAATTTATCGATTGTTGCCAATATTAAAATAGTAAATAGATATATTCACGGCCTTAATTGTTGGCAGACCTATCAGAGAATATATAGGTATTCGATTTAATATAATATATTGATTTAATATGATCTATTTTTTGTTAAATGTCATTTATAAATATTATAGTCACTTATGAATGATAATAATTTAATAATTAAATTTAAATATATTTCTCCCAATAAATATTTAATACAAAAAAAAACTTGAGCAAATTAAAATTCTACATTAGAAATATTCATTGAATTTTTGAATTTTATATAATTGTGCGTATTTATTGCTAAATACAATTTATATGACTACAGTACAGCGTTATTTGAGTTGATCGTCCAATCAGTTTGCTTACTGCGTGTATGTTGGTCTTTATTTATTTAATTTGGGCTGTCAGTTTTACTGTCAGCTGTTATGATTATACAGGTACGTCACTGATAAGAGAGACTAAAAATGCATCCGTGCTAAGAACAAGGTGTTCTGTGCTATATGAACTTATATATGAAACAAAATATGATCAGTACTATGTAAAGATTAGCGAATACATGTGATTTTGTTATTCGAATAATTAGTAATTATAATTTAATTATTTAACTACTAAATAAGTAATATCCTAATTTCCATATTTAAATATTTTTACTAATTAGTAACTAATTACAACATAGTCCTTTCTCTTAATCTGTTTAGTACTAAAAATGACAACGAAAGAATAAAGAATAAAATGCCACCGGCTACTAAAATATCAATTTTGTAATACGTATTGTAATACTTTCGCAATTTCCTGTAAAAACTATACTTACTTTTATCGAAAATTGGTAATTTTTACTACATTAGTCGGGTGACGTTATTAGCCGGTTGAATAAAATTTGTAGTCGAGTGATTTGAAAATCAAATGAATAATATGAATGATTAGCTCAATCGAATAATTAGTATTCGGATTAGTAAAGTCACGCATCTCTAGTACTATGTCCCTTGAACAGAAAGAAAGAGAAAAGATACATAGGTATTCTTTGATACCGGTGAGATGGAAATATTCTTGTTTTTATTTATAGAAAAGTTTTTAATTGGATTTGTTCTTAGAAATAATAAAATAGGTGCAGATTTCTTTGTACTCATTTAGGTATCCACTTAAAATTTTTTAAGCCTGTATTTTGATTTGTACTTGGAAACATTTAAATTGATACAGCACAGAGAGTATAATTTAAAAATGTATCCTTGTAGCAATATTAATATTTACTAATTCACATGAAGATGAAATATCTACCGAGAAAATCGAGTTGTTCACAATATTACTTAAATCTAATTTTTTATTTATTTTTTGACTGAAGACATGTATTTAGCTACAGGTTCTAATTTATTTGGACAATGGCTTTTACTTGAACCTATAATTAGTCCATTTCAACGCGTAACTGGATTTAATGCAAAGGAAATACCTTTTGATATTACTTCAGTTGATTTGGTAAAAGTTAATTGGTCTTATAATATTTTTAAAACTGATAAAACAATCTGCATATCAGGGGCTTGGTATGGTAAAGAAAACCAGTATATTAGTGTTCTGTTACCTAAAGAGTGTGATGATTCAAAATTTAAAAACCTTATTGTTACCGGGAATGATTACAAGCTGATCTTAATTGATGGGACAAGTTTAACATTATGGGTGATTGATTTAGAGAATGAAAGTGATGTTAAGAAATTAAAATTCAATGAAACACCATTGGAAAGTAGTCCAAAAAAGGCTAGAAAAGGCTACAATATCAAGAAAGTTTTAACAACAAATGACCAATTTATTTGTTTAACTGAAGATGGTCTTGTATATTGTGGATTTCCTCCAAGTTTATTAGACACTAGTCATTATATGGGAGTCGTATGTGATATACAATGTGGTTATGAACATTTCATGCTGCTCACTGATACTGGTAGAGTGTATACTTGGGGCAATGGAAGGTTAGTATTTGAATATTAAAATTTTAATTTATCACTTTGTCAGGGTTTTGCTTATTATATCAATATTATGGTCAGAAGTGGCGCCAAGTGTAAATTATAATACTATTGCAATAAATTTAGTAATACATGTTTGTTAAGAGTCTAAAGAGATCTATAGACATATTAAAATATGAATCATATACCAATAATTATATGTAAACAATCAGCACATGTAGTTTTATATTCAGTGTTTATCATTTATATTAACACTTAATAGACGGGCCCATAGATTTATTTTTTTCCACTGAATAAAGGTGAATGTTTTACAGCAATTCACATGCTTAAAAAATACTAAATACTTAATAAATACTGTTAAGAAATATTATAAGAAATATAATTGTTATATTGTTAGGTGTTAAGTAGATACAATTTTTTTAAAATCATATATAAGAAGGAAGTATGAAATTCTACAGTAAAATATGTTATATTACATTTTACAGAAGGTTGCAGTTAGGCCATGGGGATTTGGAGAATTTGGATTTACCGACTGAAGTAGAAGCATTAGCTGGAATTAAGATAGTTAAAATTTCTGCTGGTGGTTGGCATTCATTAGCTCTCAGTGAATATGGAGACCTCTATGCATGGGGCTGGAATGATACTGGCCAGTTAGGCATAAAACATGATGTAAAGGAGAAAAAAAGTTTACAACCAGAAAATTTTAAAAACTATGCTTTGCCAATAGTCATAGATATTTATGATGATAAAAATCAACAGGTCAATTTAAATGTTACAAATATGGCATGTGGTTCTAGACATACAGCACTGCTACTTGAAGATAATACGGTGTGGACCACAGGAAATAATAAATATGGACAGTTAGGTTTTCCTACAGACATTTATGAAAATCTTTATCATTTTAAAAAATCCTATCAGTGTGACTGTAATGTAGATCTGATGTGTGGTCCGTGGACCACAGTGCTAAAATGTAAATAGTGTATTTTATGAAATACTCTAAAATTTTTTTCTACCAAGATATTGATTTGTGAATTTTAGAAAGGTACTTACTAAAGTATTGTAGAATATGTTATATTACATATTATTTGTTTTAAAATGTCATTTTTAAGTTAAATAAACCTTGTTTAAATAGTGGGGCCGATTCTAAAGTGCTATTTCTATAAATTTATCTCTTCGTCTAATATTTTAATATAATAATGTTGACTTTGGTCTGTTAGAAATTTAATTCATATTAGTCCTTGCAATAAAGATTTTGCTGTGATATTAAATTAATTTTAAAGATATGTTTAGAGAAGTGATACCTCAGATTCAAGGTCAATATTGCAATATATATGTATTGAAATGTAGATAAATAAATAAATATTTTATATTTATAATTAAAGACTGTTTTGATTTAGAAATTAATTCTATTTGTTTAACTACTTTTACTACTAAACTTAAAATATACAAAAATGCCATTATCTGTGTTGCAACTATAGAAACAACATCTGTACATGTGATAGTGTGTACATATTTAGCGCGTGAAAAGAGCATGTTTATATTGTATTTTATTGCAGAATATGGACTGAAGCTGTGATTATAAAAAACTATATAGTATTTATTGTACAATAAACGAATCTTTAGAAAACAACAAAGATGTACTTCAGATAACATACTTCCAATTGTTATGATATCAATATTTAATTAAATTTACACATATTTTGTAACTTATAGTTATTAATAAAAATATAAGCATAAATTTTTGTTAATCTATTGCAACAGTGAAATAAGTAGATGTCATGATATAAATCATTATATAACAGTATTTCATGTTCTCTTTATAGATCACTGCTACTATTTACCAGTAGAACTTTATTTTTAGTGAGTTTAAAATTACCAGGTATGCATGCATAACAACTTAGTTCTCAGTAATAGCAACGTATGATTGGTGCCATGGGTGTCACAGTATTGGAATTAACTAGTTATTGTCTTTAAACCTCGTAAATATTGTATCCTCTATCTTTTTCTGCCATTGTCGGTAGTTAAAGTGTAGACTGCATGGACACTATTATATTTTATGTAGTGTTTCGATGAGCAAGAATGAAAAGTCTACGTATAGAGAAAAAATCTCTTATTATCTTATTTAAAAATAACGCTCGTGTATATATGGCTGATTATTTCTTTTTTCTCTGTGGTCGTTTCGACAAACATTACGTAACAATTTTAATCTGTATTTTGCCTTATGTCAAAATTGTCATATGCGTAGAATTCATGTTTTTGTTTGGGATGTGAATTGAAATGTTTTGTAAACTATCTCGTAATTTATTGATTTTTGTCACCCACGATATATATTACGCATTACACTTGATGGTCATCGGGCTTCATAACTGAAGAGGTAAGGTGGATTTTTTAATAATTTGACTGGATATTTGTCATGATTACATAGATAGACCTATAATTAAACTTACGGCGCATTGCATTGATTTTTAGATTTTGCAAGGACAAAATGGAAGAAATCGCCAGGGAATACATTACTGTTGCGAGACAACTGTCATCTAGTGGCTGTTATAGCAAGGCCTTCGATTTGTATGTGTTATCATTCGATAAAAATCCGCGACTGAAAAATCTTTTTGAGCCAGAGTTTCGATCCATATTAATCAAACTAAACGAAGTGCTGGCCACAGCAAACAAAATTGAAGATATTTTTTCAAATTTCGGCCGTGCTATTGACGCATTTCCTAACAACGTACACCTGTTGAACGATATAGGCAAATACCTATATAAATTTGGGTTTTATGCAGAGGCTTGGTGCCATTTTCATAGAGCTTTAAAGTTGGATAATGGATTTGTGAATCCAGAAAAAAATCTTAATTCTGTTAAAAACCTGTTGATGGAACGTTGGCATTTCCGAATGCTGAATGATAAGACCCGGAATGATGCCTACCGTGATGCCATTCACGCAACTGCAGTTCCTTTCAGAGATTGCATTCTGGATATAGGTACAGGAACAGGTCTGTTAGCTATGTATGCATGCGAGTGTTCTCCTAGAACCATAACAGCATGTGATGGATCTGCTGTAATGACGAGCTTAGCGGAAGTAATCACACAAGAGAATTATCGACAAGAGATAATTATAATAAACAAGATGTCCACATCAATGAATTACCATGATGTTGGTGGACGTAGAACTCTAGTGGTCACTGAAATGTTTGATGCTGGTTTATTTGGAGAACATGTCTTACAAACATTGGCACATGCTCATGAATGTTTGATGTCGAATTCTGCTAAAGTGATACCAAACAAAGCTGAATTTTTTATTGCTCCTGTCAAATGTGATTATCTCAACAGGAGATATCAATTGTGCTCCACTACCAAGAGTATTCTGAATATTCCACATTATACTGTTCATATTCTAACCTTTGATGAGACATATGATTGTGAAGATGTTCACCTTTATCGAGATATAAAATACATGGCGGAACCTCTCTCCCTTCTTAAAGTGAACTTCAATGATTATCAAGATGTCTATACAACATTGAATAGGAATGACCCTTACACACTTCAGTTTAAAGTTAAGGAAGATGGTGAAATCAATGCTGTAATTGGTTGGTTCAACCTGTATCTGACTGACAACATAACTATCACTACAGACCCTAGATCTGATAAAAGAGCAAATGCATGGCAACAAGCTGTGTTCTTTGATAACATACCAAAAACAGTGACACAAGGGGAACTAGTGGATTTCCATTTTCTGTTGAACAGAGGTAAACTTACAATGTTGCCAAACTGGAACAGTGAAGTTTTAAGAATCTCTCCTGAAACTCTTAGATATCTCAATGACACAGAGTTTGTAAACATGATAAAAGGTTCCATTGCCATGACATGTATCTACTTGGGGCAGATTGCTGACATATCTTTAACTAATATTGTTGATTTGTGCCCTTTCCCATTATTTGGCTTGCTGATGCTGAGGCGTGGTGCTCAATCATTGATATGTTGTGCCAAAACTGATGTAGACAGAGTATTTTTTGAGACAGTATTTGAAGCTAATAATGTACCATTATCGAAACTGCATATCTTGGTTGGAGATGAATGGGGCCAAGAAGTATTCAGAGATGAGAAGTACCATGCTATATTTTGTAACATATTTGACTTGTGGGGTGATGTAGAGCTCCGTAATATGGAAATTGCTCAGCACTTGAAGCAGTCACACCTTCTGCAGGGTGGGCTGTTTATGCCGTCGAATGTGAAGGTCATGGGTCAGCTCATCAATAGTCACTGGCTGGATATAAACAATAGAGTATATGATGAGAATGTAAGCAACTTTAAGATGGCAAAACATGTCAACAAATATCAAGTGTCACAGAATTTCTGTATTGATTTCTCTCATTTGGAATATACACCTTTATCAGAGCCAGTTGTGCTGGGTGTATGCAGCACTGATACAAGATCACATGTGGTGAATGTGCCGGTGGTAAACAATGGCTACTTGAATGCCATCCTTTGCTGGTACAGCTTAGAGTTGATGGAACACCTTGGAGAAATTTCAACTAATCGTAAAAACAGCTTCATTGATGGTACAGTGTTCCTGATAAGTCCAAAGGTGCCAATGATTAGTGGTAAGTTTGCGACTGTGTTGCATTGTGTTGATCCTGATGGCTCATTTAAATTGATGATTGATGTTGACACCACTTAAATATTTGTTGACAAGCATTTGGTAAATGTTGGCACTATGGCATCATGTTTGTTATTTTTTTATGAATTTTATACAAAGTATTTTTAAACTGTTTGAAGTTATTAAAAAAAAAAATTGAATCTAAAATAAATGTTCTGTTTTTTCGATATTCGAAATTGTATATTTTTATAAGTAAATAAGGATCAATTCAGAGTAAGAGATGGCAATACCTAGAACTGTATATATGTACAATCAAAGTCTCATAGCTTCATGCAGAAGGCTGCGGCTTGAGAACGTCGGAAGTTCGTACAGTTTATCTTGGTATTGCTACAGCAGAAGCCAGGGTCATTTTATTCAGTTTCATTTAACAAGTGTTCGTTCCTGCTCGTCATCTCTATGTGAATTGACCCTGACATTATATCTTTTATATATTTTGGTTACTATACTTTTGTATGTATTGTAATTACATTAAATTACATACAAGTATAACTTAAATGTAATGTATTCATTCAAATTAACTGTGTTGCGCATATTAACTATGAATAAAGTCACAGGGTGTTGATGAAGCCTATTTATTAATTGAATTTATTGTATTTAGATATAAGTACATGTTCGTATAAGAAATTTTTATGTACAGTCACATACAATAATATATTCTGAACATTGTTGTACATGTCGTTTCTATGTCATAATAATATTATCAGAAATGTCAAAGACGCAACTCTCTGCCATTTTGTTTTGAAGGTTTAAAATTTTTAAACTGTGTATTTATTAATTGTTCTGTGGTAAAACTAAATGGTTAACATCAATAACATATTATTGTACTTGACTGTACTTGTCTATGTCAGTGTTATCACGAGTGTTAACAGTTATTTGTAAACTCATAAGCTAACGGTCAAATTGTCATTTACTCTACTTAAGAATCAACTGGACTAACTACTACTATCCAAAAACAAAAGAAAATTGAAACATATATCTACTTATCACTAATGTCACATGCAACAGAATGGTGAATTTAGACAATTCATAATCACCACTCATTATTTGTAGCACATTTAAATAAAATAGCCACTTTATATGAATCATAAGAATTTTTCCCACGAACAAATTATTTCAAATTGGCAAGAGAACAACACGGCGGTAAATCCCCGCAAATAATATAATAATCATCAAAACCTTTACAAACTTCGTCATAGTCGTAGAATACTGACGAATTTTTGTTTGTAATATTTGTCAGATCCGTCAATATTCTACGACTATGACGATTTATCAGAAATTAGGGTAAATATCGCGTAACATGTGCGATAGAATCAGTCGAGTTTTTGTGCTATCTGTGCCTACATTTTCAATAGATTGGATTATACGAAATGAATTATGGTATGATTTGTTTAAAGTGGCCATTTTAATATCTACTATTTAAACTAATTAAATGTATCTGTGTCTTGAAATTTAAAATATTTGTTAGGTGAACACCACGTTTACTGTAGGATTTATAAAAATACGTATACACGTTCCAGGCCAAATATTATTCAAATAATCTATGTGTGCCATTTGAATCTAAAATGTATTCTCAGGTGCTGTTATATGGCGGAAGCCTCTTTTGATCGGTCTGTATTGTATTATGTGTAGGTCTACGTGTATAATCGTTATTAATGTAAAATAGAATATTTCCTACAATGTTATTGCTCAATTTAATTTTGTTATAATAATTAAATGACGTTATTTTCTGTCACATTATCAATGTCAGTCAATATACATCAAGTTTCAGTTTCCTCATTAGATGCTTATTACATTATTAAATTATATAGGATCATACGTAGATACATTTATTTATTTATTTATAAAGCTTTTAACGTATTCTGAATGTTATTATAAAAGTTATATATGTAGAGGGTCACAGTGAAAGATAATATTCTTTAAAACAACAATATATATATATAATACGTATAGATACAAGACGAGACAACCATTTGAATAGAAACAAAAACCGTATAGAAAAATAATATCAACATATATATGTGGCCAGAATTAAATTTACATCATGGCCACAAAGAAGTTTCAATAATATAAATCTTATATGACTCAGGAATATTTATTTTTTGAAAAACGTACAGCTGAATTACAGTCAATACATAATTAAATTATATATATATATATATATATATATATATATATATATATATATATTAGTTATTATTTTTGCAAAAGAAAATGACATTGTTACTCCACCTGTGTATTGATGTACACTGGCGGGATACCAATCGGCATCTGTCGGTAGAGTCGTTATCGCTAGCGAGTTCATGAGATAGCGATGTTTACTGTCTTGTTCTTTCTTATGTGAAGAGATTCTATCGATGGATTTATCTGCCACTTGTCTTAACATATACATTCATATCTTTTACACAGTGCATCTATATTTTTGGGCTCTCTTTTCTTTCATTACTCACGTTATTACATCTGATCCTTATTATGTATATTTGATAATGTAATATGCTTCTATTCAATTAAATATACCAGTTTAGATTGGGTAAAGTAGAATTAGAAATATTATAAACACCACTGATGTAAAATGGTCAAATATGTGTAGATATATTAAAATTGTGCAGTTTAAAATAGCCATTTTAGCTATTCATAATAGGATGCTGAATCGATTCATATTTGCAATTCATAGAATTGGCAATTTTCTAAGAAATATCGATAAAGAAAATTCTGTATTGCCATATGAGCAGATACAGCTTGCGGATTTTCGTAGTATTTTATTATATTTTAGGAATCTATCATGAAACACCATAGTTATTATTTTATAACCTCTATGCACGCATGAGGGATTCACGGCATATATTATCGTCCATAGTGTTGCTCATGTAGTCATGTACCTACATCCTGACGACGATTGTAACTTTACATCGGTGGGTCGTAGGCTTGTTTGTCATTGCTGTTAGTTTAAAAAAAAATATAGTTAATGTTTTATGTGTGTGATTATTGTATTTGTATAAGACCTTATCAGAGTCACAAAACACCATAGCACGGAAGGCCTATAACAATGGGATAGTCCGTCCGAGACGATTCACTTTGCCTGCGCCCTTTGAGTATATACCGAAGCATCTATTGCGCTCCGACGCTTTAACACGTGGCGCGGACCGCGTCTCGCCTAATATTGGACTCGATTGGTCGGGATCCTCACATGTTAGCTCAGATTTTAAAATAAGAATTACAAACATTGATTATTAACCTGTTAAGTATTAATCAGAATAGTGAATTTGACAGTATTATTACCGTCTTAAATTATTGCTATAAAATATGTGGCATGAGGCTGTGAATCTGTATCAGGACCAAGATTGTTTTCTCTTATGTTTCATATGATACGGCTGACACAATTTTTAGAGACCGGTCGTATCTTCACACATGACTACTTCGCATTTATTGACATTTATATTGCATAATATATAAGTGAGTGTTACCTGTGAGTAGATTAATATAATAACAAAGATGTGCTGTTTAAACGTATTATGTAGCGTTATTTTTATATTTGTAAGTAGCAAAATTCTTTTAATCATCAAGTAGATTTACAATTGTCTCCATTGTCAAGACTTGAGCTCGAACCCATGGCCTGAATCTCGAGACAGGGAGACCCCGGGCAGCAGACCCTCTCTCAGACGCGTCATATAGACCAATTATAAAACAACCAGTTGCATACGTGGGTGTACGAACTATGACCTTCGTCTACGGTAAGACGCATATACATTCCTGTAACGTCAAAGAATAACGCGAACTAATGTTGCAAGATAAATTCACAAGGAATTCGCCAAAAATTGTACACTAAATAGCCTCCAATCGTCAAAAATTATTTTCGAAATAGTCAAAACGGCGATCGGTCATTAAACGGGGGAAAGTCGCCTAATCTAGCAATGTCTACGCGGATCGTTCTCACGACCTTCTAATTTGAAGCTAGGCTGTGGGATCCGAGCTCTCGTATTCTATCTACAAATTGTACATTTTATTTGCAGTTTATTTATAATTTTTTCTATATAACCGTTACCATTACCTGTAGTAAAAATACAAAACTCCGCTTGTTCGGAAATATCAAACACTATTAAATGATCACAATTCACTTTAGAATGAGAATATAAATGTTAAATGTGATTAACGTTTCAATGTCTCAATGTGAACAAGTAGTGAATTTGATGTGATATTTTTGAAAAATGATATTGAAATAAAGTATCTACTTTTGAATGTCAAAATTGGAATTTTATTTAACCTATGAATTAACCCGTAAAACAATTATAATTGAATACTTTACTGAACTAGGTGTTATCTTGTGGAAGTCCATATCACTGATTATTTTGTTTAATTCCGCTACCATTAGTATGTGTGTGGCTGCCAACATTCGAAAATTGACCACTACTATTATGACCAGAAGTTCCACAACATTCCATATTAGCCATCAACTTCCGATTGCCATTTTGTTCATTTTTTAATCAGCAATCTAATAATTTGACTAAAGATACCGCAAAATACGTGTCGCAAAACGTGCGTGAACAAAACAGCAGTCGGTAATTGATGGCTCATAAAGAAGGTTGTGGAACTTCTGGTACTAATAGTGGTGGTCAATCTTCGAGTGTTGGCAGTCACACGCATACTAATGGTAGCAGAACTAAACAAAATAATTCTAATTAAATAATCGATTACAACCGATATGAAACTAAAATATTCAATAAGTGAAAATAGGGTGGCTAGTGTGAGTTGTACTAACATTTATGTATAAAATGTTAGCTTTCATGATTACGCATTGACCTATTTAAGATTTATTTCCAGGGAGGCTTTTTTTAATGCATCATAATGTACCTAATGACAGCTCCGCCTGCGCTAACTGTATACGGTGGCGGGGCACTAGTGAGGGATGATTGGTGGCCATGAAGTCTGGTCAGTTAGGCCATCGTGACGAATACATCTGGAATTCAGCACGATGGTATCCAGGGGGAATCATCGTGGAGGACGATCTGATAGGGTATATTGCTAGCAATGGGACTGATAGTTCGCATTTCTAACAATCCCTTCACCCTTCCAGAAAAGGCTTGGCTCCTTAAAAAATAAATGTTTATACACCCTCCGACATGTCTGCTTATTGCTGAAAGCTGTGGAACTTTAATAAGAAGCGGTCCTTACCACACCTTACCTCACCCTTCGGGTTGCTGGTATCAATATCTTAGGTGGCTGATATCATAAGGAAGTTTCTGATGAGCTGTATTCTTCTCTTTTATTTTCCTTATTGATAAATACGTACGTACGTATCTATTATAAACTTATAAAAACAGTAGGTTACAAAAAAAAATCAAAATCGATCAGGAATTGGCGAAGTTCTTTGGAAATAATCGATAGTTTATATATATTTGTTCATTTTTTTGTCTCTTTAGCTCTGCTCACCAATACTCGGATCGATTCTTGGGCAACATTTCATTCTAAGCCTAAAATAAAAATTTCATCTTTATGCTTATTGGGGTCAATATGAACTAAATTCAAAACAAAATAAATATAAAATTAGTTTATAATGCTACATAAAACAATTATTTCGCGAAGCTATCAAAATAAATTATGGGATAAATTTATAGAAATAATGCATCAGAATTGAGCCACCTGTTAGTGTAATAAGTAATTTGAGATAAATACGCATTAAAGGCCGCTGCTGGAAGGGATTGATTACACACACAGGGAGAGGGGGGAAAATAGGACGAAAAAAGAGAATGGGAAAGGGGGATAAGGAAAGGGATGTCGTGAAACGGAAGGGAACTTCACCCATGCCCGTGCCCAAATCCTTGGAGGGGCGACCGTCCGGAGGATTATGTAACCCGCTACGTCGATAAAATATGTATGGAAATCGGAGTTTCCGAAACAATCCACTAGAGGCGGCAAATGTAAACAGAACCATAATGTATGTAAAACTTTTGTGTAACTCACGATGAGAAAGATATTGAGACATGGTATGCGTATACCATATTTCATAGCGATCGGTTAATCTGGTGTTATAAGGTAAACAAACTCTTACATTTAAAATATTAGTAAGGATAAATTTCACAGGTATTATTTAGATATATCTGTCATCTGTAAAGTACATAATCGCCATATGAAGTTAATTAGGTACGCTAACTGTATACCGCGCTTTTGCTTGTATAAATTATATTAAAAATTATCCTATTCTAAATTACAAATGAGCACCCTTATATTTTTTTTTATATTTGATATATTTAGTAAACAAGTATAAATATTAATTTTTGAAAAAAATATATGCAATAAAACAATTTATACCAATATTAGTTATTTGTTCGGTTTCGCACTTCTATTCTGATAAAAGCTATGCCCAGATTGTTCATTAAATATACTAAGTATAAAAAAACATCTTCCTTGGGTAGAAATTTATCTATGGAGCATATATAAAAAAAAAAAAAACAAATGTACCACAAATGGTTTTATTGACAAGCACGAGCCATGTAAAAAAGTATCGGCCGCCATATGGGGATCCAGCCCGGCGGCGTTGACACTTCCTCCACGTGGGTGCGAGACGAGGGCTTCAGGAGACAAGAAAGACCGGCTACTAAGGTGTTATCATCAGCCGGCTGTACGGATCTTGTTTCCATATTGCAGGAGCTTAGTCGAACAGACCAAAGCCCATGTCGTCGTCGCTCTCGGACTCCTCTTTTTCTTCCTTCTTCTCCTCCTTCTTGGCGTCGCCAGCAGGAGCGGCGGCAGCCGGAGCAGCGGCAGCCGCAGCGGCTGCGAACTTGCTCGGGTCCTGGGGGTAATATGTAAAGGTGAAGTAAAACTAGGTTTGCAGGTATACAAGTGAATATTCACTCTTTCCTTATGCTTTCATTTTGATAGAGTTAATTCAAGGACAATCATTTGATTTTATTTATTGTATAACACGGCTTTTTTTAATGTAAAATAATAGTGAAATATGATGTAATTAGAAAGGTATGTTGCACTAGAGTAGAATGCAAAATGTTTGCAAAATTTTAATAAAAATTCCCGATCTATCCATGCAGTATGTATTACTAGGCAAGCTCACTGCATATCTATGTGGTAAATCTATTAAGAGGGAGACTTTGTACAAAAGTTGATTGCTTGGGTACCGCTGTCCCATTCGTGTTTCAACCGTGAAGCAGTTGTGTTTGCTTGGCTGTGTTTCGGATTGAAAGGTGGGATGTGGTGTGAATTTACTGGGTACAGAGGAATAACACCTGAGTCCTCAGGAATGGCAACACATGGGGGGTATCATGGGAGAAACAGTATACTCTGTTATGTCCATGGTACTGCTCATGTCTATAGGGGACTGTTACCACTTTCCATCAGGTGGGTTGTTTGCCATTCTAAGTTGTATAAAAAAAAAATACTAGAAATTCTAGAGAATAATGACACAAAATAGTCTAAATTAAATTATAACATTTGTGTGTTATAGTTGTAATTTTAGAAACTGTACATAATGTACAGTTAAAAAAATGAAAGTACCTTGATGTACTCCTTGATAGTGGTGGCTTCCTTGAAGTCCACTTCTGTGACAGCCGCGAGGGCCAGCAGATTCTTGAATCCGTTGGCGATGGAATGCGGCGCGGATGCAACCGTCGGGTAGCCGATGGACAGCGACAGCGCGGCCACGTTAGCCACACCCTCTTGGAACTTGGCGCGTAGGTCCTCTGGCTTGATGTCCAGGATGGCAGGTGCGAAGATGGTTCCAGAGTCATACACCTGTATTATACAATTAATTCTACGTTTAAATTTTATTTTTCTTTGCCTACTCTGTAAGGTAATATCTGTAGAGAAGAAGACAATTGTCGCATGTGAATTTACAATAATACAAAATGTAAACTATCTTATAAAAACAACAATGCTCTTTATTTCCCAAAGGCAAATTATCAGAATGCATAGATAATGCAAACTGTACTCAACGCTTTGGGGATAACACTAGAATAAACGTACAATGAGATGCAAAAACCGAAAAAAAAAAAGTTTAGTTTTAATAATAGTATGATAAAAACTATTTTGAGTTGTTCTCAAGGCACGTGGAAGGAAACAGGGGAGGCCTACGGTAAAAAGGCGACTAAAATTTAAATAAGTATGATGTATGAAATGTTAATTATGTTGGGAGTTGAATAAATGACTATTTTATTTATTTTATGTTAAAAAGTAAATTGTAATTTGGCACTATTAAATTGATCAATAGGTAAAGCGAACTAAGCATGATCCTCTCATAGCTGCAAGTGATATTTTTAATATTTTTTGTGTTCTTAAAATTATTTACAAATCTTTGTGTGAACTTATCCTAAAACTATACCAATTAAGTAACAATATATATACCTGTTTGACCACAAGACCATACGAGAATGGTGAAATGTTCAACATATTCAGCAGGGTGGCTTCAGAAGCGCCCACCTTGTCACCAGGTTTCAGGATGTGGACATCGTTGATAATTTCAATAGTACCTGCACAAAATCAATTCATTAGATATGGCAGCAGACAATATTCAAAGGAACTGGTGTTTGATGATCAAATTTATCGGTTACCTAGTACCCTTATGCAAAACAAGTTTCTGGTTATTTAAGGCTATAAAGCATTGTGTAATATATCTAGTGGATTATAATAGATTGAAAAAATAAAAGTAAACATTTTTTGAAAAATGTATTTTCAAAATGCCAATGCAATATCCACTTTGGACCAATCACATTAGGATAAATTTGAAAAATTCACTGTAGTCTGAAAGCGAAGCCAGGGGACTAATATTACACCCCCTGGTATTAGAACAGACATGGATATTGTAAAATGTCTTAATTTTAAAGTGAATTAAAACAAACACCAAATAAATGTGTAATTGATGTATGAATCCGGTTTTGTAGAGTATTTATATAATTAAGCTTTTAGATAGGGAGAGTAGCAATACTTAAGAAGGCACAATACAGTTATATTAAGGATTAATTTTTCTAAATATATAAAACTAGAGATCAAGCCCAGATTTACACAGGTAGATAGAATTATTGGAAATATTAAATAGCATATGTATCTAAATGATAATGTAGGTTTCTATACATGAAAGAATTTTTAAAATTAATCGAGTAGTTTTTGAGTTTCACCATTACAATCAAATTTGGTAAAGATTTGATATAAGCAGTATATAAGAAAGTTTATATTAATTTAGATTTAAAAATATAATTTACCCTTAGAAATCTTGGTAGGGATAGAGAGAGCCTGGAAGAAGGAGGTCTTCTCAGGGCCAAGACCGGTGTTGTGTGCGGGGATGACGACCGAGAGGGGTGCGATAGCACCGGGACGGGCTGGTGCGCGGACTTTGTTCTCCAACAGCTTGTCACGCACCTACAATAACACAAATCATAATACCTCTGGACAAATGATACAACAGCATCTAGTTCTATATTTTTTGTAAATGTGTACATATTGTAAAACATCCAGACCAATAACAAATATACAATCATTAAAGTTGGCTAGACTAGGAAAAAAAAAATGGCTAGACAGATCTGAAGTGAATATAAAAAATGTAAAAAATCTATTATAATCATACATAATTGTATAATATTAGCATACGTATTGCCCTCTATATTACAGGGATTTTACAAAAGGATATGAACAAACTTTTTAGGAAAGTAATTAAAGTATTCAGCTAATAACAGATTTAGTTAGTGAGGAGTATCCAATTTACAGAGATTCAATTAAAATGGCTAGACTACGGAGTATATTACTTGTTAATATATAGGATTATTATTATTTTATCTAGATCATAAAAGTATATAAATACATAAAAATAAATAAAAGCATTTGGAGTTCCACCTATCCTAATGGGAGACAGGTATGACCCATATGCATTTATGTATATCAAGATCAGTGAATATTCTCTCCATCAATAATATCTAATCATTATTTTACAATATTATCCTTATAGATTTTATAAATGTAAAAGTTTAGAAAGTTGTTAGCTAATGGAATTTAGTATAGTTCAGTACACAAAAAATAATTTTTTTTATTGCTACCAGCTATTTCTTTCTGAATTCAAACAGGCAATATTGCAGGGTATAATTAGAATTAGCTACTAACATCAACAAGGTCTCCACGGGTGAACACAAAGCCAACATTGCCCTTGATATGGGGCAACAACTTCTCCAGAGCCGGATTAGTCTCCAGATGGTCCTTGATGGCTTTGCGCATCATGGTGTTCTTGCCCATCATTACAATACTGTGACCTCGGAGCGAGATGCGGATCTGCTGCATTTGCTGTGAGCCCACATTGTCTGCTCCCACAATGAAACATTTTGGGTACTCGTCCAAAAGTTGCTGAAAAAAACAATGGTAATATTATACTTTCTCTTATTAACAAATCAGAAGTTAACATGAGAATTATTTATTTGTATCTTTAAAAGGCCGGCGTAATATTCATAAACAGGAAAACAACACCAGGATAAATTTAAAGAATTAATTTTGTCTGAAAGCGAAGCCAAAGGGTCAACGTCATGACCCTTGGTATTAGAACAGACGAAATGAAATGACTAGAAAATAAATAATACAAAAAGCAAAAGTTCTTCGATGTACATTTAATATAAATAACTATCTTCTCAAGAAAATTAGTCCTGCTAGCTCACATGTTAGGAATTTTGATCAGGAAAAACATTGAGGTTAACACTGAATGTTTTATGTTATACTCACAATAAGTTTGGTGAAGTAGTTGGTTTTCCAGGTGGCCTTGTCCTCCCTAACCATCTTGACGTGTGAAAGGGACTTCTACGAAATTTAAGGACTGAAAACAAAATTTTATGATGGATATAATTTTAAATAAATATATTAATAGACAAAAATAAGGGTGATATATTAATGATAAGATATAAGATCATTAAAATGTTGTATTAATGATTCAATTTATGTAGTGATATTTGAAAGAATTTATGATTATATTACTCACCAAGACTCAACACACATAATACGTGTGCGGGATCAAATTCAAAATGGCTGATCCCGTACCGGTATTCAGTGTTGCCAATATTCGATAATAAAAAGTTACACGAGACAGCACATATAACATTTTAATCCTAAAAGTAATACTTTCTGACAAATATTAAAAAACGCAAGTTTATTGATATTTGAGCATTCAATAATCAACTGCTTTCATTTATTCAAATATCAATATTTCACACTTTATCAATGCAAATCATATTAAAGGCTGGCAACGTAATTCTTCCACTACAAAATATTGTGAGATTATGTATTATCAAGTAAGTTATTTTAGTTAGTGTCTATAAAAGCACCTTTTCAACAACTTTATTATAAACTAGCTGTAGCCCGCGACTTCGTCCGCGTTTCCGTCGTTTTTCGTAAAATAAGTAGCCTATGTCCTTCCTCACGGTTCAGTGGTTTTGATATAACAGACACATTTCCCTTCACTGCTCTGCTCTTATTGATCATAGCGTAATGAAAAGTATACTATAACCTGCTCAGGAGTATGAAGAATAATTGTACCAAATTTCGTTAAAATCTGTCAAGTATTTTTTGTTTCTATAATGAACATATAGACAGACAGACAGACAAAAATTTTACTGATTGCATTTTTGGCATCAGTATCTATCACTAATCACCCCCTGATAGTTATTTTAGAAATATATTTCATGTACAGAATTGTCCTCTCTACATATTTATTATAAGTATAGATTTTTATTTAAATAATTTCCTATAAACATAAAAACTGTATCAATAAATATCTTTATGCTTGATAAATATTATTATAGACAAATATTTGAAAATAATATATAGCCTATATTAGTTGCTGATAATATATCTTTCTGTAAATGAAAGAATTTTAAAAACCGGTTAAGTGATTGAGTTTTTCTATTGAATTTCATTATAAAACGTAACGCAAAAGTAACATATTATGTACCATAGTCACTGGTAACATTGCTTATGTCACAACAAATGTCAAATTTGTCAAAATGTCTAATAGTGGTTTTTTGTTTCGCTATTTGATGGATCTGGAATCAGACCGCCTTATGAATTTATTTCAACAATATATAAATAAAAATAAAAAAAATTGTCGAAAAAATAAAAATAAAATTTTAGGGGTGGGTCACCCTTATCATTGAGGGGTATAAAAAGTAGATGTTGGCCGATTCTCAGACCTATATGCACACAAAAATTCATAAAAATCGGTAAAGCCGTTTCGGAGGAGTTTGGTAACAAACACCGTGACACGAGAATTTTATATATTAGATAAATTAAGGTATTATGGAGCATCCACAAACTTATAACAATGAAGAAGATAAAGATATATTTATCTAACAAAGTATGTTTGTATTAGCATAGAATTTATCATTGACTTCTACACTAAGCTGAGCCATCGTGCTGAATTTCAGATCTATTCATAACGATGGGCTTATTTTTTCATTATCTACCTATTATCTCTCACTGGTGCCCCGCCGGCGTATACCGTTATCGCAGGCGGGGTTACCATTCCATTATAAAAAATCCTTTCATACTCTAATAGTGTAATGGTCTTACTAAGTGGCTTCCATCTCTAATATGTAAAAGGCAATAAATACAACAATGTATAATATATTTATGCAAATGAAACAAAGTTTGAAATATAACCCTATTTCATGTCATCATGTTTGGTTAACGTAATAATTTAGTAAAAATTGTAAATAAAAATAGTATTTTTTTCAAAGACACGTAACTATCTACTTCAAGGATTGGATTGATGTAGATTAATTGTATGGACGAATAACAATTGATTGACTGACTGATAAAACTGACTTTTTAGTCCTGAATAGTCAGAGTTGGCCAAATATTAATACCATTGCAAAAATAAAAAAAAAAAAATATTAATAGCTTTCTCAATATTTATTTTATTTTCTTTTAATTTATTTCTCTGATTTGTGACGTTAATATCCCACTAAATATTAAGTTTGTTATCATTTTATTATTGTACAATAGAGTGCAAATCGTTAGAAGTGTAAGTGGTCAGTACCGAAAATGTCGTTATTTCGCAAACCGAAGAAGATACAGCGGCGTGTGTTTTGTGCTGACGATGATGATGAGGTAGAGGCTGACCCAGAGCCGCCACCGCCGCCGATTATCAGCTATGAAAAGAAGGAGAACAAGTCAAGCAAGAAGATCACGTCACTTCTTAGCTTCGTTGACGAAGGTGAGAGATATGGACCTAATTATTTAAAAATAAAGATATGTGGTATTGTTTTCGCCATTAATTTCTCTTCTGATATGATTAAGATGTAATACAATAGAGGAATACATCATGTAACATTCATGTAAAAAAAAATATTTCATCATCCTTTGAAATTTTGTTCAACCCAATAAAATAATCAAATATTACATAGTATCATTCTGGAAAAGCAAATTATCTGGTAGTATAAGAAAAACATAAAACAGAGTGTAGCTATATATCATGGTTGATTATGTATTGATTTTTTTTTATACAACTTAGAATGGCAAACAAGCTGACGGCCCACCTGATGGAAAGTGGTAACCGTCGCCTATAGACATGAGCAGTACCATGGACATAACAGAGTATACTGTTTCGTCCGTGATACCCCCCATGCGTTGCCATTCCTGAGGACTCAGGTGTTATTCCTCCGTACCCAGTAAATTCACACCATATCCTACCCTTCAAACTGAAACACAGCCATGCAAACAACTGCTTCACGGTTGAAACACGAATAGGACAGAGCAATCGACTTTTGTACAAACTCATCCTCTGCTGAAATGTGGTTAATCTGAAATGGTGTGATGTTGATAATCAATATGTTATTTAGCTTCAAGCTGAATTTATAATCAGTTATGGTGGTATACTGATTATTGAATGATTTTCAGAGGAGGATGGTGAAGTATTCAAAGTGAAGAAGTCATCCCAGAGCAAGAGACTTGCTAAACTCAGGGAGAAGGAGAAACGGCGGGCCCCTGAGGGTGATAGTAATAAAAATGACAATAACGTTACCGAGGTAATGGAATGCATGGACATATTTCAACGATTATGAAAATTTATATTTATTAACATTAATAGATAATAAATAATTTAATTTTTTATTCAATAAGATGTATTAGTCCTTAATATGTATAAAACAATTGTAAATAAAAGTATATATATATAGAATACACTCATTTTTCAAACAGATTGTACTAATTGCAGAAATAGGTGTTAATAAATGTTAAAGAAGGGGAATAGCTGATTTCTTTAATATATTAATATATATTTTATATATATAGAAAATTTTACTTTGTGCATATTTATTTTTGCATGAAGAATTTGTTTTTTGAGTCGCTTATATATAACCTGAAGGCTGCTCTATCCATGTGATCTTACATAAAAAAATTAGTAGTCTTATATTAAATCACATTGTACATGTCCTGTATTTTTACTAACATACATACATAACAGCAATAGACTATGTGAAACTTATGGGAATATGGCTAAAGCATTTATTTCACACAGGACAAGCCAAACCACACCGAGAATGAACCAAAACAGAAGCCGAAACGGAAAGTAACGCTAGAAGGGCTGATACTGTCCGGGCGAGAAGCTCTGGCTGCTGACGGGGCGGGGGATGTGTCAGATGACAGTGTAGCAGAGGAAGAGGAAGACAGTAGGGGATTCCACCAGTACCGGCCGGAGTCGGTGAGGGCGGCGCTGGCGGTGGCGCCCGGACACATACCCGACGCGGCGCTCATCCACGCGGCTCGCAAGACCCGACAGCAGGTATGAGAGGTGAGGGACTAGCGCTGGCTGTCACCCGTCTTGTTGAAGATTATTCACTCTCGTCCTTGGTAAACTAATTTGTATTGGAGAAACAGTTGTTCGGAAGATATGTTTTGTTTAGTACAGTTGGAGAGTCACTGAACAGTGTAGGTTTTGGTTCTTGATCTGTGAATGTATATTCCTACAATAATAGGATTCTGTATCTAAGTTTTTTAAATTTCTTCTTATTTGAACAAAAGGATGCCCATCAAAAATGTAGACTAGGGAATCTTTCTCGTCTTATACATCATTTGTCATGTTTTTCACTTATAGGTAGACTTGCTTGCTTAATTTAATATTATAAAATTTTTGCAACTTGACTTCTTGCAGGTCCATAGTTGTAGTTTCATATAAACAATTTTAAGCTTAAGTCTGTTGGTAAAATTTTGTTTAAAGGAAGTTAAAATTCTGCATTGTTATGCTACTTACGAGCTGTTAATTTTTTATGTTCGATAAACTTATGAACAAGTTTCAAACAAATGTTTAATTTCAGTTCAGTGTTCGGTAGTTGGAAAATAGAGAATAGTGTTGGCATATTTGATTGTAGTGGATTTTGTTTTTATTCCACATTTGTGTTGTTTTTCGGTCAATATAATAATAAACAGGTGGGTGTTTTTCTTGGAATATCCAATAAAATAGGTGCTTGGTGAAACCTGAGAAAATTGATGTAGATTTATGAAGATATTGTTGTGCTGAAATTCAATAACATCAGAAAAATATCCATGTACCCATCCAGTGTTTTAAAGAAGAGAAAACCTTTGCTTCAAACAGCATGGTGTCAGCTTCTGCTATGGGAGTTATGGTACAAATCATACAATAGAAACTTTTTGAGTCTTAAAAACAGTTTGTATCAATTACTTTTTAAAATGTCAAGAAATATGGGAATGAAACTTTATAAAGAAGTTGCTGATGTTGTGATACATATGTATATGCCATAATACAATCTCATCAGTAACTTAAACATAAATTTGTGTAATATATACCTACCTCATAACCGAATTGCTTCCCCAAACATACACGTCTCAAAGTGTTTCGTGAACTAAACAGTTTACTGACATTTACTTTGGTTGAAATGATGGATTCTGCATCTAAAAATATATTGTCTTAATCTATTAATGTTTTTTAATCTATAATCTTAACTATGTATAGAAATATTACTATTTTTGAAATTAGAAATAAGTTTCTTATTAGGTTTTTGATTTAAAACAAAATATTTTTCTGTAGCTTTTGGAAATAGATGATGATTTGATTTAAATGAAAATATGAATGTAAATTTGCTAAAAGAGTTAGTGTTTCATCATTTTTGAAAAGCGAACATCACACGCGAGCGGAGCTTTAGGCAAAAGCTAGTTATTAATCAAGTCATATAGTTGAACACAGTATACTGTTTACAGGCCCGCGAGTTAGGTGACTTCGTGCCCCTGCAGACGGAGTCCGCGCCGGGCTCCAGGCTGGTCCGTGACGACGGCTCCGGCGACGATGACGACGACGAGGGCCGCCTCCATGTCAGAGGACTCGAATTGCCAAGTGACAAGCCTAAACGTAAGTAGGACAGTCGGCTAATAGAGAAATATGATTAACTACTGCCCTCCCCGGCTTCACACGGGTAGTAGAGCAATATATTTATAGAAATTTTATTATTAAACTATTTATTAATTAATTTTACAATATGAATATAAACAATTATAAACTACAGAATATATTAAATAACTATATAATACTAATAACAATTACGATATGGATAGATACACACCAATACTTGAATAATGCATAAAAATAATAGTAATAAGGAAATACGTACCTATCGTGATACAATTTTAATGACTGGATAATATTGTAACAGATCCTTAGACTATTTCTAAAGTGAAAAAAGTGTTGTCCTCCTCTCTCCTACTTGCTGTGCCCAACAGGGTCCATAATTGAAATGTTATCTACAAATTATATTATGGAATGCAATAAGAAATAAATAAAATAAAAAAATATATGCTTACTTTTTTTTTGCATCATTGCATCATGATGGGCTAACTGACCTGCTTCATCCTCACCTATCATCCTTCACTTGTGCCTCGCCGGTGTATACCGATAGCGCGGGTGGGGTTACCATTAAAAAAAAATCATTGCATAAAAATAAAACTACCTACACATCGAGTAATAAAAATCTATTACATTTACTAGTTCAACGCTTACAATCAAAACGTAAGTATATAAAAACAAATAATTGGCAAAGTAAACACAAAGCAATAACCATAGGTTCGAAGGGGTTACCATACTATTATCACCCATTAAAAAAAAAAGTGTACAGATGTCGGGAAATGTCTGTTTTATACCATATAGAGATATACAGATATATTACACTATCTAAGTGTATTAAAGTTCAATGAATAAATAAATATATTATTATGGTGATTCCAGACAAATGGGAATTAGATTTTTTTAACTTATATATCGAGTGATGGCCAAAGATTAAATTACTATTTTTTTTTTATTTTAACATAAAACTCAGTCTCAAATTGCCTAGGCAATATCGTCGTAGTCGTAGAATACTGACGGATCTATATACATATGTAATATTTGTCAGATCCGTCTGTATTCTACGACTATGACGAAATGATAAGTTTATGCTGTTATTTACCTCGCACCACAAACAAGTTTTATTCAAGATATTTCTGTAGTATGTTTCAATAGAATTAAAAGTGTGAATACAGTTTTGTTGATATTGTCACAGAAACACTCAAACTGAATTATATTAGTATTTTTTTTTTATTGGATGAAAATGGTATGGTAACCCCGCCCGCGCTAACGGGATACGCTGGCGGAGCACCAGTAAAGGGTGATCGATGACAATAAAAACAGGCCAGTTAGCCCACCATGATGAATTCATCATGAAGAATCAATCATGATAGTTTCCAGGGGGAACCGCGTGGAGGTCGACCTGGTTAGGTATATTGCTAGCAATGGAATTTTTAGTCTCCATTACTAACAATCCCTTTCCCCCCATTATATTAGTATTGAATTGAAATAATTAATTAAACTATTTTTTATTTATACTTCAATTTGACGTCAGCAGACTAACTTAACGTTCGGTCAAATATTAGGTTGTTTACATTTCCACTAAGTTCTATTGGAACAAACTGTATTTTTTTTTTATTATTCTTATGCTTACTAGTATTATAAATGTAAACGTGAGTTTGCTATTAATCATCAATTTATATTATATAATCCCAATAGGAAATATAATATATATATGTATTTGGTCAACATACGTCCGTCTAGGGCAGCCCCTACCGACATCTCCATTCATTCTTGCTCGATAAATCTCTTTCGTAATTCTTCTTTCATTCATCCTCTCCAAATGACCAAACCAACGCAACATTCCTTTTTCGATTTTTGTTACTACATCGTGTTTCAGTCCACATTTCTCTCTAATCACACTGTTACACTGGCGACGTGCTGAAGAAGGGCCAAATTAAAAGTCCCCGTAACCGGCGAGCGTGTATGAAAAGATTCATGAATGTGGAAGAAGCGAAAGAGATTTGTTTGAATCGAAGCATTTAGCGTTCCATTTTTTCTGCCTACCCTAATGGGAGACAGGTGTGACGGATATGTATGTATGTATAAATGTATTTTATTTTTTATTTCCTATTGGGTATGGAGAAGAACTAAGTTACTTTTTATTTCTGTCAATCAATATATGCCAGTTCTCACTAAATAAAAATTTGAAATGAAATGAATTTATTTTGCTAGAATGCATGTAATTTTAGATGATAGAGGTTTATATTTCCCGTGTACATACTGCCTCTATGTCGGCGTGCAAATTTTGTCAATATAAGAAATTTATATATATATATATATATATATATATATATATATATATATATATATATATATATATATATATATATATATTCTACATTATATTTCCTTTCCTTTGTCATACAATATTATTATTATTTATTACAGTAAATAAAAAAAAGTTGATTATCATAAATGAAAAGGCCCATATCCTGAGGAGATAAAAAACATCGCTACATCTCCAAAAGGTCACGGAAAGGTTGCAGTGACGTAGGTTTTTCTTTTTACCTAAAAAGGCCGTCTCTCAAAAATAAAAATAATAATCTATCAGGCCAGTTGTTGTTAATAAAATGGGTTTTTTTTTTAATTTATTTTTGCAGGTGGTACAGCTGCCGCCGCGTCAGAGGACGAGTTGGACAGCGAAGCTGAGGCGTGGGTGGAGCAACAGATGCAGAAGGCAATGCCCGCCATTGCGGATATCACTGGTTAGTAGAATTGGCGCGAAAGTTTGTAAACAATTTAGGATGTTTGTTACTCTATAACATGTAACGATTGAAAGGAAGAAGGAGGAGGAGTTAATTTTAAAGTTTCGCGTTGTTTATCCATATTTTAAATACACAATTGGGACTCAATGCGATGTAAAAGCCTTTACAGATAAATAGTACTTATATAGCTGTCCTGTCGTGACCAAGACGTGATGCAATCCACGTCCAAACGTTGCCAATAAAGAAGCGGGTATGTAGGTACTATTTACCTGTAAAGCCTTTTACATCGCGTTGTGTCCCAATTGTGTATTTAAAAGTTTTCGTGATAATTGAAATACAAATAAATCATATTATATTTGACTAATACATAGAATGAATGATTGAAAAGTCTTTTTTGTTCCCTTAAAATAATGATACAGATTATAAAGATTAACAATATGCATACAAAAAAATACATAAAAGTAAGATAAAGAAGTAACAGTGGGCGACCATATCGTTAAATAACGATCAGAAAATGCGACTTCTAGCAGATTTTTATATGTGGACTTAAAATGAAAATAATAATAGCCCAGTGCATAGTCTATAAGTCCGTATACCAGTATGTGCAGGTCCTTTTTATCTTTGAAAGGACCTGAGGTATGTCCTCTAATCTATATTTATCTATACTTATAATAAATCTGTAGAGAGGTCAATTCTGTACATGAAATATGTTTCCAAAATAACTGTCAGGGGGTGATTAGTGATCGATACTGATGCCAAAAATGCAATCAGTAAAATTTTTGTCTGTCCGTCTGTATGTTCGTTATAGAAACAAAAACTACTCGACGGATTTTAACAAAACTTGGTATAAATATTCTTCATACTCCTGCGCAGGTTATAGTATACTTTTCATCACGCTACGATCAATAGGAGCAGAGCAGTGAAGAGAAATGTTAAAAATGTCCACACGTGCGACGCCGGGACGGGCCGCTAGTTGTCAATATATATAGTATATACTAGTAGCACAGGTTTTCCTAGTTCACCCATCAGTCTCCACAATACATAAACTGTGTACTCTTAAGTAAATAGTTTGTTCATACAGTATTGTGGAGAACGAATAAATAGTTTGAATTTAATTACATAAAAAAGATTTACGTAATTTGATCGATTATAAATCTATCAGTACTATAATTTATATTAATAGGTATTTCAAAATAGTATCCGTTAATTATTAATACTTCGTTAAATCTTAATATTTGATAATATCGTATTATCGATTACATAATCGATTAATATTTGAATAATCGATTAATAATTAATACTTTGTCTATTACATCTTTACCTATTTTTAAAAACCTAGTTAAATCCCACTACCTATCCTTATAATCACTTAGTCCTCCTTATTTCCTACCAGAATTATGTGTGTTATATATGTATGTGTGTATATATACACTGTGTATGTATGTAATTGTGCTTACACAGATATTTATTATTTTTATATTTGTATCACGCCACCTACCTATTTATTCATTGATTCTTTCTACCCAAAAGAAAGAGATTGCTTAGCAATAAGACCGACTTTTGTACTATACTACACTTATCGAGAATTCTTCAACAAATCCTGTAATATTGGTGCAGGGGGGGGGGGGGGAAGGGATTGTTAGTAATGGAGACTGAGAATCCCATTGCTAGCAATATACCCAACCAGGTCGACCTCCTCGCGGTTCCCCCTGGAAACTATCATGGTTAATTCCTGATGAATTCATCATGATGGGCTAACTGGCCTGTTTTCATTCTCATCTATCACCCTTCACTGGTGCCCCGCTAGCGTATTCCGTTAGTGCAGGCGCGGTTACCATACCATTTTCACCCATCAAAAAAAAAATAAAAATATTGGTGCAATAAAGTGTTAAATAAATATTACTTAATATGTTAACAATTTTCATGTATTTGGGCTGTCTCTCTTATGTCTTTAGGTTTAATAGTCCATGCCTATGTACTCAATTACTCCTGTTTGCGAGTTCAACACCACTCATGTCTGTGACTTCATTTGGCTGTGCAGGTGAGGTGGAACTGAACCCGTTCGCGGTGGCGCCACCCGCGCCGCGGATTATGGAGGCGCCGCACCTGCGGCCGCTGGCGGCGCCCGGCCGACACCCCGCCTCCGCGCAGGACCTCGTGCACGCGCTTCATCACCGGTCAGTACCCACCATTATGTTATCTCTATAGGGGCCCAGTCACGCCCGACCGATTGTTCCCTTCCGGGTCGTGGAACCGTGCAAGCGTTTATGAATTGTACTAAATTCACAGGAATGGATGTTCTTTTTAAAAATTATGTTCATTGTATTAAAACAGTTATACATAATTGGATAATGTGACTTTAATGTATTGTCGGAAATTACACACTCTTTTTAATATCAGACGGGTCGTATGCTTGTTTATTACCATAGTAATATAAAAAAAGAATAGTCGATCTTACTACTACACAGTGTTTAACTAAACTGTCTAAGTGATTAAACATTTAAACATATGTTTTAAATAATGTTTGTTTGTTATTTTTATGTGCCAAAATCGATAAAATGTGGAATAAAATTTATTACTTCAAATACCTTTTATTTTTAATACGACCGGCTTTCTTTTGTTTCGACATAAATGTTAGACACACTTTTGTAGAACTTTTGTAGATGTCTAAACATGTATTGACAGGTGTCTATCGCAAGTTTATCTTTTTTGTGGTAAACCGGTGTAAGTTCATTACATTCCAGTTACTTTGTTATATAGGAACGGATGTGATGGATGAACGTGCCATAACGCCGTAATATTTAGTTGGTGAAATAATAATTCGTAACTAGCGACATCTGTGTCTCTCTGTGTGTGATACTAGCAATAGAGTATATTGCTAGTAAGGTCGACCTCCACACGGTTCCCCCTGGAAACCATTGTGGTTTGGTTAATTCTTGAATTAGCTACGATAGGCTAACTGATCTGCATTAGTTTTCATCTATCATTTCTCACTGGTGCCCCACCAGCGTATGATGTTAGCGCCGGCGGGGTTACCATTCCATTATCACCCATTAAAAAAAATTTGGGTAGTCTCTAAGTAATACAAAATAAAGTCGCTGTCCGCGTCTTTAGTCCGTTTGTCCCGCTTATTTCTACCGAACTACGCAATGTACTTTGATTCGGGTTTCAAATTGGGTGTTTATATGTTTTTAGGCTTCACGCTTTTTATTTATAGCCGGTTTTACGGTAAAAAAGAAATTTGATAGACCGATAGACACATGACATGATTTATTGGAGATTTCTGGAACATTGTCTTAAAAATTAGAAATATGAATGAATGAATTAAAACTCTTTATTGTTCCCTTCAATAAGTGATACAGATCATGAAGATTAACAATAGGCACACAATATAGCGATTACTTCCTTAGGCTGGAGAGGAATGATTAAAATTGTGTCTGGTCAAGGCGTTACAGAAAAATAATAAGACTAAAAAGGGCGAGAAAAAAAGGCTAAAGAGAAATTTAAACGCAATATCACTACATAGATAAATAAATAAATAAATAATAATAAATAAATATATATGGACAAATCACACAGATTGAGCTAGCCCCAAAGGGGGCATCCATTAATTACGTGAGCTCTTTTTCGATCAGTTTAGACTCCTCCCCCCCCCCTTAGGTGAGATTTAGTGAGATTTGCCTTGACCCCCCCTCCCCTTACGTGAGATTGACGCAAAAAATATTTTAACCTTAATTTATATTTATTATTCGGCAAAATAATAAATCGTTCAGGTATACTATAATTAATTTATTTAAATTAAATAAAATTTAAAGTAAAAACATAAAAACAACACTTTCTTTTAAATTTTTACTCAATCCATGGAGACTCGTGTATTTTTTCAATCGAAATAATTGGACACATATCATCTGGGATTTCTAGTAGTGCAGGAAGACAATCACTGGAAACATCTACGTTTATCTTTAATATTTTAGTAATATCTTTAATATTTTATATTTTTTGAAGTTGACGTGAGATTATTGATTATCCCCCCCCCTAGGTTTAAATGAGATTTGGTGAGAATTCATTAGACCCCTCCCCCCCTGTTCTGAGCTCACGTAATTAATGGATGCCCCCAAAGTAAGTTCGAGACTTGTGTTATGGGATACTAATTCAACGATACTATATTTATAATAGATACATATATAGATAAACATCCAAGACCCAGGCCAATCAGGAAAAGATCGTTTTCCATCATGACCTGGCCGGGGATCGAATCCGGGGCCTCCACGTCGCAGGCACGCGTGTTGACCGCTGCGCCACGGAGGACGACAATAGTATAAAACGAAGTCGCTGTCGCTGTCTGTCCGTCCCTATGTATGCTTAAATCTATAAAACTACGCAACGGATTTTGAAGCGGTTTTTTTTAATAGATAGAGTGATTCAAGAGGAATGTTTATATGTATAATATATGCATAATATTGTAGAGAAACACTGATAAATTTAGAGGTTTCTAATGTGATGTCGTACATAAACACATTTTTTTTACGCTTACATTGCAAATGCTGGTTGAATTCTATGAGATAGGTTAAAATAATTTCGGGGGCAAATAATGTGGCGCTATTTAGTATCAGTGTTGCACCCTTGCGATGCCGGGGCAGGTCGCTAGTAAACAATATAATTATAAATATACTCGCATGTCATATTATTTAAATAGATAGATAGATAAACACTTTATTTGAGCCATTTATGACACACGTAAATTAATAAATAAATTTATACAATCTGTTTATTTACATTTTTTTTTAATATAAAACAAAAGATGAATATTGGAGATATGTTTTCACCAAGTGTGTCGCAGTGACCCAAATAGGCTACAGCTCAATGATAGTTTTGCTTAAAAGCAAAGCACTGATTTTCAGCTGCAACCTGAAGTTAGACTACACGGACGCGTGCAACAAATCCAGAGTGTAACCTGTGTAAAATCTCTAATCTAAATACTTACATGCATAAATAAATGCAAATAAATAATACATACATTTATATGACGATACATACCATAAATTTATATAATGATAAATCTAATAAAACATTTAGAAGTCGCTCGAGTTTATTAAGTTGGTCTTCTGTGAGATGGGAATTACAATTGTATTATTAATTGTAGTTAGATACAGAACTGACGTAGCGCGACAAGACTGCCTCGTGTACTTTATTAGTGTATTATATTTTTCTTTATCTAAAAAATGTTACTAGTAAATGACTAACATTATAATTACTTCAAATGAATGAATGAATAAAAATTTATTTCAATAAAACCATAACACTTACATAAACTTAGATTATAAGTAATAACAAATTATATATATATATATATATATATATATATATATATATATATATATATATACATCAAGATCATGAATGAGTAACACAATACACAAACATGCGCATAACAAAAGGTAAAAAACAAAAATATCAGTAAACAAAGAAAAACAAGAACAAAAACAGTTTTCGACCGTAATAATGTGTAAAATAAAACAAGTATCCAATATAAATAATAATAAATCCAGTAGCCTTGACAATAGCTATACGAAAAAATAATTGTGCCGACTCCACAATTGTATTGATGGGTTATGTGTAGGATAAAAAGATATATTTTAAGGTAAAAATAGGTTTATTATTACTTAAAGCCTAATTATATTTATATATTACCACATCTTATAAAGTACAGTAATAGCTTGACTTACGCTACACCGACACTGCGTTTAGAAACGCACGAGTCACAAAAAAAATAATTACAAAATAATACATTGATTAACATTTCTAAAACAAATTCTCAAAACAGGTTAATAAAAAAAAACTATGTACATAACTAAAAAAGAATCAGAACAAAGAAAAAAATATGTTTACAATAATCATCACTTTAGTTATTTTATCTATATTTCTCTATCGAGAATCAACTTGAATGATCCATCTAAATCTACACAGCTTATAATATCTGGAAGGCCACCCTTGAGCAAAGAAATCGGAGGATGCACCAGAAATGCACTATTTTCTACAAAACTGTCCGTTCTGTTCGTAGATATAACCTCCGATTCATCCAACAACTGCATCTCGTACCAACATAAAATCGCATTACACTCCTAATCGTTTGTCACCGGCGCCTTCACCACGTCGGACTTCACGCGGTAGCAATCTGGCGATATCACTATTGTATCTGACAGAGCTTCATAATCCAATAGTGTAAGGTTCAAGTTACTCACTTGCGATACTTGGTACCTGTTCACTTGTGCGGCTATTTTATAACCGACATTTTCGTCGTACACTCTGTTTTGGACGTCCAAACGTTTACAGTTCACCAATTGTCCCATGATGGTCATTTTATGCGGCAGAAACAGCCCATCATCCACTAGATGAGCGTGTTGCAAGTATAGCGCGAGTCTTCTTTTCTGAACGTCGATGTCACTGTTCAAATCGAAAATATTATTAAAGATAACGTGGTACATGTTATCTTTGAAATCTGTATTCGTCCATCGGTCGCCGAGCAGGATCTTTACTTTATCCAGTGGTATGTTATTCATTTTGAGTACGATTTCTATAAACGTTTGGTCGTCAGAGTTACTCGGGTTGCAAGTGAGATGTTTAGCACCGTGCTTCAGCATTTCCAATCCAAATATCGGAAACGTACACAAGTCCACGATTTCAGTGTCGGAGATGTCCACTATTTGGCCCACGTAAAGGCAAATTGTTGGCACACTATTCGTGATCCCTTTAGTATATTGTTGGTCGTTCAAAAACGTTAGCATGGCACGAGAGATTCTGTAACCGAATCGACTTTTCACTAAGTCTGGTTCAATAAGCTGCAACACTCCGCCGTAAGATGAAAACGACTTTTGTAAAACTTCACCTTTAGTATATTTTCCAGGTAAAAAGTCGTAGAATATGGCTTGATGCCATGCTTCTATTCTGTCTTGTGACCTAGGGTCGGTTGTGACCATCACATCGTCGGTCAAAAACAAGTTAAAAAAACCGATTAGATTGGTCACTTCGCAGTCCTCTGTTACCTTAATATCTATCGTGTAATCAAATTGTTCAGTTTTTGGATCGAGTTTGTCACTTATATCGAAACCGTCGTTGAAGTCAATCTTCAGTAGTGGCACCGCCTCCGTTACGTACTTTAAATCTTTGTACAAATTGA